TTTTGGTAGAAGGTGCCCGTTTTGAAAAATGTTCGATGGGATTCGCTACGCTTTGGCGTTGCTGTTGTTCTGGTTCTAAATGTGCATATATGATTTCTATTCAAGAATCTACACATAATGTATAAATGCATTTGTATATTAGCAAACATATATTCCGATATAAAAATGCACACATGTATCTCTTTTTTTCAGGAGCCTTTTTGATTCCCTATGGCATTTGCCTAGTAATAGGAGGAGTGCCCCTGTTCTATTTGGAGGTTGCCCTTGGGCAGTTTATGCAGGCAGCTGGAACCAAAACATGGGAGATTGCACCCTTGTTTAAAGGTAAGAAAACATGGGAGATTGCACCATTGTTTAAAGGTAGGAAAACATGGGAGATTGCACCCTTGTTTACGGAAAGAAAACGTGGGAGATTGCACCATTGTTAAAGGTAAGAAAACGTGGGAGATTGCACCATTGTTAAAGGTAAGTATAAAACATGGGAGATAGCACCATTGTTAAAGGTAAGAAAATGTGGGAGATTGCACCATTGTTAAAGGTAAGAAAATGTGGGAGATTGCACCATTGTTAAAGGTAAGAAAATGTGGGAGATTGCACCATTGTTAAAGGTAAGAAAAGGTGGGAGATTGCACCATTGTTAAAGGTAAGAAAACGTGGGAGATTGCACCATTGTTTAAAGGTAAGAAAACATGCAAGATTGCACTCTTGTTTAAAGATAAGAAAACATGGGGGATTGCACCATTGTTTAAAGGTAAGAAAACATGCAAGATTGCACTCTTGTTTAAAGATAAGAAAACATGGGAGATTGCATCCTTGTTTAAAGGTAAGAAAACAAGGGAGATTGCACCCTTGTTTAAAGGTAAGAAAACGTGGGAGATTGCACCATTGTTTAAAGGTAAGAAAACATGCAAGATTGCACTCTTGTTTAAAGATAAGAAAACATGGGAGATTGCACCCTTGTTTAAAGGTAAGAAAACAAGGGAGATTGCACCTTTGTTTAAAGATAATAAAACGTGCAAGATAGCACATTTGTTCAAAACATTTGAGACTACTTTACTAAGAACTAATTATTTGAGAATCTAAGTTCAGTAATACTTGATAAGGACCAGGGTCGTCTATATTTCAGTCAGAAGACTAATGACAAAACTCTTGTTTTTTCAGGTATTGGTATTGCAACAACGATCATTATATTCTTTCTCAATTGCTACTACAACATCATCCTCACCTGGGCTTTCTACTACGTGTTTGCGTCATTCACAGCTGTCCTACCCTGGTCTAACTGCGATAATGAATGGAACACTGAAGCCTGTACTCTAGATTTTAACATCACAAGGCTGAATTCCACTGGGAATTTCACATATAATGGCACCCTATTGGACCCAGTTACAGAATTCTGGGAGTAAGTATTCACCCTGATCTGCTTGTAACACTATACAGTAAAACCTGCCTTAAGTGGAACACCTTTGGTATCTCTAAAATGTGTTCCACCTGGGAGGTGAATCGAGGTTTATTTAACATTAAGTCAGCTGGTCTTGGGACTCTGAAAAGTGTTCCACTTAACAGAGGTTTTCCACTTCTAGAGGTGTTCCACTTTACAAGTTCCACTATACTCTGATTATTTCGGTTGATTTACATTTTGTTTTAATGTTGATAGATCTTAATAATCTCTAATGCAGTTGCCTTAGTATGTAATTTGATGTTGAATGTGAAATTAATGTAAGCTACTAATGATTGTTATCTCAGATATTAAGAACTGCTAAAGTAAACTACTTCCAAGGGCATATTAAAAACATTCTCTCATAAAGTTGTGACTTCCTTTGAGATTGACTCAGGGATGTTAAAAAGATAAATGAATGGCAACATTGGAAAATACAAAAAGTTAATTTAAGGTACTCAGTTTAGAGAGTCATTCAGATATACAAGTTTCACTCTATTTATATTTTCAGAAACAAAGTACTTGCTATCTCTTCTGGTATAACTGATGTTGGTACAGTCAAGTGGGATCTTGCCCTCACAATGGTGTTTGCCTGGTTGGTCATCTTCGCTTGCATTAGCAAAGGCATCAAGTCTTCTGGCAAAGTAAGTACATGTAACTTCCAGAATTTTTTTTAAATGTATATTTTTATTACGTATTTATTTCATATATACATAATGGTAAATAATTATTAATGATTCTGTTTATTAGTGTCCATTGTCACAAACTGTATTTATTTTTATTTTAGATGTTTTGAATGCATGCTGGATCCATTATCACTTAATATTTTTAGGTCATGTACGTCACAGCTACTTCCCCATATATCTTCATGTCGATTCTTTACATTTCCAGGTCATGTACGTCACGGCTACTTCCCCATATATCTTCATGTCGATTCTTTACATTTCCAGGTCATGTACGTCACGGCTACTTCCCCATATATCTTCGCTACTTCCCCATATATCTTCATGTCGATTCTTTACATTTCCAGGTCATGTACGTCACGGCTACTTCCCCATATATCTTCATGTCGATTCTTTACATTTCCAGGTCATGTACGTCACGGCTACTTCCCCATATATCTTCATGTCGATTCTTTACATTTCCAGGTCATGTACGTCACGGCTACTTCCCCATATATCTTCATGTCGATTCTTTACATTTCCAGGTCATGTACGTCACGGCTACTTTCCCATATATCTTCATGTCGATTCTTTACATTTCCAGGTCATGTACGTCACGGCTACTTCCCCATATATCTTCATGTCGATTCTTTACATTTCCAGGTCATGTACGTCACGGCTACTTCCCCATATATCTTCATGTCGATTCTTTACATTTCCAGGTCATGTACATCACGGCTACTTCCCCATATATCTTCATGTCGATTCTTTACATTTCCAGGTCATGTACGTCACGGCTACTTCCCCATATATCTTCATGTCGATTCTTTACATTTCCAGGTCATGTACGTCACGGCTACTTCCCCATATATCTTCATGTCGATTCTTTACATTTCCAGGTCATGTACGTCACGGCTACTTCCCCATATATCTTCATGTCGATTCTTTACATTTCCAGGTCATGTACGTCACGGCTACTTCCCCATATATCTTCATGTCGATTCTTTACATTTCCAGGTCATGTACGTCACGGCTACTTCCCCATATATCTTCATGTCGATTCTTTACATTTCCAGGTCATGTACGTCACGGCTACTTCCCCATATATCTTCATGTCGATTCTTTACATTTCCAGGTCATGTACGTCACGGCTACTTCCCCATATATCTTCATGTTGATTCTTTACATTTCCAGGTCATGTACGTCACGGCTACTTCCCCATATATCTTCATGTTGATTCTTTACATTTCCAGGTCATGTACGTCACGGCTACTTCCCCATATATTTTCATGTTGATTCTGCTGATAAGAGGAGCTCTGCTACCTGGGGCTGTTGAGGGTCTGAAATTCTACTTCATCCCAAATTTTGACCGGCTCCTAGACATGCAGGTGAGAGTTGCATTCCGTTGAGTTGATAACGTTTTCAATGGTGTATCACTTGTATCCCATTTTGTAACACTTGTATTCCATTGTGTTACCCTTGTATTATATTGTGCTCCATTATGTCACAGTATATTCCCTTGTGTCACACTTTTTAATTATGTCACACTATATTCACCTGTGTCACACAATATTCTATTATATCACAACATATCCACTATATTTCATTATATCACAATATATTCCCTAATGTCACACCTTATTCCATTGTGTCATACTATATTCCATTGTATTACATACCTAGCGAAGCATTTGTATGGAAGTCAATGGAGCTGAAGGTCGGCTATATATTCCTGTATAGCCGCCAAACTTTTTTACCATGACAACTTTGTGACGTCATAACATGTAAACAAAGTGATTTCGACTGGAATCTTGTAAAATTTTGGTCTTTTTTCATGTATTTCAACATATAATCTTTGTGAAATGTTATGTAAATGTACTTTAGGTATGTAATACAACAATTATGTCCGTATCATTGAATATATGCCTTCGGTCCGTCGTCAATATATCCTTCGCAAGCTCAGGCTATATTGACGTCCAACCTCAGGCATATATTCAATGATAGGGACATAATGGCTAAATGTCACAATATATTCCATTTTGTCACATTCTGTTTCATTATATCACCATTGTGTCACACTATATTCTATTATATTATAATATGTTCCACTGTGTCACACTATATTCCATCATATCACAATATATTCCACTGTGTCACACTATATTCTCTTATATTACAATATATTCCATTGTGTCACACTATGTTTTATTGCATTACATAGGTGTGGGTGGATGCAGGATCTCAGATCTTCTTCTCCATGTCAATCTCTTTAGGAACACTGACTGCTCTTGGAAGTTTCAACAAATTCCATCACAACTCATACAGGTAAACCATTTATATCACACATAGCCCAACTAAGCGAAGCACCTCTTACTTGTAAAATATAACTCATACAGGTAAACCATTTATATCACACATAGCCCAACAGCTCATACAGGTAAACCATTTATATCACACATAGCCCAACTAAGCGAAGCACCTCTTACTTGTAAAATATGTCACCCATCAGCCCATTATTGAAAATCCAGAAAACTATGTATTTAATAAACCTTGTACTTTAATTTAATTAACTTAATTTCATGAGTTCTTGGTTAACTAATAGCAAAGTCTGTTAAAAAAGATGTAGAAATTTTTTGAGCTCTTGTGAACATATCTCAAAGGTGACCCATTATTTTAATATCTTCCTTAAAGAGTGCAAGATGTATGAGGGCTGTTCATATATTTAGCTCACCCTGTACACATTGCCTTCAATATATGAAAATCTCACATACATTCTTAACATGCAAATGAGAAAATTTGCTTTATTAGAATTTATTGAATGACCCTTACCTTACCTTTTCAGGGACACTATCATATTTGCTTGTGCTAACAGTGGGACGAGTATATTTGCTGGCACTGTTATCTTCATGGTGTTGGGATTTATGGCTCAAGAACAAGGAGTATCAGTGGATGAGGTCGCTGCCTCTGGTAAGATTCTACAAAATGTCTTATCACACAGAGGAGGCAATATCCCAGAATTCCTAGATTTACCCATCTCACACAGAAGAGGCAATATCCCAGAATTCCTAAATTAAACCATTATTAATTAACTCACACAGAGGGGGAAATAACCCAGAATTCGAAGATGATATCTCTTAGTAAAGATGAACCTTTAGAGGTTATTGTTATATGGAGATGGGTTCATTTATTATTTCTGGGGCAATCTCCCTCTTTCAAAGGATCCTAATCATGTTAGAACTTCCTGGGGTCATTTATTTTGAAAATACTGTTCATATTCTTTTTAAATAAAGAAACCATTTAGCTTTAGATGGAATGAATAAGTAAACTTCACAGTTAAAAAATAGAGCCAAAATATCAAATTCAGTTTAAATCAATTATTAAGATAAAGATAGCTGATGTACATGTGCGTGTAAGTGCTGAAAATATTAGGGGAAATCCAATTCCTTGAATTGTTCTTAAATGAGCAGTGCTTTTATTGAAGATGACATGTTGATATGATAACCACCCAATTGCATATTGTACTTACTATAAGATGTTCTTTAATTTATCACAGGTCCGGGACTTGCATTCATTGCTTATCCCAAAGCTCTGGCTCAGATGCCTGTGGCTCCACTGTGGTCTGTCTTCTTCTTCATTATGGTCATATTGCTGGGGCTTGACAGTCAGGTAACTATAGCAATGTTTTATGTTTCCATAGTAACAAATAACAGTGTATATAACCATATAAAAATGTTTATTAGGCAGGCAAAGCAGCTACGTGTATATCTCCAAATTAGCAAAACTACTATTAATTTAGAAAATGTGAAATAGTCTTATGATAGTTCATGTATTTTGTCGCCTTTAACTCAAATTAGGTGCACCAATTTAAATTTTCCCCACCATTTGATATATCCCGATTTTCACCTCCATTTTTATGACAGATCCTGATGAAACTGTTACTAATTATCGTTTACCATGATAAGTACACAAAATTCTATGAATACTCATTAGTAAAAAAGAATTTTCATAAACTTACCACTAATAAATCAATAATAGATCATTAAGTTTGTAATTATAAATTGTACTTGTGTTTTCCGCTTCAGTTTGTCGGAGTTGAGGGTTTTGTGACAGCTATTGTTGATGCCTTTCCCCAATATCTGCGTGTAGGTCATCGTAAGATCTTCTTCATAGCATTTGCATGCTGCATCAAACTGCTGGTTGGACTCTCCATGATCACAAATGTAAGTTTAACATGCGAGGGTGCATTGCCATGTCCTATCCCTGGCACATTTAAAAATTTAGTTTCATAATTTAATTTTTTTTGCACTTTCCCCAATGATTCTTCTTTACTTAGTTTTTCATTTTTCAATTTTTTGTCCAAGAGTTCTACATTTTGCCATTTTTGCCAATTTACGTTTTGACTTTTGCCATTGAAACTAACTTGTGTATCAGAGGCAGGAATGCTACAAATGCTCATCAACACATCATATACATGTATAGGTATCAATTTGGAGAAGACATGACAATTGAAATCCATCAATTATATAATCTTAAATCATTTTTCTTCCAGGGTGGAATGTATGTGTTCCAACTGTTTGACTACTACTCTGGGGGTCGTATCATCCTCCTCATTGGCTTCATAGAGTGTGCTGTTGTCTCCTGGGTCTATGGCGCATCCCGTTTCCAGGACAATATTCAGATGATGTTGGGTTTCAGAATCAACCCTTTCATGAAGTTTATGTGGTGTTCCCTCTCACCCTTGTTTTGCATTGTGAGTTGTTAAAATTTTAAAAAGGGAATTCACTTTTTATGAAATAAAGTAATAATTTTCTGAAAAAATATGTTCAACACTATGCTATTAGCATTGCAAAACTGTGAATACTTGCCTCATTCTTATCATCTAGTGTATTATCATTTGCTTCGGCTCTTGCTCTGTATGTAACATGGTTTTGATTAATATGATAAAAAAAACCTTTAAACCTAAATCTGCTGTTTCTTTGACATGTTTTACATGAGAGTGTATGCTTGTCTTCCAGGTGATATTCATCATGAGTATGGTCAGCTACTCTGAGTTGTCCTATGAGAGACCTACTGTGACTTACCAGTACCCCCAGTGGGCTGTGGGCGTTGGCTGGACAATGGCATTCTTCTCTATCATCTGGATCCCCATCTACATGATATACAGTATCATCATGAACACTAACTTCATCCAGGTTTGTGTTATTTATGTTTATGGGTTGGAGGGGGACTGATGCATATGGATATATTTAGGTATAGGGGGGGGGGGGGTAAGGTCTGAGGGATGAAGTCTGGGGTGATATTTGGGGGTGAGGTATGTTTAGATGAGATCTTGGGGGTAGGGTGGCAGGGTCTAAGGGAGGTATCTGGGTGAAATATAATTGATGCATGCTTGTAGGGAAAGTACCTATACACTTAAATGTGGAGGATTGCATTTCATGTATTTTACATGTTAGAGGCACAGATTAACATGTTTGAAGTACACATTTTAACATGTTTTAGGATATCTAACATGTTTATGGACACCATTTAACATGTTCTAGGATATTTAACATGTTTAAGGATACAGATTAACATGTTTGAAGTACACATTTTAACATGTTTTAGGATATCTAACATGTTTATGGACACCGTTTAACATGTTCTAGGATATTAAACATGTTTTAGGATGCAGATTAACATGTTTGAAGGACACAGTTTAACATGTTTTCGAATATTTAACATGTTTAAGAACACCGTTTATATAACATGTTCTAGGATATTTAACATGTTTTTGGATAAATATTCACATATTTGAAGGACACAGTTCAACATGTTTCAGGATAAATATTAACATGTTTGAAGGACACAGTTTAACATGTTTTATGATAAATATTAACATGTTTGAAAGACGCTGTTCAACATGTTTTATGATAAATATTAACATGTTTGAAGGACACAGTTCAACATGTTTTATGATAAATATTAACATGTTCGAAGGACACAATTTAACATGTTTAGGATTCAGATTTACATGTTTGAAAGACGCTGTTCAACATGTTTTATGATAAATATTAACATGTTCGAAGGACACAGTTTAACATGTTTGGGATACAGATTAACATGTTTGAAGGATCCAACCTCATATTCTAAGGATGCAGTCACTAACATGATTTTAGGGGATTCAAATTAACACATAACAAATGTGGCAAATTGCACAGTTAACCAACCATGACACCTAACAGCATGGAAGATAAACCATAACATTGGTAAGTTTTACGTTTAATGTTTGTTCATTTGATGGAATTAAAGGGACAAAAAGTTTATTTATTGGAACCTTTTCTTTATTGTTTGCCCATTTGATGGGATTAAAGGGCTGGAGAATCTAAAATGTTGGAACCTATCTTTCATAAAAGTGTGCCAATAATTCCCCAACAATCATAATTTTATTTTAATGTAAAAATGATCTTTACGGATCAAATAAGAAGTTATTGATGATATAAGATACCGAAATGTCCAAATTCATTAACATGTTTGTTTGTTTTTATTTTTTATTCATAGTGGCAATCATACAAAATAAAGTCATACAAAATGAAATGTTTATGTCAAACACCCCAGCAGAAATGTCCAAATTCATTAACATGAAAAGCTGGCATTCCCTTTTTCATTTTCTGTCAGATTACCATAAAAACTGAGGGATTTTCCAGAGGTAGAGTCAATTGTTTGAGTTTTAAAGAAAATAGCCATGACATTGAATGATTGGGAGCCAAAACCATTTTGAAACCAACTCTGAACCTGTCTCTATCCACTCTGGTCCCTTTAATTATCATTAATCACTGTTAACTTATTATAAAGTAGATGTATGTTGCACATCTGGGTTCTTTCCCTTTGTAAATGTCATTCTGCACAATTAATTCAGTTAGTAAGCATGAGGGATTGGTGCTTTCACAATTTCCTAAACTAACAAAGGATTGGACACAACTTCATTTAAGTTTTAGAGTAGAGGTGTAGCATATATCCTTGAATTTATGATACCTCCGAAGCCCTGATATATTATATAGAACACCCTCACCCCCACCCCCTAAAGAGATGACAAAAAATATGTTCGACCAAGTGGCATTTTCTTATGAACATGGGTGGGACTATATTGTGTTTGTAATGTACCACATAACTAAATTTCAGTCATGTGCAATTGTGCATGTATATTCAGCACATTGCCTTATGTTATTTTCTCTCATTGGTAACAGATAATATGATTATTTTATACAACCATGGGCTTGCTTGAAAGCCCATGATACAACATGACCAGAATGTGATAAAAACTAGTCTTGACATTAAATATAAAAAAACACTCTTTTTTATTTTTCAGCTAGTGCAAACTCCAAGAAAGACATTCTGGCGTCTTGTTGAGCCAAATTTGCGGACATACCAACTCCGAAAAGTTGACTACCCCAATGTGCCTGATGATGTTGTGTACACGCTCCCTCCCTCCGAGGGTAGCTCATTGTATGATAACCCTGCATATGATGGCCCTACTTTCGTATACTACGAGACTGCGATATGACCAAGTTCTATGTCATGAAGAATGGCCTTTACAAAAGGGGATTCCCTATATGGAATTCCCCTCAGGAAGGAATTCCCAAGGAAAGTCTTCAGAAGAAGTAGAAATTCCTGCGAGGCTTCACAATACAAATTGTGAATGCATGCGTTCTACACAGGTGCAGATTCCCAAAATGCTGTATGGAGAAAGAATACCTCAAGGCTCAGACTGTGAATTCCGAATTCCACAGAGATAGAATTTTCATGGAATCGAAATGAGAGTACTGAATAGAAGTGCCAAATTTAGTTCTAGAAAATAATGGAGAAAAAAACGGAAATGTGCAATATGAAATGAAGCTATTCTGGGATAAACACTTACATAGTACATGTGGAATGTAGGCTGTCTAATTTGAAAGCTTTTGAGACAGCCAATGTGTTCACATTGGGAGATGTTGATGTGAAGAGGTTGTGATAACATGGAAGTCAATGGAACACATACTGAAAAACTGCCCATACTTCGATGTGTTGACGTTATCGATCATGAAATGTTCGTATTAACAACTTTTAGTGTATAAAATACATGACTGTGTCCAATGAGATGGATACAACATTTTTAAGTGAGAGTCTGGTGATTGAAAACCAACTCATATAGAAAGAATAAATGTGTTGTATAAATCAACAGAACAAGGCAAGAATTCTCATTCACTCAAGAGTTACGTAGGTTTACATAATATCCATAAAACAATACAAATCCTGCACCCATGAAAGACTTGAAATAGCTCATCTCAACTTAGTACACCACAGCATCAGTTTGGGAATTTGAATTCAACTCCACGATCATGATGGCAAAAGTCAAAGTGAGACATAACAACAAGCATTTGTGAATATTGTAGATATACAATATTGTAGATATTTTTCAGTATTTCAGTTATTTAGAGATAAAAATGCATCCTTCTAATTTTGGAATAGCTTTCTCAATTATGGTAGAATCTTCTTGAATTTTTTTTTTATTACTGTTAAATTATCGCATATATAAATAAACTGTAAATAGCAGAAAAAGTAACAATATTTTAAAATGTCACCAACCAGGGTGCAGTTCCAAAAGTGTAACTATTCGTTACATATTTGAGGTTAATAAAAAATTATTGTTCAGAAAAAAGGTGGCTGTAATTATATGACACAACGTCATTGTCTTTTTGATAAAAATGTAACTAAGTGATCAATAATTTTTGTTTTTGTTTTCAGTCGGCAAAATTGTTGTTGAAGCCAAACTTGAAGGCCCATCAGCTTCGTCCCGAGGATGAATGGGAGTTAGAGACCAAACCAATAGATGACGCTATTGCATCTGGCGAGAATCACATTATTGGCAATAATTTTGCTTATCCCAACCCAACATTTATAGATACCGCAGAAAACACAAAGTTTTAAACATTAAGTTTTAGAAAAATGCCAAGTTTTAGCAAAAATCTTTAGAGATCCATGGACTTAGAAAAACACTTCATTTTACAAATATGATTCATAAGAAAGTTCACCAATGGAACTGAAGAAACACATTTGTCAATATATAAACATCTTAACATTCCAACTAGGACATTCCATAAGACCTTATATTTTGAAATTAATATATAGTTAACATAATAACCTGAATAGATGGAACAATTTTGAATCTTGAGCAGTATGTATATATGTGTACTTGAGGGGCTTGCATCCCTCCTTTAGTTTGGCAAATCTTACTCCCATTGGATAGCACGTTAAGGCTTTTATTTTATGACTTTGATGGTTTCTAAATCACCGCACATAAACAGGCTTGAACATGTGATCCAATATCAGAGATTGGATTTCCAAACTTTTGGAGAGGAGTGTATATTTAAAATAAAATGATGTCACACATTTACAGTGATGCAAGGATATTGTAAGCTTTTTTCCACCAAAACCTCATAAGCTCAATGCTGAAATTTTCGTTCTTTTGGAGAGCAGTGTACATCTAAAATAATGATTCACATTTACAGTGATACAAGATTGTAAACTTTTTTTCACCATAGGCTCAATGCTGAAGTCTCTTACTTTTTGAATAACAATTTTAATCTTATACTGCATTAATATGTATATATATTATGACAGCTTTATTATGGACACATAAATGTATATTTTTAATTCATGAAGAAAATATTTGTACATTTTAGGATCACATGATTTTCTAATCTTTAACAATGCACACATGTATATTGTAATATATTTTTCAATTTTGATAGATTCTATTTAGATAATATATATTTTTAAAGCTTGTAGAAATACATTCAGGACCTTTATGCAGTTATGCCATATAAGGAACTATTCTGTCAAAATCATTAACTGATTTCACTTAAAACATGGGTCATTTGCTCAAAACTTGGGTTAATTGCTCAAAACTTGAGTTAATTTGCTCAAAACTTGAGTGGATTTGCCCAAAACTTGAGTGGATTTGCTCAAAACCTGACAGAAATGATAATTTACCTTTGGCTTTATCAAATCAAAAATTTATGTACACTGTATTGAGTGTACAGAAATTATTTAAAAGGTAGACTCTTCATTCAAGTTTTAGAGAGAAGTATTTTTTAAAGAGAAATGAGCTTGTTCCTGTTGAGGTTTTATCTTCTGGATACACTGTATGTAAATTCATCCAAGGACCCTGTAATGTAGACTTTACATAAAGATACAAATAAAAATCCTGAAACCATTGCAAAAGTTGTTGAAAAAATATCAAAACAGGTATTTTTAAAACTGGGTGTATATAAAAGATGTCACTGGGTGCCATTCTAAAATCTTAATCCTGATCGCACCATTAATATCCATCCTAGATTGGTCCTTCACTGATTTCATGGGAGCTCATGTACCATTGACATTCAACCATTTGATGTGACACATGATGAAACTTCTGGAGAATTGAACTAAACCCTCTGACCAATCCTCCTTTAATGCGGTCAATGTAGTACAATGAATTACTCTTGGGCCAAGGATGTCAAAATCCCTCCCTTGCTTTTTTGTTTTTTCCTCAACACCCCTACTGTCAATCAAAATGCTGTAACATAGCCCAAATTCAAATAGGTGAGGAAAATTTAAATTGGTGAGGCAAAACTAAATAGGTGAGGCAAATTTAAATAGGGAAAGTAAAACTAAATAGGTGAGGCAAATTTAAATAGGGGAGGCAAAACTAAATAGGTGAGGCAAATTTAAATAGGGGAGGCAAAACTAAATAGGTGAGGCAAATTTAAATAGGGGAGGCACAACTAAATAGGTGAGGCAAATTTAAATAGGGGAGGCACAACTAAATAGGGGAGGCAAAAATAAATAGGGGAGGCAAAACTCAATTGGTCAGGCAAATGTTCACTTGAAAGCCCATACATGGGCAGAGCCAACAATGAGGCACCAACATTTTACAGTAAATAGACATTTTTCAATTGAAACCATGAAAATGCAATCTTAAAAATGATGGATAGTCATTAAAGGCTATGGCCCACAATATTAAGACTAATGTATTGCAACAACACCTCAGTTTATGATTCTAGTTTATTTCATTATGATTCTGTACATATACTTACAAATAAGTATACATATATAATTAATGATTTCCAGCTGATGTGCACTATGACTGCACTAGACTAACCACTAGCCATAATTTTCAGCCGATTACACTAGACAGGCCCGTAGCCAGGGGGGTTCGAAAGGTTCGGGCAAACTCCCCCCCTGGCCAAAAACTCTTTCTAAATCATGCAGTTTTTCACCATTTTGAGCACTTCTCAAGTGATTTTAGCCATATTGGGGTCAAAATTGTCAAATGTGAACCCCCCTTGGAAATTTTTGAAAACTGAACCCCCCTTGGCAAATCCTGGCTCGTGCCTTCTAGACTGCACTAGAATGTGAGCTCCATATAACTGGACTCCCTACAATCACCAATGCCATCTTTTTCAAAGAAAAAAAGTTATCATTGAAACATATTACTCACACACTCACTCAAATATGACACAAAGTTTGATTTGCCTTAATATTGAACCAAGAAAAAAATAACTCACGTAGAAAAAGTTGAGAGATCATAATGCATGCACATGCTTAACAAAGTGCATGTTTTTAATTACTTTTGATTTAAAAGATGGCGATACTTCTATAAAAATGAATGTATCATGCAATACAATCAACTTCGCCATCTTTCAGTGACATTGATAAAAACTTGATATAAAAGCTTATATAAAGCTTGACAGATCGAAATAATTTTTGATTAATTATTGTAAGCTTTGATGTGGTCCGTTTGAGCTGTTGTTAGTGTCAAATGAAAAATAGGGTTCTTATCAATACATTGGGCATTCTATAGAATTCAAATAAAAGTCTTTATTTTGCCCAAAAACATTGAAAATACGCAAAGTGGACCTTTAAGGAAGGTCTAAGTGAAGAATCATTACATAAGATTTAAAAATGTTTATTTTCTATCTGTGTGCAGTCGGCCAATTGTTTTTCATTCAGTGAAATGCTAAATATATCTTGTTCAACTTTTTAAAATTTTCTTTGAATTGGTTGTGGTATGTGTAGACATTTTGGATACATCTTTTTTTAAGAACTCCCTTACATACACTCCCCTACAAAAGTTTGACAAAACTGACTCTACAGTGTTGGAAAGCATATTCAAAACATATTATGTTTCAATTCTATTCTTTCCTAAGAAAGGGTTGTAAATTTCTGATGAATTTTTGAAAATCACCTGACATAAACAGGTTTTTTAACAAATGATTGAATTGGTGAGTTTGGGGTTAACAAATTTGGGGGAGAGTGTCAATCTTGAATAATGACATACAGTGTAGCAAACCTGGACTTGGAGGGGGGGGGTGTACGTTGAGGACCAAGTCACAAGGCAGAACACGAAATGATTAACAAAGACCCAGGTTTAATAGTACATCCTTATAAGTCTACAATAGACACTGCTATAAACCAAGGTGCTGTACTTCTACTTAATTTGGTGGCCGTTTTAATTTGGTGGATTTGCCAAATTATTAAAGTCCACCAAATTCCCCGGTAATTTTCATACCATGTAAATAATACCGTAAGTACTTTATAATATTGCAAGTCTGCCAAATTAAGTATCAAAAACATCAAATCCGCAAAAATAAGTGGCACCAAATTAAGTAGAAGTACAGTATCTGATGATTACCTGGACAGTTTTATTAACCTGCCTATAATGTTTATTATATTAACCACATACTCCTTAAAATCTATGTTTCCTAAGTGACATCCATACATTCAAGTAGATTTCATGTTAAAGGATTGGGTGAAATACATATTTAAGTGAAACCCACCAGAATGTACAGCCTCAGGAAATGGGTTGGGTGGGAGGGTAACTTATTTTTCAATCATTTTTCATCCAAATTTCATGATATGTAAACTATTATCCATTCCATTCGCTAATGACTACCTCCCTCGAATTCCCTATTTAGAATAAACATTCACTCTACTCAATAATATAGATGTCACTTAGGAAATCTATGTTTCCTAAGTGACATCCATACATTCAAGTAGATTTCATGTTAAAGGATTGGGTGAAATACACATTTAATTTTACCCTTTACGGTGTATTTACATCCTGAATAATGTGATTTGTTAATTTTTACTACTCCCAATCCTCAAATCTTTAATAAAAAATTAACAAAAAAAACTAACGTGGACATCGGATTTGAGAGCAATCTCTCCCAGTAGTTCTAGTAGATGGTTTTCTATGATGTAATTATGAAGCTAATAAAACCTAAAATTAACCTCATATCAATGTTTTTCATGAATTACCGGTGGGGAAAAATCAGTCCCCTAACATGAGTAATTAACCTCAATTGCCAATTACCTCCTACTGTGGAGAGACAACTCTCACATCCGAAGTCCACGTGGTTAAAACCACTAAGAGATCAGTGCTACCGGACTTTAGATGTAAAGAGAAGCCAATTGTTTATCAGACTTCACTAGTTTCAAATGTTACAAACTCAAGTCATTTTCAAATTAGTTTACAAGAGGGTACATGGAATTAAACCATTACATAACCAATCACTTGCATATGTTATCCAGTCATGTCAAAACAATTCAACCTACTTTCTATTGAGTAAACCCCAGTTTTCATTCAATTGCCAATTACCAGATTATACCTGAGTGTCATTATTTTCGTCACACTGTATTATAACGTACTGTATAATGACCTCTAATTTTACTGTGTTATTAACACGTTGAATTTCCAGTGTTCATTATAAGGCCATGTTATCAAGATTTTTCATGTCATCAATGTTCTATTTTTCTTTGTTTCTGTCAAATATTTGCCTCTCAGAAAACTTCTCTTATATTGTCTCATAGTTATATTTAATAGCCCCTTGCTCTGGCATATATCTCTGTATCTCTAGGCTCTCAAGGCCTTTTATTCATTACCCCTCATGGTTCATATTTTTTGCCCCCTGCTTGCGCATATATTTTCAGGCCCTTGGAGCCTTTTATTTTAGCCCCTTGCTCGGGCATTTATAATCTAGGCCCTCAAAGCCTTTTGTTTTAGCCCCTTGCTCGGGCATTTATATCTAGGCCCTCAAAGCCTTTTATTTTTAGCCCCTTGCTCGGGCATTTATATCTCTAGGCCCTCAAAGCCTTTTAATCTCTAGGCCCTCAAAGCCTTTTATTTTAGCCCCTTGCTCGGGCATTATATCTCTAGGCCCTCAAAGCCTTTTATTTTAGCCCCTTGCTCGGGCGCCCCTTGCTCGGGCATGTAAATCAAAATATGCTTACCACTGCTGAATGTACGTCTTGCCACTTCGAATTCCCTATTTAGAATAAACATTCACTCTACTCAATAATATAGATGTCACTTAGGAAAGTGTGTGTTCTTTGATAAAATCTAATAGTATATAAAGTCAATGAGCAATAAGAAATCCAAGTCTCACATCGGAATAGCTAATCAAAGGTATCATAAAAATGAACTTGTTACAACTATTTCAATTTTAATACAGCTATGAAAGAGTTAAATAGAATACTGAATATCCTTGGTCTTTGATGAATAACAGGAGATTAGGAATGTAAAAAGTGCATGTAAGTAAAGTTTTTATTTTATATAATATGAAACCATGAATTTCACATTTATAGGGTCCTTCCTCCATTTTAGAAGGGGAGGCTTAGCTGATAATATCAGCTAAAATTGATAATTATCAAAACTATCGCTTTTATTGCTAAAAAATTTGGGGTCTGGAGTCAATGTTAAGAAGAAAAGGGTACTTATGAAGTTAGCATTATCTGATAATATTAGCTAAAATTGATAAATTTGATAGTTATCAATAAAAGGGCAGAAGTGAAATTAGCATTAGCTGATAATATCAGCTAAAATCGATAATAATCAAATTTATCTGATATTATCAGCTAATGCTAATTTTATGTGTGCTATGTATCAAATTTATCAATAAAAAAATCAATAATTGATATTTATCAAATTTATCACTTATTGATAAAAATTATCAATAATTGATAATCATCAAAATCGCTAATTGATAAAAGTGAAAGGTGCATAAGAAATTAAGCATTAGCTGATAATATCATCTAAAATTGATTTTGATATTTATCAAAACTGTCACTTTTATCGCTAAAAAATTTGGGTCTGAAGCAACTCTTACGTAGAAAAGGGCCCAAGTGAAATTAGCATTAGCTGATAATATCAGCTAAAATTGATAAATTTGATAATTATCAAAACTATTGCTTTTATTGCTAAAGAATTTTGGGTGTGGAGTCAATGTTAAAAAGAAAAGAGTTTTAAAGATATCCATTATGGGTGACCAAAATTAGGTGAAAGCAATGGATCGCATAAGTTTTCCCTAGGGAAAAATAATGTGGGAAATATTGTTTGCCACTTTATCTAAAAGGAATCACTTATTCCTTTAAAGGGGTTGACTGTGTGTCAAAACACAACATATTGATGCAAGAAAAATTAATAAAAAGCAGGGATGGAAGTGGGTAAAAATCAGGAAAACATTTCTGAAAAACATGTGGGTGGGTTGTTTGCATCTTCCCTGTCTCAAAGTTGAAATTATTTTATCATCTCTATGAGTGCTTTTCCTGGAGGTAATGCATTGATCTAACATATGCACCTGTTTAAATCCTCAGAAAATAGCCAAAATCAACATATGACTGTCCAAAATTTGTTGTGATACTTTCCCTCCTCCTTTATTGCTAATTGATAAAAGTGAGTTTCTGCTCCTAAAAAAATTCATCGGTTAAACAGCAGTTTCCCTCCCTAGGTTGGGCCCAGAAAAAAATTTGGGCACAAAACATTTTTGGGCTCAAGAATTTGTTAAGACCCCAATTAGTGGGCCCTTGTAGACATCACTGGCCCTTTTTTGGCCTGAATTTTTAGTTTTAGGCCAATTATCAAGAAAAGTGCCCTCAACTTTTCAAAATTAAAATTTGAGCCCAAACTTTGGTTCTAGGGCCCCAACATTTTTTCAGACTTAAAATAAGGCCTCCTGCTTTTCATAGTTTTCAGATCCTCCCCTGGTTATGATCTTTAATTAGCATCTTTCTAGGCAGAAAGATGTGATGAGTATCAGAATGCTTGAGACCTGGATGTTTCAGGAGAGTTGAATATGTAGAGATTACCACCCAGTTTTGTAATGTTAGGGTGAGCTTAGTTCATTATATAGGTAGCAAAATTGTAACATGAAAAGGTGTCTTTGTGAATGAGCATAAACCTGTTACTTGTAAGTTATCACTTTTGCTTTACTTATCGATTTCATCTACCTCTTTTTTATTCAACTGAAAAACTTTCAACTGACTTTGAACACGGGGTAAACATGTGGTTTATTGAATACATTTCAATACATTACTTAAAGTTAGTACTGAACTAAATGCCCATGATAAACCGTCTAAAATATTGATTTCATTAGTTATTTCAGTTTTTACCTTGTACCACAACGTTTTAATTTGCCTTTACCTTGATATCATTAATTAGCATTGTAGTCAAGCATTTAGTTAATAGTGTAGTATTGTCTTGAGTCAAGACAGCCTAGTTTGTACATAGACTTATGTGTCATGTTTTGATACAATTGTCAATAAAAGAAATATATATTAACTGAGTAAACAAAACAAAGGTCAATATTAGATCAAGGCTGCTAGAGTTAAATATCCTTTTCTAGGCTATCATTTCCTGAAAAATGGCAATGAAGGTCTTGAACTGCAATAATGTTATCTTGAGTATGTGTGGATAACAGGGCTTCCCTACAAAAAACATGTCAAATGAAAAACACACAAGACTTCTACTAAGTTATTTTTATGAGGATGGTTAGTGATATATGTATACCTCATATATACACATAAACTGGCCACAGCCCCAGAGTGAACTTTTGAGGCTATGCTATTTTGTATCTCTAGGCCCTTTGAGAGCTAAACCTGACATAGTTTTCAATGCCTAATGCTAATGGAACATCTTCAGCGATGCTAATTTCTTCAAAACAACATTAAACTGACAGTGCTAGGTTGTATATCTGATATCAACATAACAGAGTGCTAATTGAATCTCTCAAAGCAGACTACGCAGGTAGAACGTTCTGTGATTTAAGTTTAATATCTAGATATTGTCAGAGGTTGAATATCTAGGGATTTGGGTTTAATAGGTCATTTTAAGTTGAACATCTAGTTATTCAAGGTGAATAGCTAGGGATTTGGGTAGAATATCTGTCATTAAAGTTGAAAATCTAGTAATTAAAGGTGAATAACTAGGGATTTGCGTTAAATATCTTGTCATAAAGTTGAACATTTGTAATTAAAGGTGAATAGTTATTTAAGTTGAACATCTAGTAATTAAAGGTGAATAACGAGGGATTTGGTTTGAGTGTATATGGATTTGGCTTGAATATTTAGAGATTTCTACAGGGTGGGCCAAAAATGTACACTTTTTTATGATGCATAGATTTCAATATTTTCAAAGATGATGTAACTATCAATTAAAGCCATTTCTAAACTGCATAATTATGTATGTCACATTGGTATTTAACTGAGTAATTAACACTAAATAGAGCGTAAATCCAAAGTCCAGGTTTGAAACGCATAAGGAATCGATAAGAGAAACACATAATGCAAAATGCTTTCAGTATTGTAGTTTATATTTCTAAAAATATTAATGCATTGGGAGTGTATTGAGACCAATATAAGGGTAAGATGGACTGGTTCAACATCAAGATAAATGGAACTGGTATACCAAATCATTTGGCATTATTGTTTTTATTTAAACCATTCTTTGTCAGAAAAAGTCAAGAGTTTTGACTTATTCAAAGTCTTCAATAGCCTTGTATTTCATCAGATATCTCAAATCTTTATTTGAATATAAAATTTGGGTTTTGCTGTTACTTTACTTATGGATCATATCAAGTCACCAATATCTGGAAATACTTATATTTACAATTTTATCTTTGCCATTTGAAAATTTCATTTCAACTTGGGCATAGGCTTTTCACCTGGATAATTCACAAGGCAATAACATGCAAAATGTCACCACCTGACATTTGTTACAAATACCAAATGTTATTACCCCTATAAATAAAGCTAGATTTGAGCTATGGCAAATATAGGGTGTCACAAAAAATGGTAACCAAATGAGATGGAAACAACTATTTTTTTCCTCAAAGAATATCCCTTCATCACTCACAGAGTTTCTCTCGATACAACATTGAAATATAGGTGGTGGTTCTAAAACCATTTTTTCTCTAAAACTGAATTTAGTTACCTGGTGAAACTTTTAGATGTAATGATAATTGAATTGTCAGTCAGATGTCTAAATTTCGAGAATATTCCTTTGTTCCTCTGTTCCTATGTCGGTACATTATTTTGGGACACCCTATATATAGAGGTTACTCAACATGAGTCAATGAATGTGGATTTTATTCCAAGAGACAATACAAATTGATGGAGGAGTTTCAAATCTGAGTGTAAGTTTGATATTTTCTAGGTTAGAGTGTAGGAAAGCCACATAAAGTTTTATATTATAGATCCAATATAGCTAATTGTGGAAAAGGGTGGTTTTATATGCACAATGGGATGAAATCCACATTCCTTTCAGAAAGTCAATAACAGATCCATACCAAAAATTTTCCTTCTAGTAAATACATCTTTATTTTATCTTTATTTCTAAGGGAAAAATCATTATTCAAATTTAATTCATGTATACTATACCATATTCACATTCAACTAGATATCAGAAATATTCACTGATATTCTTGATTTTCAAAACAAAATTTCATAGCATTATAAAACACTTCTAACCTCACTAATTAACATACACATTGAGTGAATAAAAAGCATATTCACCAGGGAAAAAATCATATCCTCGAAGATAAACCAATACTAATAATGTGAACAATTTCCAATCTGTGACAATAACACTGCACTAGTTTTGTTCAATTTTTGTCACATCCTGACATTTATAGGTGGATATTACCCATATTCACTTGGATATAAACCATATCCACTTGGCAATTCCTTTCTTGATTCATATCAGCTTTAAACTGCACTTAACAATTGATATAATTTACGAGAACATACATCTTCCCAGAATGCGCTATTCCCGTGACTGGTAAAACAGAATATATCCAGATTCAGAGTTTTTCTGTAAATCTGACGTTAGTCCATAGAATTCCTCAATTGCAGAAGCATCTATTTTCTGAAAATACACAAAGGTAAAGCATATACAGGGTGTCAAATAAGTCCCGTCCCTCCCTCTACAGCCAAAACCAAGATGCTAGTTCCAAGTGCAATATACCATTGGAAAGGTCTTCCAAAGTTACGTTGATTGGTATATATCTGACACATGTCAATCAATCTCACAATTTTTTATATTGTATCAATTGAGGAGACCATAGGCCTAGAAACATGGCAATTTGGCGTATTTGGCAGGATTTTAAGAATCAGATATAAGAAAGGTCATAGAGCCAAAAGTTGATTAAACATGTATATGGCAATGAATTTAACCAATTTCTGGATAGGGTTAGATAAGTAGAAAATAGAGGTACAAGGAAAGTGGTGAAAACCTTTTTGTAACAAGTGGAATGCGAAAAAGATTAACTTTTTGACGTATTTCTGAGGTCATATCCATGTCATTTTGACTCAAAAATGCTGCTTAAAGGAGGGTACATTAGCCATAAAGGACATCATAAAAATATAGGTAAATTTCATCCAAAATACTTGAGAGTTGGGGAGTTAACATAACTTTGGATGATCTTTCCAATGGTATATCACACTAGGTACCATTTATTAAGGTTTTAGCTGTAGCAGGGGGGACGGGACTTATTTGACACCCTGTATAACTACATGTACATGTAATTCACATTATGTGGCTAGAGGAACAGAGGGGGTTTTTAGCAAGGAAAGCATTTTTGCACTTGTTCTCAAAAGATTAATCAATCTCCTATGTATCTCCTTTATATAAAGGGCAGTAAATATATACATACATACAACACTAAACTCCTAAAAAGACCCTCACCAGAAGGACGATTCTCAAAATATTCATTTACTCTGACATCATCGTTGACCAAGAAACAACCAATATTGAAACATCGTTGAAAAATGATCCTTTTCACGAAATCAGAAGGGCGATGGCTCTTACTTTTAACAACAATGAAAGGTACCATCACAGCATTCTCAAAAGGATTTTTTTCTCAAGTTGGTGCAAATTCTCACTTTCACAATTCACACCATGATCATGATTTTTCTCGTTTTCAAGTGAGGGCAAATGGATTTTCAGGTGGGTGTAGCACCAGACAGACTTGCTTTAACCTCTTGAATCCCAGGCTCTAAAATTGGTTGAAACCAGAGAATTTTTTCATTTTTGCCACCTTTTGACATTTTACCACATACCTTTACAATTTTAGATGCTCAACTTAGTAAAATTAGATGGCAGAGATCATTTCTACACATTTTAAAACAATTCTTATGTAAATTGGATGGAAATTGTTCAAATAAGAGCAATTTTTGTGAACAATTTTGTGACGGATTTTCTCGTCCCTCTGGGTTTCAAGGTCATTTCTGAGGTGACGAGAAATCTCGTCATTCTGGGTAGTCAAGAGGTTAATGCAGGGAGATCGCTGCATCAGGTGTACTTTGAATACAATAATCTACTTCCAAATTATTCCAGTGAGATTGATATAGTATAAGTACAGAAAAATATGTTATCAAAACACCATTCATATGGGCTAAAAGTGTTCAGATTAGGCAGTGATCACATTTCGAGATTTTTGCATTTACTGGATTCTAGATTTTGAACACTTTCTCAATAAATATCTAAAGTTGGATCGACCAAATAGGTTTATGTTATTTCAAAATTTTGAAAATCAGATTCAAATCTATTAGTCATATTAGAAAGACACGTTATGATTACTGATTATAATTCTTAGATTTCAGCAAATTTCAAGGGTGGGGGTATCTTCATTAAAGAGTATAATCACTGTATTGGCCATCCTCTAAGACCAAAATTGGTCAAACTTTTCAAGGTTTGTGCATGCTATTTATAGTCCCTAAATGCCAACATTTGCACACTCTAAGTTGTTTCTTATACACTTAAAGATACCTAGATTTAAATTGAATATATAGATAAATAAACAAGATTTTTGTTTACAATTGAAGCTGTTCACGGTTTTGCTCTGACAATTACACATTGAAAAATAATCAAAATTCAATTAAAACCTTTTGCAAGGGTTTTCCCAGGGTCGCATTTTAATCCCATTAACCCAAATTTTCTCCTTATTAGGTTTTTTCAATATATTTATTGTAAATGGATCCATAACATAAATAGGCTTATTCCAGTTCAGTTCAGAGTACTACAGAAAGGAACCAGAAACCAGACCCAGTTTGTAATTTTGGAATTTTGTACTCCCTAATTTTCATAAAAATGTAATAAATTCACATTTTTTCCAACAAAAAGTTATTCAAAAACATCGTCTTCAGGAATAAAAAATACTGATAGAAGGCTGAGATCGGTTAAAATTAATTTCGATTTAGGCCAATGCAGATTTGCCTGAATTATGAGGACCAATCAAATCAACAACAGATTAAGGTACGAGTATGTTAAAAATCTGATGGCTCAGATTGGATACAATTTGAATTTGAGTCCTCAGGCGCTGTCATCAAAAAATGGGTTTATTAATTTATGTATCTGTTCCCATAGTGTTCCCATAGTAGATAGAACAACTTATGATAGTTGCATTAGATATGTATGTTGAGGGATATCATTTTTATTCACGAGTTGATATCAATATCTGGACGAGTGAGTGTTGCGAATGAGGGCAGATATTGATATTAACGAGTCAAATTTCTTTTTTACATCATAATTTTTCATGGATTCTTCATATAAAACAGAAGAATGTACTTTAATTGCATCAAGGATATATTTGTGTCACTCTCCGTGATCAGTCGTGTGACCCTGCTTCCCTACCTAGTTTATACGAGGGCGGGAGGGTGGTTGGTTTGAAAAATGTATGGTTTCAGAATGCCTATATGACTTTTGTAATGTTATGTCTAAGAAACTATTCATTGGAATCGCTCCATATTAGACAGTATGCATGTTTGAGATGGAATTCTACATTAGAGTGAAATAAAAAGATGCTGTATGAGTAAATAGGTGTGACAATTAAGGTCAAAGGTCAAATATTTGGCTTGATGGCACTTAAAGGAATATTCCTTGCCAAACCATCTCTCTCCTCATATGGTAGCTATAACCATATATATGCTTGCCATGTTTAGCAAAACACGCAAAAATGTTTTGATATGGTCACATTTGATCACTTCGAAATGTGATGCTCAATTCCAGTAAGCTGCCATCTTTTAAAATTTCACACAGGAAGTGATGTCATCGACTCTCAACTTTGCATATAGCATTAGGTGAGGAGCTATTAAGAATTACAAAACCAGCTAAATATTCTTTTTCAACTTTGTATCTTATTTAATCCTTCTAAAAATCTCTTCTTTTATTCTAAGTTGACAAGCCCTAAAAATATTTTTGCACAGAAAGTAATGATCACTTGTCTAAAAGTGATTTTGTGCTACTTTCCTATACTGTTATGGGCAAGGTTATAGAAGTTGAGAGTTGATGACATCACTTCCTGCAAAAAATCTTAAAAGATGGCAGCGCACTGGAAATAAGCACTAGATTTTTAAATGATCAATATTGACCATATTAAATTATTTTCAAATGTTTTGCTAAATATGGAAACTATATATTTGATTATAGCTACCATATCAAGAGAGAAAGGGTCTGGCAAGGAATATTCCTTTAACCTTGATATGTAGTGAATGCCTCATACAACTTGGTAAAACTGTGTGTAGTGCTCCTTTGGAATTAATTATATCATTGATAAGTTAACTTATGAGGGTATATTTAAAAAGATGATATTAAGGTCAAAGGGTATGATTATACGCAATGTTACGTCAGTACACGCTTGCTGCAATATTTTTCTCAGGAGAAAATTAGCAATTTTTATTGTACATTCCTAAATACCCAAATTACACATGAAAATACATATCATTTTTCAAATATAAAATCTGATTTCTACCGAAAACAAAAATTCTGACACATTTTGTAGCATTATGGGGTCACTGCACTTAATGACCCCCATCTCAGCCTATCTGGGTTCAAACTCTTAAACTGTCTCCAAAGTATAATTAGACACTGAATTAGTAATTGTAAACCTAAAAAATAATCCATTCTGGTCAAAGGGGTATTTGTCATTTTGAAATTGATTTTCATAAAATTATAATAAATGACCCCTTAGGGATGAAAGGATTAATATCTAATTTTGCATTCACTCAAATTTCAAACGGATGTCAGATTCTTCTTAAAGCCAACCCTTTCAACTTTCCAATGGTTATTGGAACCTTAGTTCGGGGGTAGTCATTTATATCACCCTAGTTTGCTCTACTATATCTAATGAGCCAGTTTTAGCATATCATAAGAAAGTTTGCCACCTTAGTGACATCATCATTTCTCACTTATTTATCAAACAATTTTTTAATTTTCAACAAAAAACATGGCTGATGAATTTATGTATTGGCGTGAAGTACTGCTTTTTAAAAGATACCTGAGACCTCTAAAATTTAGTTTACTCACTGATTTTATATACTTTCTTTTTTAAAGGAGGAGGGAAAGTATTGCAACAGATTTCGGACAGTCACATGTTGGTTTTTGGCTATTTTCTAAGGATTTAAACAGTTGTATAGATTTGGCCAATGCATTATTCCCAGGAAAAGCACTCATAGAGATAATGCACTGGTGTAACATATGCACTTGTTTAAATCCTCAGAAGATAGCGAAAATCCAACAAATGACTGTCCGAAATCTGTTGCGATACTTTCCCTCCTCCTTTGAATCACTTTCTGTGTTTTATGCATTTCTGTACGATTTAGAGTATTAACAATTCAATTGAATTTTATTCATAAATTTTTCATGTATTATTCAAACTTCTACTATTATGATGTTATATAAAGCCCAGCATGTCACCTATTCTTTAGGAAAATTGCTGAAGTGATTGAACTCAAGCACAAACAATAAACATGTAGGATTGTAGGGCGAGGTTGTATTGAGAATATCTAAGGTAAAATGACATATGTAGTCTTTTAACATACCAGGTAATCATGTTCTACATCTTAATTTACTAAACACAACATGCTACCCTCTGAATAAGAGAAATAAATATAAATTGATTTATTTTATTTATTTGGAAACTACGCTTTTACAACACAAAATTGATGAGTCCATTTAAGATAACACTATTGTCAGTAAAAACCTCATTTCAAAAGGCAACAAATGGCTGGAGGACATGCTACCTTTTCTGAGAGATAATTGCTAAAGTGAATGAACCAAACTATATACAATATAAGCATATTGTACATCCTTGGCCCAAGAGTATTCCACTTCCTTCCATAGCTGCTGTTCACAGGTTAATAACAGTGAAGCCCAATCTTGAAGGATGAGCATGTGATCCAGGTTGCATATGTATTGAGAATATCTAAGGTAAAATGATGTATGTTTAGCCTCCCACTGTTAACATCCTAGCTGGATAATTATGTTCTACTTCTTGATTTACTATTTATGTACTGTCACCTGGGATTTGGTTTTGGTAAACGATGGTCTATTTTTTGACAACTTAAAATATATTGGGCCTCGATCTTTTTGGGGCCCTAGACCTCCCCGTATCTGCCAAATTGATTCTGTAGCAGAATTCCACACCCTGTTCAGAGACATCTGTAACTTTTACACAATCGCTGTTTAACCAATCTCTTATATTTAAGATCACTTTACTAACAACATAGAGGGCCAACATACATTCACACACTAAACAGCTATAATAGTCACATTAAAAAATGTAATATGTTGTGAAAAAAGTGAGAAATCAGCAAGGAGTAAAATGATTCGTCATGAAATCAAATGTTCAGTATAATATCTCTCAATGCAAGAAATGCCGAGAAACTTCATTAAAATGAAACAGAAACCAAGAGAATTTTGTACAAGTTCAGCATGAACAAATAGGGGCGTTCAGTGATACTTCAGTGATTTATTAACTCTCAAAAATGTTAAAGGAGAAAAACCTCACCTTGACATAAAATATTCACTTAAACAATTTATCATAGAAATTATAACCACGAAGCTCTTTAAAATCAAATAAATTGTTTTAAACACTTATTGTCATAATGCAACTATAATTTATGTAGTTCTAGTGCAGTATTTATCAGAAATATTTAGTCCCGATTTATAATTCAAGTAAGTAATTTTATCTAAGGTCTCTAAGGCCATTTAGATTCTGTGATTTATTTATTTTGACTTTTACTCATAAAACATCATTAACTCAAGATACATTACTAAAATCTGCTACACATAGAATTAAATTCTCTAGCCTAAGGTCATTCTCCTCTGAGAAGTAAGTTTCTATTGTACTTGTTAGCAAGCATATAAGGTCATAATGATTGTGAAGGAATGTAAAACCAACCATATATGGGTAATATCTGGGTATGAGAAGTCAAGGTAAGTCAAGGTAAGGCTAATTAATGACATCAAAAATTAAATGTAAACATTTGTATTTATTTCTTTGGTATTTATTTTTATCATTATTATATAATATGGATAAATTTGAAGAATTACTTTATATGTACTATTTACTGTTGTTTGATATACCTCAGCTGATACACATATGTACCTTGAAGTATTTGTCAATATTGGTATAGGGCGGGACTAGGCATTTCCTTTGATAAGATTTCAAGGTTAAACTCCATTAGTTCAAAATAAATTGTTTTCGAGGCATAATGCTTGCGAGGCATATCTGTAAATCTGTTGAAATAAGGTTATTCTTTCCAAACCACATTTTTGAAAATATTTCTATACCTGCACATGTTAATTTCTGGAACAAAATAAAGTGTGAAGGCATGTGTGTATTTCCTTGCTTTTTTCAGGAAAGTATCCTTGCAATGTCTTCTTTTAGTAAACCTGCTAACAGATCAATGGCAACTCCAGGAAATGCTGATATTTCAAGAAAGATCATTCAAAATAGCCGCCTTTTCAATTTTCCAAATTTCTTCTCCAAGTTTCTCAATAACACTGGATTTCCAGTGGCCATTTACTGCTGTAGGGTTACATAGAGAAGACAGTGTAATGATACTTTCCTGAAAAAGGCAAGGAAATACACACATGCCTTAATACTTTATTTTGTTCCAGAAAATAACATTGGCAGGTATAGCATTTTTTTAAATGTTGTTTTGAAAGAATAACCTCAACACCTGTCCAGTTCCAGTACCTATTGTTGACTTTAAATCAGAATTAAGTATTTCAACTGAGGTATTAACAATATATATCACTAAAACACCAATCACTGTAGTAATGATTTGTTATCATACTCATCCAGATCAGCAGATCTCTAGTGTATAGCTACCTTAATCATACATGTTTTCTTTATACAGTAAAACCTGCGAACAGGGAATGCTCTTGGGACTGAAGGAAAGTTTCCTTGTTCAGAGGTTTTCCCTATAGAGAGGGGCCACACTTTCAGCAAACTCAAACTTGCCGAATAAGCATATTTGTATATATATTGATTAATTGCACAAATGCCGGCTCCATACTTGGTTACGTTCTCCCCATGTTGATTTTAGCTGCTGCTAGCATCTGATGATGTCTAGTTGATGTAATTATTGATATGATATGTAGAGATATATTGCTAAGAACTGAATTTCAAGTTTTATCAACCCCATTTTATATCACTGATAATCTAGAAGTTGGATCAGTAAAAGATTTAAAGAGATTTGGCTTGACATGACCATGTACTTACTATCTGTTATCTCCATAAAACAATTGTGTCAGTCTCTAGATTATCACAACTGATTTGATGCAATTAGGTTTTTGAAAGGAAGAATTAGTGTCATGATAATAAGTAACAAACAGATTAGTACTAGTTTTAAAATAAATCAGGGTAATTAACAGTGGGTGGGATGCTACATCATGTAAACAATTGGCTTAACTTAATCTCAATCATATTAATCCAAGCTTTTTATATTCAGATATTGGCTTAAGACTTTCACACCTCTGAAAAATAATGGAATATACAGTGTCACCAATATTCCATATTCCTTGTTCACAGGTGAATTTTCATAATTTGCCCCAAAATAGTGTTCCTTGTTCCCTGTTCACAGGTTTTCCCTACAGAGAGGGTCCGTTAACATGTAAGTCAATGAAAAAATATTCGGTTCTTTTCAAAAGCATTCCTTGTTCATAGGTTTTCCCTACAGAGAGGTATTCCATCGGACAGGTTTTACTGTATACAATTTCTCATTATTAGTACATTTTTGTTTTGTAGCTTCACTAATTCTACCTTAGGTGAAAAAATATTAAATTTTATTTGGGGTAGATGTAGTCCATTGGCAACACTTATTTCATCCTTATACTCTTTGTTTCCAATTAAGCCTACTGTGATTAGTGAATGCATGAAATAGCTAGACTAACTGCTTTCGATCATGCTATAACATCTAAATCAAACTTATATAATAGTGCACTCATTTTAATATACGAATCAAACTTATATTATAGTTCATTTATTTTTGTACAAGGACAAAGTTATAGTATTTACCAGAAGGCTAACTTTTAATACAAGGTGACCGAAAAATAGCGACACTCTTATTATACGAATCAAACTTACATAATACATGTAGTTCATCTATTTTGTACAAGGTCATAGTATTTACAAGATGACTTACTTTTAATACAAGGTGACCGAAAAATAGCGACACTCTTATTTTAGTAACTTTTATCAATTATGATGGATTATTGAATTTTCTTGTGTTTTCAATGTGGAAAATAGTACATGTAGTTCACTTATACACTTATGTTCACTTATAGCATCCGTGACTTTTGAATGAAGGACCCACTGCCTTATGTTTACATAGTGAAATGTTGACAAAATGTGACTTTGATGTCAAAATTGGCAATTTGTTGAAAATAAAGAAACTGGAATTGCATAAAGAGATTTAAAATCGAAGTCCAGTACTAATAAAATGAATGTATAAGTATAGTAATAAGTGAACAAATTCCAAAAATACAAAATATAGGATTTATTGAAAAACTTCTAAAATGCATGGCAGAAAACTACTTAAACCACAGTCGAGGACAAGAGATCATAGTTCAAGTTATGCTAATTACCAATTTCTAATGCTCTCAAATTACCAATTTCTCATGCTCTCAAAATTAACAATTTCTTATGCTCTCAAAATTACTAATTTCTCATGCTCTCAAAATCACCAATTTCTCACGCCCTCAAATTTACAAATTTCTCATCCTTTCAAAATTAGCAATTTCTCACGCTCTCACATCAATAACTTAAAAATGTAATTTAGAATTCAGTCTTTTTCAATATTATTCCGACATTAGATATTTGCATCTTTGTGTCACCCTGTACATACGCTATATATTTCCAGGGTTGCATGAGGCAAGGTGAACGATAAAATGGAGCTCGGTATAAGAGTGAAACTTTACATATGCTGCGTTGGATTTCTCTCAATAATTATATACATAACTAAAGAATATGGACTCAGTGCATGGAGTACCCTCCCATTACTTGTTCCTGGTAAGTCAATTTCAAATTCACTGGAAGAAAATTCATTGTATTTCGCAATATGTTAAATATAATCACAATCTCCGACTGAAATTATCTCTTTCCATTATGGGCGTTGTTATTTTGATATGGTTTTCATTTATTGTTTTGATAAAAATATAATCATGATATTCAACAGTAAATCAAACAAGAAATATATCCTAGAATGTTTGTAAATTAAATTGAAAATTGGTTGTGATCACATACGGAAAATGATAAAATCATAAAAAATCATTTGTTTTAATTAGCCTATCCTGAATATTTAAATTTTATGGAAGTATGAGATTATTTTCTGCTGATTCAAAATAAAGAATGAAGACTTGATTATTTTTCCTTACTTTTTTTAACAAAGTATCTTTACATTTTTAGTTTTACTAAATCTGGACAGAGGTCAGTGTCCTGGAAGGGTCGATATTTAAAGAAATAATATTCAAAATGGCCGTATTGATTCATTAGTATTAAACAAGATGGCGATTATAATAGTTCACCTACATGAGCAAAAAAAGAGAATATGCACTTTTCAATTTTTATGTCAGAAAAAAGAAATATTCTGACAGATAACCTTAAAAATAAAGGAATTAGATGAGAGCAACAATAATTTTTAAATTGTGAATATTTTTCCAACTCTAAACCTCTATCCATTCTATTTCCTTTCATTTGAAAAAAAATCAAAATAGAGCTCAATCACAATTTTGAGAGTATGTAAAGGCTTGAAAGGGGTCAATCTACAATGTAATAAATAATATATTTTTTCGATATTAAAATATTGACCTGGCCTAAATCTATCCTATTTCTTCATTGTGTTTTAAGCTGTATGTGCTGCCGCATGTGTGGATATGCTCTGCAAAGACCCATCACCCAGTCATACAATGGGATCAGTCATGAGGCAGTATATTTTTGAGCGTATCCTACGAGGGGTTGTACCTTTCTTTTATTCATCAATCATCAATGCTGACCCGAGAAAAGTGCAAGAGGAGATCCTCATGAAGTTAATTGACACAAATAAAAACACACAATATGGCAAAGATCATAATTTCTCCAGTATGAAAACACCGGAAGATTTCATAAGAATGCATCCGGTGACCAAATACGATCACTTTGAATCATATTTTGATCGCGTCATCGAAGGAGAAGATAATGTCATAGTGGCTAATTCAAAAGCTGATTATATTGTACTGTCTTCGGGGACAACGGGGAATAATAAGAAATACCCCGTATCATTCACTGGTGGACATCGCATAGGACTTCCAATCGCAATTCGAGATTTATTTACAGTTTATCTCTCTATGAGGAGAAAGTATGTACCCAAGTTGACACTTCATAGATCCTTGGATGTGACTATTATGAATGAGCCAATCATAACCAAAAAAGGGATACCAATGGGAGGGGTTGTGGGTCGAGCAAAGTTCCTCCTTCCAGGCTCAGCTGCACCCAATTGCATCCTTGAAGTATTAACGCAAGATGAGGCATTATACTTGTACGCCTTATATGGACTCAGGGAATCAAAGCTAAACAATATTGTTCTTGGGTTAGCGACAATCGCCTTAAGGTTTTTCCAAACCATTGAGGCCAACTGGGAACAATTATGCATTGATATAGAAACAGGGACAGTATGGAACAAACTAAATATAAAATCTGAAATCCGTGCACAGTTAGAACCTACACTGTTCCCAGACCCGCTACGTGCAAATCAACTCCGAACAGAATTCATGAAAGACATAAGAGGTTTCCCGACACGAATATGGTCGGTGCCTTTCATATTCATGATTTCAACAGGATCATTCAGAATATACCATGACATCATCCAAGAGAAGTATCTTTTGTGGAAGATCCCGATATTTACGACTCTGTTCGGTGCCTCTGAAGGACTCATGGGAATTTGTATCGATGATCATCTCGCCTTTACAAACTCAGCTTTCTTCGAGTTTATTCCAGTGAGATATGACTTAGAAGATGGGCAAAATGGATATGATGATAAACCATTGAGGATACACCAGGTATTGCCATGAAAATCTGTTAAGGATAAACTGCACATTTTGTTGTTTTATTATTTATACTTGGGATATGTTTCGATATGTTTTAGACAGGTTTGTAAAATGTTGTAGTTTCAACACAGGTGGGCAAAATTTGGGATAAAAAATGTTTGGGGACAGCTTAATAAATAACACCTCATGGTCTTATATGTAAAATATTTGCAGATTTTTTTATGCAAAATAAAAGAAATGATTTAAAATAGCAATATGCTAATACATGTGTTTATAAATGAATAAGTCTTCATTTTACCAAACAAGAGAGCCATCTATTCAATACCATGGACTTTCTATTGAATGCCCGTGTCAATACCAAATGTAACTTATAGGGCCAATAATACCTTGGCTTAGGCCCTGTAAATGTTTTAAACAATATTGTTACAATAAAGGAACCATAAAAACTAAAACTTAAAGGAAGCATGAACTTAAAAATAAAATAAAACTTAAAGGAAGCATGAACTTAAAAATAAAACTAAAGCTAACCAACATGTTGAAAAATGCATTTTTTATTTCTACAATGAAGGTTGAAGTTGGGAAATGCTATGAGCTTCTGATCACTAACAACTACGGACTCTGTAGATATAGGTTTGGGGACGTCATCAAAATAGTTGGATACAAGAACAAGCTGCCACTATTCGAGTTCCAATACAGGTAAATTTATGTAAAACATTGTATACATGTAACAAAATGAAAAAGGAAATTTGTATTAGAAACACATGTGAACATGCACTCTATTCTTAACTGGCCTGTCAATTCTTAACCATGTTTTTGGTAATATTCATTTTTCAGGACAGGCCAAATGCTAAATGCAATCTATGAAAAAACACCAGAGACATCTTTTATGGAGTCTGTAACTAAAACCATGGAACAACTCGAGGGAGTAAGCTTAGTCGACTACACAGCCACGGAGAATATAAATGTAGACAAACTCCGGGGTAAGAAATAAAAAAATTTGATACAAAGGGGTATGATAATTAAATTAAGGAGCCACTGAAATTCTAATCAGACAAGGTGAGAAAAGTAGTCTATAAATTACACATGACTATTTAACACATGTATTATACATGAAACACAAAAATGTGAAATAAATAGATGGCAATGGTAGTTTTGCTTGGGCAAATATTATATGACATAACTAACAAAAGGTCTTAATTTATCTAATTACAAATTGGATTAATTGGCATCTACATGACCGTGTTGACTTTACCGTGAATACAAGAATAATTAAAATTCTCCTTGTCAAAAATTATTCACAGAATTTAAAAAATCACATAATAAAAAAGTCTTAAATATGCTTATCCACTAAAATCACATTAAAATGAGACTTTATCAATTTAAATCTATATAGCAAACCCTCTATTGATAATTATCACAGAGTATTAACTTAAAAAAACATATTTTCAGAGTGTAACAATACAAAGAAACGCTACATTCTTTTTCTGGAGACGTCCAGAAGTGACAAAGTTACAAGACTGAATCCTGAACAGCTTGGTTTAGTAAGTTGGTAAAATATCATATTAGCAAAGAATTTGCATACACCTGAATGAAAGGCAAAATTACAGTTCTAAAGGAACCACACAAGACTCTTTCTCCATGCATACATTTTTTAGCCAAAATGAATCAATGTTATTTCGTACATTCTTCTTCAAAGGACTTCATTTATATCTAAAATACTATATACCATTGCTGCAAGGATGACTTAGTAGTTCAGGCCCGTAACCAGGATTTGCCAAGGGGGGTTCACTTTTTGAAAAATTCCAGGGGGGATTCACTTGTGACAATTTTGGTCCAAAAATGGCCCAAATCACTCAAAAAGTGCTCAGAATGGTGAAAAACTGCATGATTTGGAAATATTTTTTGACCAGGGAGAACCCATCGAACCCCCCTGGCTACGGGCCTGTAGTCCACACATAATTTAGTCACCAACTTCAATTTAAGATTTAAATACTTTCTTAATGTATTCTGTATAGTTTACTTTAAGATACTTATATACTGATATTTAATTTTCAGTTCGACAAAACTTTATGTGAAGTCTTTCCGCAATATGGGCGCATGAGGAATGATCAGATAATTCAACAGATGGAGGTTCTACTAGTCAAACCACAAACATTCGAACATCTTCGCAGTTATATGCTGCAGAAAAATAGAAAGACAACGGCGTATCAATTTAAAATGCCACGAGCAATGAGAAACACAAATTACCTGAAATTTCTGCTTGATAGACTCTTATAAATTATAGTATTGTGAAATGAGTGGAACACCTGAGGTAAAGTCCCATGATTCATTGACTCAATGTTAAAGTCGCGCCTCTCTCCGAAACGCAATCTTAGGTTGTTCCCGGGGTCCCTGGTAATATTTTATACTTTAATGAGAAAATATACAATAATGAACAAATGGAGCAAATACTGTGAGGAAATACTCACGATAAAGATGTTATTTTGACGATTGTTCATTCAATTGTTCAGGAGTTCGCCAGTAAACAAATTTCTTAGAAGATTTCTAAATTTAGAATGTCACGTGACTACATTAAATAAACCCCCTTAAATTACACACACGTATAACTAATGCCCGGTTAGTACTGTGGCAGAGCGCTCGCCTGTCACCTTGATGGACCGGGTTCGAATCCTGACGTCGTCTTTTTTATTTTTTAAGTTAATGGTTGTGCTTTGATTCTACGCTTAAAAAACGTTTATATCTACGTCGAATTTATATTTAAGCATTTATTATCTTTTCAGTAGTATGAAAATGGAAAAATTATTTTTGTTCTCATATTGCGTTTTGGAGAGAGGTATAGGTTTAAATATTTTCAAACAAATAGATTTCACACCTGATAATGATAATATATGTCTTTTAATATATATTAACATGTAGATATTTATAATTAGCATGTCCATTGTATGTACTTATGTATTGATTTTTATTTATACTACTTATGAAGATAATATATTGCATATTAAATGAAATAAGTGTTCACTAAATTATTCTTGTGTCAAAAGTTTATTCTGTTTTTAATTATACCCGTGAATTCTTCACCATCTATTTAGGATTAAAGCCTCAAATAAATATATCATGAATCATAATAATTAGATATCATTTATATTGAATAATATATCAGAAACCTGACAGTCTTAATATGACTAGGCTCTTCCATAATCACTAATCCTTATAATAATAATTATAATTATATTGACCACATTCCTTTATGGCATTCCAATAATTCAAAAATCTAATTCAAATGAATTTAGTCATGCAAGAAAGACCTAATTATGATTGAGACCATTCATTTTTTCCAAAGGTTTTGATATCGTTGATATCAGTGTTAAATTGAGAATATTTGAGCAATTTTATAAGAAATGTGTGATATTTTGTGAAAGGTGTTCAGTTTAGACAGGCAAATTTTTCAAATATGACAATTCATTCTTCGAATTTGGAGGTGTTCAGATTTGAAGTTTTTTAACATGGGAGTCTCAATGGGAGGAAAAACGGGAATGAAAAAGTGTTAAGATTGGGAGGTGTTTCACTACTAGGGCGCAAAATGCAAGACTCAATCTCTGGTACCAAATAATTGCCTTAAATGCATTGTCTCCCAATTTGCAATATAAACTAAGAATCACTAAATGTACTTACATCAACTATGTCATCATCAAATAGTAACCAAAACCCATGGCTCTTCACAATACTTATATAATGCCCTCTATTGGGGCCACTGCCACAGTGTATCACCACGGCAATTAGGTCAAACATTCTCTCAGGGTTGAATGCATCGTCTGACTGAAAACACAAACAGTTTGAATAACATCTATATCATCTTTAGGAGGTATGTGGTAAAATTAATGTTAAAGTTTCCTTCAAAAGTTTTGAAAATTTTACGATTTTAAGGAATAGGGTTGATAAGGAATGATACGAGACAAAATGATACTTCATAAGATTTTTGGGAAAAATAAATACTCCATGGTGAAACGCACCACAGTGCATCATTAGGTACTGGACCAAACTGAATCAATGGATTAAGAATTTGGTAAAAACTGAATTACTGACATGTTGTATTGATATTTTACTAAACATGCTGAAAAGTCAGTTAATCCAGATGAGAACTTATTGCAGGATTTGAAACCTACAAGTCAAAACAATAAGAATGGAGCTTACTGTGTTGAAAAGCCTTAATTCCAATGGAAAGACGACCCTGTATGAAAGCTTCGTAAATCTGTTCAGTTGTTCCATATACTTAAACCTCTTCAGGTGTAGAGCTAAAATGTGTGGCAGCTTTTTGACACGCATTCTGAAATTATAAAAACATACAGCTGAAATGAAGCAGTTTTGTGACACATATACTTTGAAATGTAATGTTCCATGTATTATTATGGTATTGCTTTTCTTTGTAATTAAATAACTTTTGGATGGACATTGAAATGGCACTCATGTAACATCATCACTCACTTGGGTTTAAATGTTTTGAACTTGCAAAAGTTGATTTTTCTCTTTTCCTGCATCCTTAGACCCCCTTCTAACATCTCCTTTTAAGGACTTGAAGCAAGAGTACTTTTCCTTACCTCCCCAAAATAAAATCACTTATGTAAAACCAAATGATACACCAATATTTGACCAGACTCTTGATGAATGATTTTCTTGCTTTCTTGATGCCAAGACTTCTGATGCTGGCTGCCCATACACCCATCAGCTTAAGACAGCAATAATAAAGCACTATTTCCATAATGAAAATCTTACCGTTTTTGTGCCTCTTGTTTGCTACAGCAGACTTCACAATAATATTTACAATCGCTACATAGGGTCTCCGTGTTGCTAAACCCCCGGAGACAGTGGGTTATTGATGTGTTTTGTTCCACATCTACTGATAAGTCAAGGAAATCTTCATCCTTGCTTGAAACCTGAAATAATAAAGTACACACAATTTGTACATGAATGTTAAAATATAGCTTAAGACAATTGACTGCATGCGGCCTATTGGTGTTTTATTCCACATCTCTGACCATGTTAAGAGAATCCTAGTAGTCTATGACTGCCTCTGGTAATGCACCATTCTAATATTTGAGTAAGACCCCAAATGCTAGGAGGGTTGGAATTTTAAAATACAGTATTGTTCAAAGGGATGGACTTTTGATATCTCTGGATCATTGAGTAGGGACTTATGAAATGTATATTCCCCATAATCAGAATTTTGACTATATTTGACCAGCTAGTTTGACTCTCAGGGTGGGAGCCAAAATTGACTCAATAGGTTGTTCCTAGGGAATTTGACAGCTTTCCCCTGGAGAATCCACACAAACCATTGATGTTCCAGGAATATGTCAACAAAAGATCGGTTTAAGGTAGGTAGTGTACATGTACGTGTCTATTAATACTTACAGTTTCACAATTTAAGCATCTTGTCTCATTAGTGAGCGTCCCCTGAAATATATCATGTACCCATGTAGAGTCATTCCTAGGTGGGCTGTGTCCCAATGTGGGCCCATTCTTCACTTTTCCTGCTTTCTTCTCTTCTGAAACAAAGCAATTAATTCAAATTCATAAAAGGCGATTATTCTAGCTCTATACATTATTGGACATCAAATTGGTGCCTGCTACACAGCAGCTATATTAAACTGCTATGTTAAAAAGCATCTTTTATCCTAAACTTCCTTACATAAATGGTTCTTTAGACTCAAGCCAGATGTGTAACAGGACTCGTTTATTCATTTCCTCAATTCCTTGAAATTAGTGGATGACACAAATTGTGCATATTCCCATAATGTGGAAAAATAACATAATCATATATAATAACATATAATAATTTAGTCTCACTTATGAAATCCTTGTTACACTTCGTGTACATGTTAATCAATGTAATCATAGGTTAAGAGCCATAGTCACTGACAATCATTTAAGAGACCTAAGCTGTTATCTAGAGAGGGGATGGGGGTGGATGGGTTGTCCAAACTAAAGTACTTTGGTCTCCATATTAACATTGATATTTTGACCCTGCCCCTAATAAACCTAGAAATGTGAACACCTGTTAATCCGAAACCTTTGGCTTATCCCAGTGGTATTCTGACATTCTGGTAGACAGGCTTTACTGTACTTTTAAAGACTTGAAAACCAGATGAAGCCTAAATATATGACTATGTGCATCCTCCCCCCACCATGTCTACTACGTACCTGTTAATATATCTCCAACTGTGTTCAGCAGGTAGTTGAGAAATTCATGTGCATCTTGCTGCATGTAGTTGTCAAACAACTCTGAAATGTCAAACAACTCTGAAATGTCAAACAACTTTGAAATGTCAAACGACTCTAAAATGTCAAAAAAATTTGAAATGTCAAACAACTTTGAAATGTCAAACAACTTTGAAATGTCAAACAACTCTGAGATGTTAAACAACTCTGAAAAGTCAAACTCTGAAATGTCAAACAACTCTGAAATGTCACACAAGTCTAAAATGTCAAACAACTTTAAAATGTCAAACAACTCTGAAATGTCAAACAACTTGGAAATGTCAAACAACTCATATATTTTAATATGTGATTTCTTATGAAAATATGTGAATAAGTTTGTGTGAAATATTATTCCATCATTTATCATAAAGTATTTTGAACAAATGGGTGGTATATGCTGCATATTAAAATTGTTTTCAGTACAATGATGCAGTAAGCACATTCTAAGATTACCCATAAGACATGATGAATATGGAACTTTATGTAATAACTAAAATACATATTTTGGATTCTCTATCAAAAAATTAGTTTGATAACATAGATTTGAAAGAAATTATTACAATTTTGGGAGGTTTTGGTTTATTGGAATCATCCTGTACATGTTTGAGTATGCTTTTTATGGCATGTTCTTAAATACTGATGTAGCCCAAAACAGTAATTTATCAAACACATACCATTTTCTTTTCGTAATCTTTGTATAAATTTCTTAGGAGCGATGGTCCCGACTTTTTTCTTTGATGTGGCTATACTATGAAACAAATCCCCTAGACATGATAACAAAGTCTCTTTCTTGGCATTCTTCTGTTGCTGTTTATATTGGAGAACCTTCTCTCTAAATGGCCGGCAGAAATACAAGGCTTGTAAGACAGAGTTACAATAACATGTGTTACCAAACTGAAATCAGAAAGTGTTTGTACAGAGTTAAGTACATGGTGTTCAATAAGTACTGATAAAATGTATTATTTTGTATTGAGACTATTAAGGAAGCTTGAGCAGTACATAACATACAAGGCATTAACATGACAAAATGTCACCACCTAGTTGCTCACAATATTATGAGTTCAAACTTAAGTCAGATTTGAATTTCTGAGAACTTGTAAAGTCAAATTTGAACTTCTGAAAAGATGTAGATGATTTTGAAAAAAAAATTTGGTCAATTTGAAGCAAGTTGAAAACAGACCTTTTTGACCTTTTTTGACCTTGAGAAGGTCATTAAAGGTCAAATGTCAAATCTAAAGTCAGATTTGAATTTCTGAGAACATGTAGATGATTTTGAAAAAAAAAATTAGTCAATTTGAAGCAAGTTGAAAAAAGACCTTTTTGACCTTTTTTGACCTTGAGAAGGTCATTGAAGGTCAAATGTCAAATCTAAAGTCAAATCTAAAGTCATATTTGAATTTCTGAGAACATGTAGATGATTTTGAAAAAAAATTTAGTCAATTTGAAGCAAGATGAAAAAATACCTTTTTGACCTTTTTTGACATTGAGAAGGTCATTGAAGGTCAAATGTCAAATCTAAAGTCAGATTTGAATTTCTGAGAACATGTAGATGATTTTGAAAAAAAAATTTAGTCAATTTGAAGCAAGTTGAAAAAAGACCTTTTTGACCTTTTTTGACTTTGAGAAGGTCATTGAAGGTCAAATGTCAAATCTTAAGTCAAATCTAAAGTCAGATTTGAATTTCTGAGAACACGTAGATGATTTTGAAAAAGAATTTAGTCAATTTGAAGCAAGTTGAAAAAAGACCTTTTTGACCTTTTTTGACTTTGAGAAGGTCATTGAAGGTCAAATGTCAAATCTAAAGTCAGATTTGAATTTCTGAGAACACGTAGATGATTTTGAAAAAATTTTTTAGTCAATTTGAAGCAAGTTGAAAACAGACCTTTTTGACCTTTTTTGACCTTGAGAAGGTCATTGAAGGTCAAATGTCAAATCTAAAGTCAGATTTGAAGGTCAAATGTCAAATCTAAAGTCAGATTTGAATTTCTGAGAACATGTAGATGATTTTGAAAAAAAATTTAGTCAATGTGAAGCAAGTTGAAAAAAAACCTTTTTGACCTTGAGAAGGTCATTGAAGGTCAAATGTCAAATCTAAAGTCAGATTTGAACTTCTGAGAACATGTAGATGATTTAGAAAAAAATTGAAGTCAGTCTAAACAGTATTTGTTAAGTTATAGGAAGTTGTAAGAAATTGTTACAGACGCCAACCTCCAACCACCAACCGCCGGACGCCAACCGCCGGACACCAACCACCGTCGCAAAAAAACGGAAACCATAACAAGATGTCACCACTTTTGGTGGTGACATAAAAAAAACGGAGACCATAACAATATGTCGCCACTTTTGGTGGTGAAATAAAAACACATTCAACTGCTATTATTTCAACAATAAGCTAGGATCTCTGTCAGGCTAACTTACATCTGAAACCAAATGTAAATATACACGTATAATCAACAAGAACACAAATGTGTACAAAATGTCCCCACCAAGTGGTGATCCCGTCAAATGGTTATCCTGAAAATGAGTAGACAAGACTTTACCAACACAATTTGAGGACGGAAAATCCAAAGTGGCCACCTTAAAATTTACCCAGAATGACAAAAATTTAGTCAGTTATAGATTTTCATACTAAGAACCAGCCCTGTAAATTTGAAATTGATCCGTCACACAGTTAACCAGAAAACATGTAAACAAGACTTTACAGACAAGATTTCTGGATGGAAAATCCAAAATGGCTGCCTTGACATTTACCCAGAATGTCAAAAAACTAATCTGTTTGTAGATTTTCATACTAGGAATCATCCCTGAAAATATGAAATTGATCTACCAAACGGTTCACCTGAAAACGGGTAGACAAGACTTTACAGACAAGATTTTAGGACAAAAAATCCAAAATGGCTGCCTTAACATTTACGCAGAATGCAAAAAAACTAATCAGATGTAGATTTTCATACAAAGAATCATCCCTGAAAATTTGAAATTGATCTATCAAACCGTTCACCTAAAAACGCGTAGACAAGACTTTACAGGCAAGATTTTAAGACGGAAAATCCAAAATGGCTGCCTTGACATTTACCCAGAATGCAAAAAAACTAATCAGTTCTAGATTTTCATACTAAGAATCATTCCTGAAAATTTGAAATTGATCTACCAAACAGTTCACCTGAAAACGAGTAGACAAGACTTAACAGACAAGATTTTAGGACGGAAAATCCAAAATGGCTGCCTTGACATTTACCCAGAATGCCAAAAAACTAATCAGATCTAGATTTTTATACTAAGAATCATCCCTGAAAATTTGAAATTGATCCACCAAAAGGTTCACCTGAAAACGCGCAGACAAGACTTCCTAGACAAGATTTTAGGACTGAAAAATCCAAAATGGCCGACAATAAAAAAGTCCTTATGAGTTTTTGCTGATTTCTTTTTACAAAATTATCACATATAACTACTGTTAACAATAAAGTAGGCTTTTACAACAAAGTACATCTGAAATTATTTATAAAGCTATTAAATAGTTAAAGTATGAAAACTCAAAAACACCATTCAATATGATACAAAGTATCATCGCGCGCTAACTTTTCTTAAGACATTCAAAATGGCTGACATGACTGAGCTAGCAGGTCCAAAACCTAATCAGATCTAGAATGAAGTGAGCTGAACAAGATGTTAAAGTTTTAAAAGCAACTGTGAAGCAGTTTTTCTTAAAGTTTGCAGACAAGGATTTTAGCATTTGCCTTCAAAATGGCCGACAGGAAGTAGGTTTCGAGTTAAATTTTTTTCATCCACATTTATAGGCACTCATAAGTTATCCCTGAAAATTTGAAGGTGATATCTGTGGAAAAAACTCCCGGACGTACGGACGGACGGACAGACGGACAGTTAGACAGTCGGACGCGCCTAGGCCGATAATATGGCCCCACACTATGTGGTGGGGACATAAAAATCATCCCATTTTTCATTAACATATGGGGCTCTGCCTTGATAACTTATGCAACTTACAATTCATAGTTAGTATAATTGAGAGCAAATAGAAGTTAATGATGTATTGATCTTACAAAAACAAGCTCAATTTTAAATCACATGCCCCACAATGAAAACTGAATAGACCTCCCAATAAATCCTGATACCTTTTGGCGAACCAAAAATAAATTGGTTAGATTGATGATGTTCACAAAACTGGAAGAAGTTGAAAATCAGTCTAGCTACAAGCCCCCGAGTCCTGTGACCACCCCTCCCACTACATCGCTACACAGCCATGAAAAGATCTCACACAGGGGAGATGGTAGTCTGTAGTGGGGGGTAAGGCTTGTAGCTAGACTATTGAAAATCAGCAGTAATAGGTTAATCCTTAATTCTACATTTATTGTAAGAATGACATCATAACTATTAGTTGGCACGATGTACTATATTGGATAAGTTTATTGATTAAATGTTACTTACATTAACTAATCCAAAGTAGTGCTCATTAGTAGGGAACTGTTCAGAGCCTATCTCCTTTTCTAATTGTGAAGCGTTAGCTCCCTGAAAGCAAATGCAATTTTCAGTATATTGAGAAAGAAAATGAATGTAGACAGATGATACTGTTTTGTATTTTTTGGCTGAAATCATAAATGAAAATCACAAATGACATTCCACTTTTTTGGTGATGCAAGAATCATTGAAGTGTTCCCATTGAAATCTTTGAAGGTACATGTAGTCTCATTTTGCCAATAAAAAAATTTTCATTGTAGTTTGGTGTTTACTAAAGAGAGGGTAATTTATACAGAAGTCAGGAGTGCAGTGTGTTTGGATGAAGGGTGTCTACTAGAGACAGATGTTCGCAAGAGAGGTGTTCATTAAGACAGGTTTTACTGTTTATGCATTTTACTGCAAAATTCAATGAAATTCATAAAAATTTGTCAGACATCTGGTTGATCAATGCATATATAACAGTTTAAAGTATCAAGTCGCAATGGTAGCATTACAGTGCCAATGGTTTCAGACACAGAAACCGAAAGGAAGAAGAAGACTCTGATGTAATGACGGGGATTTCCTTTCTAAAACCTACCTCCATCTTGATGAAAATTTCCTTGATCTGCTGATAAACCCATATGATTGGATATTCTATTACATATAACAGTATAACCTAGGCTTATTTCCAAAATGTAGGTGTGGCCAAAGGATAAACACCTAGTTTACGTCACAAATAATGACTAATATGTAAAGATCTCAATACACAGGCATAGACAGGTGGTGTAAACGATAGAGTTAAAATTAAAATCTTATATCCAGAACTGTTCTACAAGCAGGAAATGACTAAATGTCAAAAATGAAAATCAGGAATGATTTTATTTTTCTTGTTTATTTTTTACACCATGTTTATCGCATAATAATCAAGCAATTTGAGGTTGAATCAAACATATTTGGGGTCCCTAAGTACACAGAGCTATTCATCTTTTGTATGCATTTTTCAAAACATCGATCCATCGAGTAAAAAAGCCATACATACCATTTTGTTCAAGATTTGAAGAAATATTTCTCCAAACTTCATCCGCCATGTTTTCATTTGTGGGAGAAATTTGTTCCGTGGACATATCTAATTTTTTTTACTTTCTATACACACTCAGAAAACATTCCATAGTCCTATAAAAAGTAAAAATCAATAATTATACAAGATTTTGATTAATTAGATAGAAGCTATTTTGCTTAAATAGCGATTTTCTTGATGAATAACTTCAATATTTGAAATTCAGATACGGCATACTCTTTTTCTTAAAAAAATAATTAAATTGAAAAAACAGAATTTTTCACATAGTTTGGCTTAAAGATATTTTATGAACCGTTATAATAATTTCAAATGCTATAATTATTGATAAAATAAGGAAAATATACACGTAACTTTTCTCTCATCTTCACGCGATTTCGTTCTTTTTCCGGGGGTCGCCATCTTGAACAGGTGCTCGAACACGATTTCTCTCTTTTTATCAATCAAAGTCAGCAAATCGGTTTAGAATCATCCTGCCCTGTGATTTAATAGATAGACACTTAAACAAACTTTTGTTTTTGGTGTCATTTTATTGTCAATTGGGCAAAATGATATAAATTTTGGCGTGTTCAGATTTTACAATTTTTCCACGTTTTTCAACATTTTTGTCTGTCATCAAAAGAAGTATTTTCAGGCGGGACCGTTCGAGTTCCTATGTTCATTCACAATGCTTTTTACAACTATGTCCCATTGGCTTACATTGTGTAATCTAATCTGTAGTGTTATATGGCCAATGTCTGGCTTGAAATGATGTTATGGGGAAAATGCCTTTGCATAATGTTTGGTCAAATTTGGGCAAGATGTAACGTCATGTTCGGTAATGTCGACATAAGAGATGGGGTAACTTCGACCCTTACTTACTACAAGGAGAATTTCCTTTATCTGCAATGTTTGATTTCTGGAAAAATTAAATCTCGATCCATCCGAGAAAAAAACATGGCTTACCTCTAGATCGGAAATTAGACGAAATAAACAACGAAGTGTCGAAGTTTACTTCGGTCCAAAGCCTTCTCTATATTCCGGCTTTGAGGAGGAAGATTGAGCTGCCTTAGTATTATAAATATTGTAAATCATTGTGTCACACGCACAGTAAATATGGCATAATAATATGAAATATACCTTTATGTATAGATTTGAAGAACATCAGCTCACATCCCCGTCTGAATCTATTGTTATATTTGATTTCTTTAAGCGAGAATAATTTCAAATGTTATTCACGTCCAGAACCGGAAGCCATTTTTAGCTACAGCGAGAAAATTTCACCATGTGTCAAACTCCGAAATGAAATTTTGAAATATCTTAATCCAGACAAGCAACGCTTCATCCTAAATATGATTAATATTCTTAAAAATATTTATAAAATTTATTAAAAATGAGTTCTAGGTGCGTGTAGGTGCGTGTAGCACAGTACATACGAAATCAATGAAGTTTCGTCTAGCTGTAAGCTAGAGACTCGAGTAAGTCGAAGTTACCCCAAAATGGTTACACCCCTTCACCCTCGTAGGTCAATTCCCTTTTTTTACAATGCATTCACTATATTATCATAATTTAATGAAAATGTGACATTTCTAGCCATGCTTGCTTATACCTAATGATATTCTATTGTTTCAGGCCATAATGACGAATCCTAAAGGTTATCGCCGCGGTACGCGGTATATGTTCTCCAAGTCTTTCAGGAAAAGGGGTCCTATTGCTTTGTCCAAATATATGAAAGTCTACAAAAGAGGAGATATTGTTGATATCAAAGTAAGTAGCTAATTGAAAGCTGAAGTTGTTTGAGAAGCAAAAAATGTCCTATCCACCCGGTATAAAAGCAACTCTGTATCACACCCTGGCCGAAATTTTTTTAATGAAATGGCACCATGTTAAAAATCTGTTTCACCATAACTTATGGATAAATCATAGAACATAGGGAGAGAAGCTTTTTGTCCATCTGTAAATATATTGGAGAAAATGTGTAACTCATTTTTTCATAAAAATTCAATCACAATAATTAATTAATTGATGTAGATATCACACTGATTTCCCTAGTTTTTTACAGGGTGCTAAATCTGATCAATATTTTGATTCTTTTGACAGGGGTAATGTTTCAACAGGGTGTGGTACATAAGTGCTCTAAAGTCCATTTCACTGCTTCATTTCGTCAGTAGAACGGCAAAAATAAGAAATTGGGAGACCATTGTGCAATAATATATGGAAAAGTATATTCATAATGTACATGAATGACATTTGTATATCTTGGATTGCTTCTAGTTTGGCTTATAAAGTGTGTGGCCTCTTATATTTGGATGTTTCTCTGCCATGTTATTTTCAAGATTAACATGGCTGAAATTCTTCAAATTACAAGATGGCACAGGCTTATTGCACAAAAAACTAAAAAATCTGAAATATACAAATGTCATTCATGTACATTATGAATATACTTTTCCATATATTATTGCACACTGGTCTCCCAATTTCTCATTTTTGCCGTTCTACTGACGAAATGAAGCAGTGAAATGGACTCTAGTAGAAGAGATCTCTGTATCATGTTGCAATGATGACCAACTTAGGACACTTATGATCCTATGTGATTTTAAACACTAAGCGTTACCACTTTCTGAGCAACATTGTATTTACACTTCAGTATTAATTTATATTTTATATTTAGACAACATGAATCAAATTCAAACAATACTCACAACCACTTCATCATTTTTGTATTGTCTTCCAGGGAGATGGTTCTATTCAGAAAGGTATGCCACACAAGTCCTACCACGGCAGGACAGGACGTATTTACAATGTCACACAACATGCTGTTGGTGTTATCGTCAACAAGCGAGTCAGGTAATTATCCCAACGAACGAAGTTCGGTAGGGATATAGTGAAGCCCTCCATCCGTCAGTCAGTCCGTCCGTCCGTCCGGAAGATAACTCAAATACGAGTTGACGGATTTTCTTCATATTTAGTGGAAAGATGTATATTGGTGAATAGTTGTACGCAAAAAAAAAAATTTTTCAAGATGGCCGCCGTTTTAAAAATGACGGGACTTTTTCGCAAAAACCATAAATTTTTCATTCTAGACCAAAGTAATTAATATTATTGTTTGAAATTTTGGTAGTATATTCGCAACATCTATCTATTTCACATATATTCCGTGTTTTTCATCCTGACCCCCAGGGACTGTGTATGGGGGTCAGGAAAACAGTAATTTTCGCTAATTTTTAGATCTTTCTGAAGTATAGCTTTATTATACTCAAATGAAAGGCAATTAAGAGTAGATTGCAAATATTGTATCTTTTTTCTGATTCGAGCCTCGTAAAATTCAAAATGGCCGTCTTATGTACGATTTCGCAATAATTTTTCGATCCCTTCAAAGTATGGCTATATTATACTCAAATTGAAGGAATTTTGGAGTAGATCATAATTATGGTATTATTCGTCAGATTTGTACCTCAGAAAATTCAAAATGGCTGCTTTGCAGGAATTCGCAATTCTAAAATTTAAATTTTTCAATTTTAACTAAAGTAATGAGTATAATTGATTGGAATTCGGTAATTGATATTTTGTTCGTTGGGATTTGCTACTCCGCGGAGTTGCCATTGTCTAGTTAAACACATGTTCTACATTTGCACCAACATTCTAAAACAGGATTTCTAGTGGTGTACTTTACAGAGAAACAGGAGTAGAAATGATTATGAAGAATTGAGCTCAATGTTGATGGAAGAGAGTGTCTTTTGACATGCTTTATTTGACACAAATATTTCTACTTAAAGGTCAGGGTGCATGTTCGGAATTTTGCTGCAACTCTCAATTGAGTCACATTTTATTTTTCAAATTTGAACCACTCCTTCCCCACAATATCTACATGTCTCACTTTTGCACAAGTGCACTGATGTACCTAGAAAAGAATGTAAAGAAGAATGTTTTGATAAAATGTATAAATACAAGAAAAATCTGTGAAAATTTTGGAATTTTGGCTGCTATTTAATATGGTCGATCGACTCATCGGTGAAATATGGAAATTGGAAGGCTAGCTAGAAAGTCACATTGGCGGGTTACTCTTGGGTGACACAGGGAGGTTTTACCTTCGTATATGAGCTAAAATGTAAAAATGGGGCTACAATCAAAACATTGGAAGAATTCTCAATGAGACCTAAGGTCCCAGAGATTTTTTATTAAAAAGTTGGTTGAGGCTCAATTTGATGTTTTTTATCAAACCGCTAAATTAAATAAAACAGCCGTGAAATTGAGGCGAATTACAGTATGTCTGATTGAATCGTTTCTAAAATCTTTAAACGAACTACTCCATTTCTCGATTTATTCTTTGTTACACTCCTGTGATATTTTGTATTTTCATCTGCGAAATATCTGAATAAATTAAACTTCAGCGAGTCATGATTGTTGATACTGGTGTTGATCTGATTATTTGAGACCCTCATTGTGTCAGTGACATTACTCCATGACTAGTTTTGCATTGCTAATCTCCCCATCGAAGCAATTGGGGGGTGTTTGTAATATGATTGACTGTGTTGCAATGATGACCAACTTAGGACACTTATGATCCTATGTGATTTTAAACACTAAGCGTTACCACTTTCTGAGCAACATTGTTTTTTAATAAGTAATTTTGATAGCAACATATGCATATTGTATCATTCCCATTGTGCCATGGATTGATGATTTATGACTTTTTTGTTGATTTTAGAGGTAGAATTATTCCCAAGAGAATCAACCTCCGTGTAGAACACATCTCTCACTCTAACTGCAGACTGGATTTCCTCGTCAGAGTGAAGAAGAACGAAGAAATCAAAGCAGCAGCCAAGGCAGCTGGCACCAAGCCAGATTGCAAGAGACAGGTAGGGTCTCCCAAAGATCATCCTAATAACAATGTATTCACCGTAACATTTGGGGTTTAGAAGTGAAAGGTACTCAATGCCTATTGCTGATATGCCTATTGCTGATATTTAATCGAACCATATTGCCTTAGTTGCATTGATTGGTCTGTTATGAATTTTGTGATGTCATTCATGTGGTGAAATATTAATGTATTTTGTACAAAGTAACACCCATAAAGTAACCCTTAGTAATGTCCCATAAAGTAACACCCACAAATAACCCCTAGCTTTGGCGTTGTTGTTGTAATATCCATAGTTATGAACCAATGCTCATTTTTGTGCCCTTGGCAATGAGTTTACCCAGCATGAATCATGTATTTATTTGTCTTTAAGACCCTCTGTTCACAAATTGTTTTTTTGTGTGTTTTCAGCCACAACAGCCCCATACAGCACATTTTGTGAGGACTCGCTACAACAAGCCACAGGTCATCCAGCCAATTCCTTATGAATTCATTGCATAGACTCTATACGTGTGGCTGAAGTTAATAAATGATGAAAAAAACTGAATTGATTGGTGTTCACTGTTCTTTGTATTGTTAAGTGATGGCAGTCTATAGCACAGTCCTAATGCGTTGTAAATGAATAATACAGAGTCAGTTTGGGCTATTTATGTGGTCTGTGTAGTAGACTGTGTTCATAAGGTTACCATTAGCAACACCATGTTGGTTTGTTGATCAACACATTATGTCAGCTATTGTCCCAACTTGAATGTTCCTTTGGTCTTATATGTATTGTGTTGTTATGTTGCTGGATTAACCACTCCAAAAATACGACTCATCTAATGAAAGCTTATTCTAAGTCTACTAGTAAATGATAATAAAAACAGAATTTAGAAAATTTTGAAGGGTACTCAAGAAGTTGAAAAATAAAATAACTAATCAAGTGTTGATAAAATCAAATAATGGTGAAAACTAAGCTAATTCAGAGTTATGGCTTTCACGAGAAGAACCTAATTAGAATCTAAAAATCTTCATATTGAAAGATTATCATCATAACACCCCTTAACCCCTTTATAGTATTGATATAAAAATCTTTGGATACATCATAAGAACTTAACTAAAAAGTCCCAGTTGAAAATGATCCAGTTTGTAGTTCCCCTCCTCCCACCATGTCCTGTTTCATTGTGGTATATCCCTACAAATGAAGTTCAGTAGGGATATGGTGATGCTTGCTGTCTGTCCGTCAGTTAGTTTATCGGGGGATATCTCGAATAAAAGAGTGGACAGATTTTCTCCTTATTTATGGAAAGTTCTTATCTGGAATTTTTGCAAAATGGCTACTGCTACAAAACAGGCAAAAACCTGCCAGTACTGAACTGTTTTTATTGTACCTAAAAAAGGTACGATATTGTCATCAGCTTGACGGGCAGGTGCGTGGGTGGGTGGGTGGGTGGCGTCTCACTTTTTTATCACGATTCCAGGAAAACCACTTGACGGATTTACTTTAATTAATAGAAAATCTATTTTTAAAATTTTACGAAATGGGACAAGGTTGGATGTAGAGCTGTATTTCCTGGACCATGTCATATTTCTTTTTCAATCATCAATGATTATCCCATCGAACGAAGTTCGGAGGGATATAGGGAACGCGTCCGTCCGTCTGGGCAATAACTCAAATACTGTTGGCCCAATTTTGTTCATATTTTGTACACATATACCCTATGGGGGAAGAAGTTCTGCTCGAAAGCTGATTTTCAAAATGGCCACACATTTAAAAATGGTGGCCATTTTAGTGCCGATTTAACAGTAATTTAGGTGCAATATGTAAAACTGTAATAGCAATATGTTTTAAATGAAAAAAAATGATATAGGACATTAATAAAGCTAGAAATGTAGATATTAAAGAAGCACATGGCAGCCATCTTGAAAAATGGCGGCCTTTACTCATTATTTTATGATTTTTGCAGTAAGTTGTGGAGCGATTTTGTTCATATTTGGTATGTGAATACTATAAGGATGGTACACTCTAATGACACTTTTGGTAGAAGGTGGCCATTTTGAAAAATGGCCGCCATTTTAACGTATTTTACTATAACTCGAAAAGTAGTGGAGCGATTTTGTTCATATTTGGTATATGAATACTATAAGCATGGCACACTGTCTTATGACACTTTTGGTAAAAGGTGGGCATTTTAACGTATTTTACTATAACTCGAAAAGTAGGGGAGCAATTTTGTTCATATTTAGTGTGTGAATACTATTAATATGGCACGTCTGTCTAATGACACTTTTGGTAGAAGGTGGCCATTTTGAAAAATGGTTGCCATTTTTGCTATATACTTTGTTTGTAAAAATGCCAGCCATGGCTGTTTGATGGGATTTGCTACGCTTTGGCGTTGTTGTTGTCTAGTTTAATAAGTAAGTATAGCCCATGTAAAATTTTAATAAAATAAGTTGAAAAATGATGAGGGCATATGGATGGGGCTGGACACCTTATCTTTGATTATTCTCCATTTGCTAAATCTGTAAATGTTAACATGAATATGACAGTCTAATAGGAAATAAGGAGATAGTGTGTCCACATATTTTTTCAGTTCTGAGAAGTCAACTTGAAAACAAATCCTTTGACGAGGAGACATTTGATATTTTTACCAGGCCTTCTATTTGCTGTCTGTAAGAGATTGATTGATTAATTCTTTTTTCTACTTCGACCTGTCAACTTTTTAATGTATTTTGATATATCTTCAAAATTCTTCAAATGCTTTAGAATTGGGGGTTTTTCTCAAAAATTTTACATCCCCATTTCATATTGTACTTATTCATAAATTTGCAGGAGCAATATTATGGAGGCCAATCACTGTATTTCAACATGTTAAACCGGAGATTGTCAGTTTGTACATGGAACAGGTGAAATTTCCAATATAGCACCCAGTTGATGAGGAAGCTGGCATGGGATTGTTTAACAAAATTGAGGCTTTGGGGATGATCCTTTTTAAGATGGTCCCTCTGAGAGATGGTCCCTCTGTGCTGTTCATATCTGGTTGTTTGGGGTTTTACCCTTTAGATCATTTCATTCTTCAATTGTGCAAGGTAAGACATTTATTCGTTAGATTGGTTCTCTCAATATTCTATTGAGCACAAGTTATTAAAAACATAAAAAATATATATTTTTATTTTTGCGATTGATTTTACTTTACATTGATGAATCAAAAAGTTCATAATTAGTTGATTTTGTAATAAAAATTAGACTTATACTCAAGAGTAATGCATTATTATGTCGCCATAAGTGTTGAGATTATATTGTCTCCAACTTTTTGTGTTCAGTGGTTAGCGTTTGCAACATATGGCAGGTGGTGACATTTTCGCCTTATGTTATTTACTATACCAGGAGTTGCTGTTGCAAACTACCTTTGTGTTAACATAGTACCAAAAAGAAAGGATTCCTAGGACTTTCCCTTTTCATTCTTATCACCAAATTGAAGTGGATGCCAAACTAATTCAAGTTACAGTACATAAAATATTGCCATGGAGATTGATATGGGTAAAGTTATCTTTGTACCATATTTACTTTGTAGCTTAGATAGCAAGATGTATTCGTCTTGGATCTTGGTGGCTGTAATTGGAGTTGCACATGTGCAAGGTGAGTTCCTGAATGTATGTTTATTGAATGTTTTTAATGACTTAAAATATTATTTCATTGCAAATAATTTTTTCTATAAGACCTGTTATTATGATTAAGGTATTATTGCAGTCGTGTCAAGTTATTTTAATTGTCAAGTCATTTTGAAGATGTCAAATCATTCTAATTTTTTATTTTATAATTATATCCCCACTAAAAGGTGGTGACACCACATATTGTTATGGCCTCCATTTTTGTGATGGTGGTTGGCATCTGTAACAAATGGTTGTGACATTTTATATTGTTAATGCCTTGATTTTATTGCATTGCCAACTATTCATGTATTGTCAATGTAAGTCAATCTGAAATTGTTAAGTCATTCTTGCTTAAAAATCTTGCATTCTGTATCTTCATGATCACCAATCTTTACGCACAGGTCTAATAAACATAATAATAAATAACAAACCATTACAATATGGTAAAAGTGTCCCAGGCTTAAGGAGCTCATATATCTTGTTATAAAATAGAATGTGAATGGATAAGAAAGAACGCTTTATCTTAGAAAGTAGTAGCGACTCTCTTGTTTTGTTATTTATGCCACAAATGTTTGCGTAAACTTTCATAAAATAGAAATATAAACTTAAATCAATATAAGAAAGCTTTTAATTTGTTTATTGTAAATATTTATTGTTGTCATTTGGTACCATATTGTAGATTGATAGTAATTGAATAGGCAATAATTGTTAAATCTTAAATGAAGGTCAATAGTAAATATGACATTGTCAAAGTTCCATTGACAAATGAGACGGATTAAGATTGATTTGAAGTTTAATCAACACGGAGAAACTGGATCACTGTCTGATTTTTACTGAGCATAGAATACACTCTTTGCGGTAAAGTCCATCAGAGCGGGGGACTGCTTTTTACCCCTGACTTCATAGAACACTGTAAAAATAAAAATGTTGTGATTAATCCTTAATTTCACAAATGAATAATGTTAAAATGTCAGTTTCAATTCACGTCTTCAATCCTGTTTTTCAGCCGGTTATAAAGTGACTGTGTGGACGTCTAATGACTGGTGGGCGGGTACAGATGCAAATGTATACATCTACCTGTATGGGCACAAAGGAACCACCCCAAAGAAGTTTATGGATAAACGCTGGTACAATGACTTTGAGAGAGGAAGGTAACTGTATGCCATGTTTTTATTTCGCACATACAGGGTGTCCAAAAAAAAACAGGACCGTAAGAAAGTTGAATAACTCGGTCAATTTTGCATATTTTGCCTTGAAATTTGAGAATTATTAGTTCATTCAATGTGAATTTTGTTCTGAAAGTTTGATGATAATCTGTTTGTTGTGTCACAAACTACAGTCCTTTACAAAACATGCTCAAAGTGGGCACTTCTCCTCTCTATGCACAAACGAATCCTGCGAACAAAGTTGTTAATGACCCTTACCTATACACATTAATGTGGATGGTAAATATTGGGGTAGTTATTGCCCTCTTAAGATTGTTAGGGGCCTGTCAGTATACACATTGGCTTTGAGAAAATCTCAAAGATAAAAATTTGGGGGATTTAGATCAGGCAAATGAGCTGCCCATATGGTTTGGGTTCTGCAACTGATGAGCTGTCCACCAACGCATTGCCTAAACCATTTCAGCATATCATTTGCAGTGTTGGGGTGGTATTGGCTTGTTGAAACCACTGCTTAATTATTTCCTTAGATGTCCCTTCTGGTGCTTAGTGACCTCCAAAACTTGGTGAGAACTTACTGGTCCTTGTTCATGGTGATAGCAAGTCCCCAGTCACCTTCGAACCAAAAGGGACTAATGATTCCATGTTTCCTCATTGCCACCCAGGGAGTGCATTGTTCAGAATGCAATGGATGCTGTAACACTTCATCAGCAGGATCTAAGCCCCAGTAGCAATTGTTCTTGGACCACACTTGTCCATTCAGAAAGAAATGTGTGTAGGAGGATCATCAACAGCTTTGTTCGCCAGATTGAATTGTGCATAAAGATGAGATTTGCACATTTGGGGCATGTTTTGTAAGGAGCTGTAGTTTTTGACTCAATTAGTAGATTATTATCAAACTTTCACAACAAAATTCACATTGAATGAACTAAATAATTCTGAAATTTCAAGGCAAAATATGCAAAATTGACTGAGTTATTCAACTTTCTTACGGTCCTGTTTTTTTTTGGACACCCTGTATCTATATTTGGAACTCAAAGGTTATGGAGGATGAACTCATCTGTATATTTATAAAAAGTGTCATTTGTGATGTTTTTACCATAAAATTACAAAATGAATTTTGAGTATCTTGGAATCTATGGAATTGCCTTTGTGTCTGCCTATGACTGTCCATCAGCAAAGGTACAAAAAACGCATGTATCTGAACTGACGCTCATATCCATTTTATGATATCCATACTGGTAATTTATTTACCCCATTGGTCCCGGCTCCTGTAATTGTAACTGCAACCTGAGATCAGCTTTTCCATGGGATGATTTTCTCTCCAGTATAGATACTTGACGTCAATTAACAACATCCTATATTTAACCTGTAATTGTTAGTTATCCAATCGAACGAAGTTCGGAGGGATATAGGGAACTCAAATACCGTTGGCCCGATTTTGTTCATATTTTGTACACACATACCTAATGGGGGTAGAAGTTCTGCTCGAAAACCGATTTTCAAAATGGCCGCCCATTTAAAAATGGTGGCCATTTTAGTGTTGATTTTACAATAATTTAGGAACTGCATATAAAACTGTAATAGCAATATGTTTTGAATGTAAAAAAGTTATATAGGACATTGATTAAGTTAGAAATGTAAATATAGAAGAAATACATGGCAGCCATCTTGAAAAATGGCTGCCTTTGCACGTCATTTTACGATTTTTGCTGTAACTTGAAAAGTAGTGGAGCGATTTTGTTCATATTTGGTATGTGAATACTTTAAGCATGGCACAATGTCTAATGACATTTTTGGTAGTATGCGGCCATTTTGAAAAATGGCCGCCATTTTTACGTGTGTTATTTAACATTTTTTACTGTAAATCAAAAAGTTGTGGAGCGATTTTGTTCATATTTGGTATGTGAATACTTTAAGCATGGCCCAATGTTTAATGACATTTTTACGTGTATTAGTTTACATTTTTTACTATAACTCAAAAAGTAGTGGAGCGATTTTGTTCATATTTTATATGTGAATACTATAAGAATGGCACACTGTCTAATGACACTTTTGGTAGTAGGTGGCCATTTTGAAAAATGGCCATAATTTTTTACGTTTTTTACTATAACTTGAAAAGTAGTGGAGCAATTTTGTTCATATTTGACACGTGAATACTTATGAGCCTTGCACTCTGTCTCATGACACTTCGCGTAGTAGGTGGCCATTTTAAAAAATGGCTGTCATTTTTATTACATTTTTTACTATAACTCGAAAAGTATTGGAGCAATTTTGTTCATATTTGATATGTGAATACTTTAAGCATGGCACATTGTCTAATAAACTTTGGGGAGTAGTCGGCCATTTTGAAAAATGGCCACCATTTTTATGTGTGTTATTTTACATTTTTTATTATAATTCAAAAAATTATAGAGCGATTTTGTTCATATTTGATATGTGAATACTTGTAAGGATTGCATACTGTCTTATGACATTTTGGGAAGTAGGCGGCCATTTAAAAAAATGGCCAGCATTTACATGTATGTGTGTGCGATTTTTTATTTAAAAATTTTATATGTGGCTACTTAAAAGCATATTATTTCTTCTGATGACAACTTGACTAGTGAGCAACCATTTTGAAAATGGTGGCCTTTCTTATGGGTGTTATTTTATGATATTTGCTATATATTTTGTTTGTAAAAGTGCCAGCCATTTCTGTTCGATGGGATTCACTACGCTTTGGCATTGCCGTTGTTCTGGTTCCATCTGAGATCAGCTTTATCATTGAATGATTTTGTCTCCAGTATGGGTACTTGACGTCAATTAACAACATCCTACATTTAACCTGTAATTGTTAGTTCCATCTGAGATCAGCTTTATCATTGAATGATTTTCTCTCCAGTATGGATACTTGACATCCTACATTTAACCTGTAATTGTTAGTTCCGCTTGAGATCAGCTTTATCATTGAATGATTTTGTCTCCAGTATGGATACTTGACATCCTACATTTAACCTGTAATTGTTAGTTCCATCTGAGATCAGCTTTATCATTGAATGATTTTCTCTCCAGTATGGATACTTGACATCCTACATTTAACCTGTAATTGTTAGTTCCGCTTGAGATCAGCTTTATCATTGAATGATTTTGTCTCCAGTATGGATACTTGACATCCTACATTTAACCTGTAATTGTTAGTTCCGCTTGAGATCAGCTTTATCATTGAATGATATTGTCTCCAGTATGGATACTTGACATCCTACATTTAACCTGTAATTGTTAGTTCCGCTTGAGATCAGCTTTATCATTGAATGATTTTGTCTCCAGTATGGATACTTGACATCCTACATTTAACCTGTAATTGTTAGTTCCGCTTGAGATCAGCTTTATCATTGAATGATTTTGTCTCCAGTATGGATACTTGACTTCCTACATTTAACCTGTAATTGTTAGTTCCGCTTGAGATCAGCTTTATCATTGAATGATTTTGTCTCCAGTATGGATACTTGACATCCTACATTTAACCTGTAATTGTTAGTTCCGCTTGAGATCAGCTTTATCATTGAATGATTTTGTCTCCAGTATGGATACTTGACATCCTACATTTAACCTGTAATTGTTAGTTCCGCTTGAGATCAGCTTTATCATTGAATGATTTTGTCTCCAGTATGGATACTTGACAATCTACATTTAACCTGTAATTGTTAGTACCACCTGAAATTGGGTTTATCATTGAATGATTTTGTCTCCAGAGTGGATACTTGCCCTCAATTAACAACATCTTAAATTGCACCTGTAATTGCTAGTACAACCTGAGATCAGCTTTATCAATCATTGAATGATTTTCTCTCTGGTATGTACACCCTCCATCAATTAACAACATCCTTCATTTAACCAATAATTGTCTGTACCACCTGAGATTCATCATTGAATAACTTTCTCTCCAGAGTTGATACCTATGACATAACCTCAAGCGACTATGGTGTTGTTAGGGCCATTAAGATAGGACATGACAACAGAGGAATGGGACCTGGATGGAAGTTAGTTAAGGTATTTATTATTTAAATCTCGACGTTACACTATCACATCATCAGTATGTTAATTCACTTAAAATGATTTTCCAGTATGTAACTGTTCATTTTTCTTAATGCTAGAAATGAGTTAGAAAACTGTTAACTCAATGGTCACAGTACCGTACAATATCATAGCCAAAATGGCACTGTACCATACAGTTGAAGGTTGGTTTTGTAATGAATGAACCTCCCTTTAAGGACCACCTCTCCATTTAGAACACTTGTAAAGATCCCATTCAGTTCCATTGACGTACAGTAAAACCTGTCTAATTCAAACGCCTCTGGGACTGGTTAAAAGTGTTCTGATCAGTAGGTGTTCACATTTCAGTTTCATAAACATGTAAGTCAATGGAAGATAACAAATTTGGGACCAAGAAAAAGTGTTCACATTGAGAGGTGATTAAATAGACAGGTTTCACTGTGCATATTAATAGACCCTCTCTGTATGGATCAGCTGTCTAAGAGGGACACTTTTGAAATATGGAACACTAGTATGTAAATAAGTGTATCTGCATAATACAGTATACAATAGTTGACCTCTCCAGAGGTCAACTGGCAAAATTGTATACTGAAACTGTAAACCGAGAAACTACTGTTGACAGAGACCGAAGGTCGAGGTCAACAGTAATTTCAAGGTTTACAGTTGAGGTATATGATTGTGACGGTTGATCGAATGGAGAGGTCTACAATTGTTTTGTTAGTCCGAAGAAACTAATAATACACATAAAGACGACAATCATCAATCAGCATGGCTTCATTTCACAATCTTTTCTCCGAACCACATTAGCAATATTTTTTTAGAAAATCTGAAGACAGTGCAAGTAGCTAAACTCTCTGTATACGGCACATCACGGCATACTCATTAGTAAATTAATGTTAATTTAACGTTTCTATTTGTGTTTTTGCTATATTTGTTGTCTAATAAAGTCAAAATATCATTTTCATCAACGTTTACACAAAAGTAGAGGTCAACAGTACCTAGTAGCGGTCAACAGTACATATTGTTGACCGCAAATCAACCAATCAGAATTGAGTATTTCAGTTCAGGTACTAACAATAAAGCCTGTCTCAGTGGAACACTTTTTGGTACATTCAAAATGTGTTGGAGGTGTTCTACTTATAGAGATTCATTTAAGATTAATTCTTGTTGGTCTTTGGACTCTGAAAAATGTTCCACTTTCAGAGGTGTTCCACTTAACGGGTTTCACTCTATCTATATAGTTTTCCACATATGAATTCAGGTAAAAGTGACGGATACAACACGTGGACAGTCATACTACTTCAACTGTAACTGCTGGTTGGAAAAATCTTATCGTCAAAAGACTCTTACACGTCGAGGTGTGTTTACATTTGTAGTTTCATATTTATTTACAAGTAAATGGTTATCTTAATGAATATCACTATTATCATTAGCGGGAGAGTGGACTTCTGCATTTCATGTGTTAGGAGCAATAGATCTTACCTTCTATTGGTTATGATATCATTCTCACACACCATGCCATCTATTGCTCATATGATGTCATTCTTACACTTTAGGGGCAGAAATAGGTTTAACTAATTGCTAAACACCTATATCTAATATACTAAGTTTCCTTGTTTTACCAAAAAGGGTCACTATTTATTTTATTTATTTACTTATTACACTCAATACTTTAACTGTTGTTAATGATTTTACAAATAGAATAATGAAAATAAACATCAGTGTGCCTAATCAAAACTTAACTTAAGTCAAACAGTAATGTTTGGGAGTACTTTGAATTTAAAAAATAAGCAATCAAATGACCAAATTGAAAAAGTTTATGTAAAAATAGAAACATTTATATTTATCCTAACTTATGTATATTTCAGATAGTAATGTATAATGTGCAGCAAAGCTGTGGCCTTTTGTAATTTAGGGAGTTTCAGCCATGTTAATTTTTCCGAAAATAACATGGCAGAGAAGTATCAAAATATAAGAGGACACAAATATGATAGCTAAACTAGAAAACAAACTAAAATATACAAAAGTTAGGATAAATATAAGTGTTTCTATTTTTACATAAACTGTTTCAATTTGGTCATTTGATTTTTTAAATTCAAAGTACTCCCAAACATTGCTGTTTTGACTATAACAAAATATCCTAAAGAGCTTTTTCGAACTAAAACTGTTTAAACTAAGTAAGATCCTGTCTATGTCCCTGTTAAATGATTTTCACTATATTTCCAGTAAATGGTGGTTGGTCAGGGTATGGTAGCTACGGTTCATGTAGTAAGTCATGTGGACAGGGTGTAAAGAGAAGGTACCGTAGTTGCAGTAATCCTAGCCCAGCATATGGAGGCAGTTCCTGCAGAGGCTCCACCTATCAACAGACATCTTGTCTTGTTAAACAGTGTCCAGGTAAAGTTATTAGAAAGGCGATGGGGGGGGGGGCGCAGTATGGATTTGAGTTTCATAAATATACAAGATTTCTAAATTCAGGCAATTTATAAAGAGGTGGGAGGGGGCACAACATGATTTGAGTTAAATATATTTAAGTTTTCTCAGTTTTCTCAATTTAAACTACCATGGGTATATTTTGGAATCAGTTTCGATAAATACCCCATGGGCTATATATCAAGCAAATTCATCATTTTTTGTTGATTTTAATATTCTGAACCATGGTTTCAACTAGTGGTGTCAATTAACCGCTTGAGCATTAACCGGTTAACCGGGGGTTTTTACCGGTTAAAGCCGGTTAACCGGCGGGAAATTTGAACTTATAATTTCAAATGAAATCTTCATCTTCGATCTTGAAAGTTGAAAAAATTGGAAAAATGATATATCGGCGTTTATTTTTTACGTTCGTCAAAATTTACGCTATTCTATGTAAGTAAGCGCGGGAAAGCAATGTGGCAGGGATTAAAGTTGCTGATTGGATGTTTGTAAGGAATTATCGGACCTATCACATGTATGAGTAGCTCACATGAAACTGACGCTTGAAAAACAAACAGATTAAAATGCAAAGTAAGCGCGGGAAAGCAATGTGGCAGGGATTAAAGTTGCTGATTGGATGTTTGTAAGGAGTTATGGGACTTATGACATGTATGAGTAGCTTACGTGAAACTGACAACATAAAACCAAACGGATTAGCATGCAAAATAAGCGCGGGAAATAACAGAATTATACACGGTCAACTAACCGCCCATAAAAACTCAGACCGGTCAAGGCATTATCGGCGGTTAACCGGTTAACCGGTTAATAATTGACACCTCTAGTTTCAACTTCATAAATAATATATTAAGTTATGTTTATTTCATAGGTCATAGGGGATAATGCTTCAATGAATAATTGATTCTTACTAAGATGGATGCAAAGATAGAGGCTTCATAATTTGCGAAATAAATAGACAAACTGTATTTCCTTTCTTTCTAATGGATTTAAGCTTTTCTCCTTATGTTGATTCTCCTTATGTTAATTTTAGTGAATGGTGGTTGGACAAGCTTTGGTGGCTATTCCCCCTGTAGCAAGCCTTGTGGAGGAGGCTCCCAATCCAGTCAACGTAGTTGCACCAAGCCTACACCCCGTTATGGTGGGGCCTACTGCCCAGGTACCTATCTACGGACCAGAAGTTGTAACACCCAGCCCTGCCCAATAGATGGACGTCTAGGAGCATGGTCAGGTTACACTGTGTGTACTAGGTCATGTGGCAGAGGGGTCCAAACGAGAAGTCGTACATGTATCGCACCAAAGCACGGTGGGAAGCCATGCAGTGGAGCATTGTCAGAGAGTCGGGTTTGTGGAACAACTCAATGTCCAGTTGATGGCATGTTCAGTGATTGGTCAGACTACACCATTTGTACAGTATCGTGCGGAGGTGGCACCCAAACTCGTTCCCGCGAATGTATCGCACCACAACATGGCGGAAAACCATGTAATGGTCCAACAACAGAAAGTCAGGTTTGTGGGGTTGATCCGTGTCCAGTTGATGGCATGTTCAGTGATTGGTCAGACTACACCATTTGTACAGTATCGTGCGGAGGTGGCACCCAAACTCGTTCCCGCGAATGTATCGCACCACAACATGGCGGAAAACCATGTAATGGTCCAACAACAGAAAGTCAGGTTTGTGGGGTTGATCCGTGTCCAGTTGATGGCATGTTCAGTGATTGGTCAGACTACACCATTTGTACAGTATCGTGCGGAGGTGGCACCCAAACTCGTTCCCGCGATTGTATCGCACCACAACATGGCGGAAAACCATGTAATGGTCCAACAACAGAAAGTCAGGTTTGTGGGGTTGATCCTTGCCCAGTTGATGGCAAATTTGGCAAATGGTCAGACTACACCATTTGTACAGTATCCTGTGGAGGTGGCACCCAAACTCGTTCCCGCGAATGTATCGCACCACAACATGGCGGAAAGCCATGTAATGGTCCAACAACAGAAATTCAGGTTTGTGGGGTCGATCCGTGTCCAGTTGATGGCAAGTTGAGCGATTGGTCAGACTACACCATTTGTACAGTATCTTGTGGAGGTGGCACCCAAACTCGTTCCCGCGAATGTATCGCACCACAACATGGTGGAAAACCATGTAATGGTCCAACATTGCAGAGCCGTAAATGCAGTAACAATTTGTGCCCAATAGATGGAGGTTATGGACAGTGGGAAGAATATGGCGATTGTTCTCAAGAGTGCGGAGGGGGGATTCAGACACGAAAGCGATCATGCGACAGTCCAACTGCCCAACATGGGGGAAAAGAATGTGATGGGCCTTCATCTGAGGTATGAAATAATTATATCAAAAAAAACTTTAAATAATTTGGTTTGGAAGGACTGACATCTGTCTTAATTTGGCAAAATTGGAAATTTAATGTTAGACTATGTCTAAATCCCAGGGAATTCATAGATATGTTAGTATAATACTTGATTGATTGTTTGTTACTATAATGCTGGATTATTGTCATAATTAAAGGTCAAGCTGTATGGAGGTTTATGTCCCATTCTTTTGATTGTGTAAGATATTTAAGGGTTATTATTAACTTATTTAGTATGAGAATTATATGTTTTAGCCATTTCACATGATATTGTAATTTCTTTAGGAGCGCCCTTGTAATGAGCAGCCATGTTGTGCTACAGGAGGCGGAATACAGTCCTGCGCTGGTCAAGCAGACGGAATTTACCAGTTATGTGACACCTGCAAGAAATACATTGCCTGCTCAGGTGGCGCAGAATTTATTATGGACTGTGGCATTAAGGATCCCAGAACTCGTGCAAGTTTAGTATGGAATGATGAGGACAAGACATGCGATTTTGCCTCTTCCACATGTACACAGCCTGAAGCAGTTGAGCAAGTTGCTCCAGAGGAGGAAGAGCAAGTTGCTCCAGAGGAAGAACAAGTTGCTCCAGAGCAAATCGAGGCTCAGCCAGAAGAACAAGTAGATTTGACAGGACAGGGCAGAGGACAGGCAAGAAGTGGAGGACGTGGGGGTGATGGTGGTCGCCTCACAAAATATGATTAGACTAAATCTTGTATACACCCTAATCAGATCTACATACGTGGAATCTATGTGAAAAAAGTGGATTTTTCTTTCATGGGTCCACACAGATTGAGTAGTCCACATGACCAAGGTCCAAAATGTTTCTACATGGATTCCACTTGGATTTTATACATGATATTTTACTATGTAACTGTGTTTTACACACAAAATTATATTATTTTCTATGCATTAACATTACTAGACTCTGAACAGAATGCAAAAATTAATTGACGAAACATTATTATTACATAATTATTTTACACCAGTAAACAAATTGGAGTATGTCAATAATACATTTATAGTACTTTATATATATATGTACTTGTGAAACCTGGTAATTGCTGAGCATTAAATAGTTAAAAAATTGAAAATCTGAATTAAGCAATATTTTGATCCACTCAGGTTCAAAATGTAGCACAGACATGTTTTTGGTTTACTTTTGTAGACGTAATGCCTTCATGCGTGAGTTAATATCACTGACCGTTTGCTCAAAATTTGCCATTTTAATAAATATTTTCACATGTTTGCTCTGTCAGATTTCCAGAAATGTGCTTGATGACAATTTTATGTATAGATGTTTTATGCAAACTGTGAAAATTATGTCTTATAGATTGTAATATCAACGTTGGCTTGAGTTTTGTCTCTTATATGTACCCCCTTCTCTGGCTTGAATTTAGCCCCTTATATGTACCCCCTTCTCTGGCTTGAGCAAAATTACAATATCTGACCAACTATGATATGCCATATGTTCCTTTGTGTTCCATACCCCATCTAAGTTTAGTATGAAATATATGGCATGCATATTCTTGAGAAAAAATCTCAAGTTATTTTAGTGTCTTTGTAAATACTCATACAAGCTATTCTAGAAGTACCGCCACATACTTCTCTCACTCATATAAGTGATTGTCTACAAGACTAAAATGCATATTTTAAGAAGTAAAAGGTTGCTCAATAAGTTTTGAGAAAAACCTTTGAAATAAAGAGTTTGTGACTTTATTCACATATTTTCGCAGAAGATATAATGGATTGTGGTAATTTTACTCCCGAAAATATGCAAATTCATCTTAGTTTTGTAATAAGCTAATTTGTGCATCACAGGATGAGGTATTGAATACTGAAAAGTAATTAAAATCATAAATATTTAGGACTTGGATTACATTTATGATCATTATTTAGTTCATATGTTTGGATGGATTTGTCTTGTATTGCTTTGTCACTGAAATAAATGATTATTGCTTCAAAAAAAAGTTTTTATATTTGTATATCATGATGAAGAAAAGCGCAAAGTTGAAATCCATTGAAATGTAAATGGTAAATGCTGAACATTAACAATAGTTGCATTGACTTTTGTGGAGTATTTTCTACAGCATTTCCATTTGAACTTCAGTTATAAGAATTCTATGAATTGCATCTTGACTTGCATTTATGACTTGCATCTTCGCCAATACAATTGCACAATGAAGGAGGTGATGATCGAAGTACAGTATGTCCAACACAAACTACATAACATCTATTTATAATCAAATTACTGGTTTTGATTTATTTTAAACTTGCAACCTAATGGTTATACAATATAGTAACAATGTACTACCTAACTGACTTAGGCTAAGTTCACACCAACGGCGCTTTGATGGCGCTTTAAAGCGGAGTGCAAAGCGACTTTGCACAGCGCTTTAAAGCGCTATCAAGCGCCATTGGTGTGAACTTAGCTTTAAGTAACTGTACATGTAGTGTACAGCATCTAAAGTTGTACCAAGCAGACATTGAGCCTGGCGAACTTGGATGGCCCTAGGCTACCATGCATCATTTTTTTGGACAGTTCAATTTATGCAAAGTGTAAAAAATTGAGATTCAATGAGAGCCACTATTTGAAAGAAAAAATAACTGTCATATTTCCAATTCTCTGATTGGTCAATTTCAAACATGAGACCCAAAATAAGAAGCCATCGATTGAGCCATTAGAAAGTGAGGAAAACAAGTATTTCATTCTATTTTTGGTGAAGAGATGTTGCACTTTAAATCATTCAGGAATCGTGGAATACATCTCGCATGAAATATTTGCATATTATTAGGAGATGGGTACAAAACCATGGAGATCTGATCGTAAAAAATCCCATCTATTTCATGATAGTTCTTAGAGGAGCAGATAATTCAATGATTTTAATAAATTTATTCTAGAATTCTCTAACTGAGTCTGCTTTCTCAATTTGAAGATAAAAATCGCAAGTACATTAGTACATTCAACGTGAATTTAATTAATCCATGTTTACAAGTTCATTGCATATAGAACATTCCACTATTCAAACATTGCACATACATACAGGTAGGTCCATCAATATAATACTGCTTGTGAAAAGGGCCAATAGCTGTAAATCTCATCATATCATAGCTTGTGAATCTAAAAGGGCCAATAGCTGTAATTCTCATCATATCATAACCCTAAAATATTTTAATTCATAATAGTGTGTAATTTTCACAATCAAAAGATTTTGACATAATCCCTGTAATTATTTAAGTTAAAAATTGTTCATATAGAAAGAAGGTGCAAGTGGTATTTTTCAATTTAGAACATGTACTCCTTACTAGAAAAGGAATTTCTTCCAAGCTGTGATATTTTTAAAAAGAGAATATGTTCAAGTCTATTGATTTACATTACATATCAGTATGAATTAAAAATATAAGAGGAGGGGAAACCCAAGAGGTCACAGATAACCTCATAATTACAACTTTTGCTTACCATCTTCATTTGTCTGAATTTCCACTGAATACCACCTATCGATGTGATATTTTAATCGATATTGATAAATATGCCAAAAATTAACTCTATTTTATTCAAAGAGTTTTTACAAAATTCTGAATCCACCATTTTATTTTTGTACGTCCTATGCCGTTTGACCAATCAGTGATGGGGGTCATCTCTCTATAAATTTCCATTGAAGTTGAGTTCATCTTTGAACCCTGGGTTTTCTTTCCTCTTTATGGTAGTTATTAACTATTGACCCCTCTATAAAACAATCACTGTTTTTATATCAACTGGCAAAATTGATGAAATTCTGAAAGAGTAATTCATTATTTGAAATGAAAAAAACTGAAATCTTAAAAATAAATGAATAAAATCTAATATAGTTTATAGTACCTAATTGATTATTTTACCATTGCACAATTTCATAACAATATTTCTATATAAACCAGTTTATAAATTTAAATACAAAAAAGCACCAATTCTACAATGCCGTCGTAGAAGGCATCAGCACAATCTTAACAATGAATACATTTGCATGGCCATATGGGCCATGCTTTTTTATGCTTAGACATTTTAAAAGAACACATTGGGTATAGAAAATACTTCTCAACCTTAATAAAAAACAATTGCATATACTACAGTAGCAAAATCTACTAATTCTAAAAGTATTCAATATTTGATCAAAATACAAACACAGAAATACAATACTATAAAGAGTCAACACTTTTGTAAAGCTAGATAAAAGACTATTCAGGCAAGAAAAATTCCTGGGCCAGGTCGATGGACTTCAAAATTTGTGTGCCCATTAGGTCTTCTGAAAAACTCAACTGAGTCTTTCTATTGAGATTTCTACCATCTGCTGGGCAAACAGAAGCAGGATAGAATATACTTATCCCATTATCATTAAGCCTTAAAAATTAGTGAGTAGTCTTAACATGTCTGTGAAGATGGTTAGAACGATAAAACTTCTGGGGGCATAGCTCACACTCGTATGGCTTCTCGCCAGTATGTATTCGCATGTGAATGATACAGTCAGACTTCTGAACAAACCCTTTATCACACACTTGGCATTTATAGGGTCTCTCTCCAGTGTGGGTCCTCATATGTATTTTTAGTACATGCTTTGATGAGTAATTTTTCATGCAGACTGGGCACATGACAGACACCTTAGCAAGGGCGAGTTTTTTGGTTGTTGCATCTGTGTGTTTTCTCAAAACATGTAAATTCCATTGATATTGCTGCGCAAAACTTAAAGGGCACATCTCACATTTAAACGGTTTATCTCCAGTATGGGTTTGCATGTGTTTCTCTACATCGTACTTCCGTAGGAATCGCTTATTGCATATTTTACAGGGGAACGGACGCTCACCTGTGTGTCTACGTGTATGCGTCACTAAATCAGCTTTATGGGCGAATCTCTTATCACACATTTGACAACCAAATGGTTTCTCTCCAGTGTGTGTCTTCATATGTGATCTAAGCCCCCCTGCTGTTGAATATCCTTTGGAACACACAGAACACTGATATGGTTGAACGGTCAGCTGGGTCTGGGGGTGCATTCGTAAATTATGCATCTTAAGATGGCTTTCCTGGTTGAACCCACGACTGCAAATTCCACATGTGAAAGGCTTCGGTGCTATATGTATCCTCATGTGGATCTTGAGGTCTTCTTTTGAGGGGAGGGTCTCGAAACAGAGATTGCACACAACAGGTACCTTTTTATTGGATATTGGCCGAGACTTGACTGTATTTTGACCTATAGATACGCTGTGGTTGTTAGCATCGCCAAGCAGTACAACATTTCTCGGGATATTTTCTGAAATTTAAGGATTAGAATATGAGTCAGACAAGCACAGTTAAAAATCTTCGTGCAGATTTTATTCTAGACAGTATCTTACAATATTATGGTATTTTCTTTTTTAATATTGCCATAGTTACCTGTCATATCATAATAACATAACATAACATTGAGAATATGGAAAACCATATAAAATCTTGATTTTGGAAAAGATTTGTTTGATACTTCATTATAATACTCTAGTTGGTGAAATGATAATTTTGCACTTAATGACAAAACAAGACACTCAATGACAAATATCACACTTTCAAGAGCAAAAAGTCATTCGGCTATTTAGTTTGATCTTACACGATCATGCTAGCCATAATTATCTAATAATAATTCATACATATTCTTCCTAAACTCTGTACTGTACTTCCACTTAATTTTGCGCTACTTATTTTGGTGGATACTTAATCACCCTATGCAGACAGAGCCTGTGGGAAATATTGGGTGCGGCGCAAATGAGCGGAGGGTGCGGAGCTAACGGTCATTTTTAAATTTAAAATTGGGATATTTCTGAAACTAAGCCGTTTTGGGACTTCAAATATACCAAGATATGTGTATTTGACACCAAATATCAATAAAATTGTGAAAATAGTAGTGCACTTCATTTTATAGCGACGCAGTATGCCTTTAACATTTCCCAGACCTATATATTTTGAGACTATCCTTTTAATACTGCGTCCCCAGCATTCATAAAAAATGGTGTTCAAGATAGACTACCCATGCAAATTATTTTTGCATCTTGGAAGCCAGGCAGTATCTGTGTGATTTTATAAAAATTCGGAAATGTTCTTCAGATATGAGCCCCCTCTAAATATTGGATGCGGATGTACGTTTATGGAGCTCCTCCGCACCCAATATTTAGAGGGGGCTCATATCTGAAAAACATTTCCGAATTTTTATAAAATCACACAGATACTGCCTAGCTTCCAAGATGCAAAAATAATTTGTATAGATAGTGTACCTTGAACACCATTTTTTATGAGTGCTGCGGACTCAGTATTAAAAGGAAAATTTCAAAATACATAGGTCTGGGAAAGGTTTAAGGCACATTGCGCTACTATTTTCACAATTGTATTGATATTTGGTGTCAAATACACATATCTTGGTATATTTGAAGTTCCAAAACGGCTTAGTTTCAGAAATATCCCAAATTTAAATTCAAAAATGACCGTTAGCTCCGCACCCTCCACTCATTTGCTGCGCACCCAATATTTCCCACAGGCTCTGTCTGCATAGGGTGTTAATGCTACCTAATTAATTTGGCAGACTTGCAATATAACAACGCACTAAAAGTACTAATTTACATGGTAGTAAAATTACTGTGAAATTTGGCGGACTTTAACTATTTGGAGGAACCGCCAAATTAAAATGGCTGCCAAATTAAGTACATGTACAGTATTGTTCCGACAAGTATATATCATGTGTGAGACTTGATTCAACTATTTATCAACAGTACAGGGTGTCTCATTTGCCATTAAACACAGAGTCAGGATCTATTGGACACTCACTGCATCTGACATCAGGATCCATACTATCATCAGAATCTTCATCATCTTCAGGTTGCTGAGGCGGGGGAGCGCTCACAACAATCTAGAAATAATACAAATGCTGCATAATTTAAACTGCTATTTTCACTGAAGGATTACATTCAATTATGTCTTGTCGTACAATAAATATGAAACAATACATTGCAAAAAAATTAAAATTTTACTAATGATACAATTGGACAAAATTCTGAGTTTAACAGGCAAGCAGTTTTCAATGAATTTTGATGGCAGGTCTTATATGGTGCCCGTCTGCCCAGATACCTGCAGACATAACCTTCAACAAAAGTGTGATAAAAAGATACCTTTCAAAAAATGTCTTGACTACTGAATTATTCGGAAAGATTATCCAACGTGATAAATGACCAGGCCCATAGCCAGCTTTTGTCAAGGGGTCACTTTCAGAAATTGAAGGGGGTTTACATTTCACAACTTTGGCCAAAAGTCACTTGAAAAGTTCTCAGAATGGTGAAAAACTGCATGATTTCAAAATAAGTTTTCGTCAGATGGGGTTGATCCAACTACCCCTGGCTATAGGCTTGCTGACAAATATGAGAAAATGGTATGTAGTACAAAAATCATTGATGATCAAATTTACCTCTTCTCCAACTGGAGTTATTGCAATTACTTGGGACGTAGGGGGATCAGTCATTCCTTGCTGCTGTTGTGAATCAGTCATGCTCTGCTGTTGTTGAGGATCAGTCATTCTTTGTTGTTGCTGGGGATCATTCATTCTTTGCTGTTGTTGGGGATCAGCTATTTGTTGTTGCTGGGGATCAGTCATATTCTGCTGCTGCTGTTGATCTTGCTGAGTCATATGTTGCTGCTGCTGTTGTTGCTGCTGTTGCTGATGCTGCTGTTCTTGTTGTTGCTGATGCTGCTGTTGCTGCTGTGAAGTTGCAGGTTGTGTTTGCTGCTCTTGAATCATCTGGATTTGTGGAACTTGGGGTGCTCGTTGGATAATTGGACCACCTAGGGAACATAGAGTTTAAACATTTTATAATGCCTAAAGCCAAAATAAGTTCTTTAAAGATCCTCACCCTCAATGTATAACTTCCTTTCTAAGCTGTTTAAATACAAATACAACAGGTGGGTCAATTGACCTACAGCTAGTAAACAAAGTTCCAGGTTTTGCTTAAACCAGCATATGTTCCCACCTGTGACCCTTTTAACCCAATCCATCCTAAGCTGATCTGCCACCCTTGTATACGTAACATACCCATCTTCAAATTCCAAGTGGTTATAACACCCCTTCGAACATATAGCTAATTTTTCTGTCCCATTACTGTGTGGTGGTTCATTCCCCGTGTTTTTTACCACGGTACCAATCAAATTTGTCCAAATATTCATTTCAGAAGTAACCACACTTACCAATGACTTAATGAATGTCTATTGAAAGAACCTATTGAACTGATCTGTTTGCATTATATAATCGTGTCTTTGCTGTGAGCACACCATGCTCATAAGCATTTTGTTTTGTTTACTTAAGACACATACCTAGATTAGTAATAACTGTTTCCTCCATGACAAAGGCCGGTGGGTGCAGAGTTCCTGGTATTGGTTGGTGACTGTAGTGTACGTTAGGACGTAGTGGTCTTGGAGTGAAGAGATTCTGAAACGTTGTATCATCAAGTGTAATGAATGAAGAATTCTGTTGTGGGACCCCAATGTTATTCTGATAGACTGTGTTTGTGTTTTGCTGGTACTGGTTGTTGGGTAATACATTGAACGTGTTGCTAATGACAACAGAAGCTGGTTGTGGATGGAGCTGTGGTTGCTGGTGAAGTTGAGGAGTTTGGATGACTGCTTGTGATTGGGTAACTTGTTGCTGTTGCTGGGTAGCCTGAACCTGTTGCTGGGCAACTGGTTGTTGATGGGAAATTTGATGTTGGGTGATTGGCTGAGGTTGTGACATAGGTGGCGCTGGTGGTTGAGGAGGCTGGGATTGAGTAGATGTCCTTTTAGATACAAAGTAGCTATCACTTGTTTGTGGAGCAGTTTGGACAACAGCTGCACCTGCATTAGCATTTGCTTGATCTGCAGTATCATTTTCATTCTGGATTATTGTCTGATGGATTCTGACAAGAATTTCTTTCTTTTTGTCACCTGGTGACACGCATATCAGTCCATCTATCTCGAGATTGCCTTTGAATTGAGAGTTCTTGGTACATAGTTTCACAACAGCATTTCGTATGTGCTTCGTTAGTGTCTTGTTGCTGGGAGCTTTGGACTTCTTAGTAAACATAGGGGTTCTGGAAAAGTGGAAATATATTTTTCTTTAGAATTATTAGCTTTTGCTTGTGTACAAATATAATACATGTACATTTTCAATAATGAAATAATAAGTAGAAAAAAGAATATAAAATATTTTCCTGAGATAGCGATTAGCGATATAATTGTAGAATGTAGCTTTGATTTTTAAAATTGGCAACATGACATTCTTAAATGATATCCTTTAACTAATACCGGATACATGCATCAATTCCTTACTTGGTCTGCCCAATTTCCTGTAGAAGCGAACCTTGTGGATCTCCCGCCAATTGACCACTTTGCTGTTGTTGCTGCTCTTGGAGTCCTTTCAGCTCTTCAGGAGTCACTTTATTCACAAAATAGCCATCATCCTCCTGTTCTTGGGAAGCTTTCTCTTTCTTTTCCGCCATGACAGGTTTTATAACAGTCTGGTGTATTTTTACAACAACGTCTGGTTTCTTGGCACCATGGTTAATGAATATAAGGCCATCTATATCTAGCATACCTGAAAATTCAGACAGGTTTCTAAATTATCACTCATTTTCCCATGGCAATATAAATAGTATTATGTACCTTCTTTTTTTTGTTCATCACTTATTCTAATGTCATAACAGTTATGTATTGACTGATAATTTCGCCTAAAAAGGCCCAGAAGGCCAAATTATGCCCAAAAAGGCTCATTTTTTGAGGCCCAACAAAATTTTTGGACGGGCCCTATAAGTGTTCTGGGCCCATCCTTGGAGGGGGTGGGGCATGGTGTATGATATGCAAAACAATATTAGAACTAGACTAAACTAACTTCAAAAATAAATATAAAAATACAAGTCAAATGTTCTAAAATACAGCAGGTCAAAGAATATGTTTCTAGGCAATTCATAGAGATTGCTTTTGATTGGGTAGCTGGATTCTGATTTGTCATGGTCTTCTCAGTATTCTGATTTAGACTAAATCAAAGGATAATCACAAACTCAAAGATAGCATATATCTATAACAAATGGAAATTGTTACAGTCAAACCTTTAAAGTGGAACACTTTTAGAAGTGGAACACCTCTGTTAGTGGCACACTTCAGAGTCCCAAGTCAACTGAATTAATGTTTAATGAACCTTTTTAAGTAGAACACCTTGCAAGTGGAACACTTTAAAGATGTACTAAAGGTGTTCCACTTAGTCAAAGATGTCTACTTAAACATATTTTTGAGACAAAACTTAATAATTTGACCACCTTGCCAATGCCTGGACTACATAAGGGCTGAGAAGAAATGAGATGTCATGGTCTATCGTGATGGGTTTAAGTATTCATTGTTTAAACAGTCTGAACAAACCTTTGAATTTAATATCTCTAGTGCACATCTTGATGGTAGCATCACTAATGGATTTACTCAACATCTTATTCTGAGATTTTAGTGCTTCTTTTTCCTGTTTCGTAAGCGCCATCTTGCTTGTGGCCCTGTAAGAAAACATCATAAAATAACAAATTGGCATGAGATTCAACAAGATGCATATTCATTATGAGCTAAAATCTACTGGAAACTACATTCTACCTGAGACTAACATATTCATTAGGTATGTTAATCTCCGATTTTACGCTTCAATATGTTGCATCTCAAGAAAACATTTTTGAAAAAATTGCTATAATTGCAGAAATTATTTTCTGGTACAAAATAAAGTATGAAGGTATACGTCGCTAAAATTATTTGATCAGACCTCAAGGTTTTAGTACATGTTTAAATGTAATTTGCTAGTTCAAAATTACAGATCTCATCCAAAATTTAATTGCTCTGAATTTGAAACACTGACAATGACAAATTTCTTCATTGATTTTGCATTGTTCTCATGGATTTCGAAGACAAACATATTATTCAGGGCTTATTGAATCTTGTATCTAAATTTTAGGTTCAGTGTGCATTAAATAGGGCTTGAATCACAGGCCAGGGGAAAAGTAGTGAGAATCATGGGCTTTCAATAGATAGAAGTTTTATATCAAGCAAGTATATTTGCTTGGCCCATGGCTCGAATGTACAGTTCTGGACATAAATAAATGACAGGTGGATTTGCTGAAGTGAGAATTTCCCATGTTAAAAATAAGAGAATTTTCAAGAGGCCATACATCAGTGGATGAGATTATACAAAATGTGAAATATACAAATTTTAAGGGATATGTATCTAGACAATATTGGAAATTATGGACTTTCAGACGACCATAATTAGGAAATGGTGATCGAAAATCGACCTGTCATTTATTTTTGTCCCCAACTGTACAGGGAAATAATTTTACGTCCAATTTAAATGTGTTAGATCTACCTCTTTCAAAGGCTGGTAGACATGGAAGCCCCGCCTCTAGTGACTTTTTGAATATAGGAGTTTTAATAGGGTCTGGTTATCCCTTGCCAGGACTATAGTCCTGCGAACGTCTCAATCTTTTGCCTGTACGATTACAACATGGGAGAATTTTCGACGCCTCTTACACTTAAGATACCTACTACCTACATAGTACATACGTTCTCAGGACTATAGTCCTGGCACGGGATAAGGGTCTGGAGTTATGAAAAAAACCAGAAGTGCACCTAAAAGGCTGCCTGCTCTGCTGGCTTACTTGTTCTGACAGATCAGCCACTCAGCCTTTGAAAGCGGTAAATTTCGATCTCATAGACTTTTGACATCGTCTGTAATGTAATGTCATTTTACTTTTAAGTTACTTTGGAAATTCACTCATCATTATCTTCTACCTCCAAAAAACACGTTTCGTTTAGTGTAGCCTGTAGATATAAATTAAAAATGCATTTCCTGTCTACACATTTCGGAACTTGTTATGTTCTTTTTGCCTCGATTTAACATTATTTGAATATAAATTTTAGCTAACAACATAAATAATGTGGTGCTTTATATCACAACATTACTATAATAGAATAAAATTATTGATTTACCTCAATGTTTGTTCTTGAAATGATCCTTTTGTCCGACGGGCCTACTGCGTAGGCTAACGGAGTCTCCTATTTTGAAGAGCGCTATAGGGCCGAACCATTTAATATGGCCGGTTATTTATTGATTTTAAATCCTTTGTGAACGTTATTGGGTTAAATTTATTTAAGTGATTTCCCTGATTGAATAACCACCATAATAATTGTTTTTCAATGACTTAATATTCTTCAGTTTTCCCCACCAAAACTTGTCGCAAAGGATAAAAATGATTCGTCCCTTTTGAGAACCGTCGAGAATTTTGAAAAGGTAGGTGGATCCTGTCTCTGTAACTTCTTTCAGTTTTGATTTACTAAACATTTATCTGTATGATAATATATATCAACCTGCTGCTGAATACATGGAGAACATTTTGGACTATTACTGGGCATCAGATATTTAAAGATGCACCTGTAAATAGACGGAAAATAAAAAGATTTGCCAACGCATTTGATTAGTCACGTGACCTGACATTTTCAGATGCGCGCGACATTTCGCCAGGGTTGGTCTAAATATATTCCCGGGAATTTAAACATTTTGGGTTGTAAACCATGGACGTATATTTTAAACTTTCAGAATGTTTATAATTATTATAAACTAAACTTATGTTTTTGAACAATTTAAGTTACAAGACCTACAGCTTGTATACATCACGAATGCAAATACTCGATCTGAACGCTAATTCAACGATAATAGATCTTTACAGTGACATATAAAAAATCATGTGATCACTGTTCATTGACTAACAGGTTCATTTATGAAAATTGCATTCCCGAATAAAAGTTAAGCTTTTTCTTACTAACCCATCACCAATAAGATTATTTTTCCATTTCATGTTTGTTAAGTTCTATGCCGTTATTTGTTGCAGGTGCAGATTCGTAATTGTACCAAAGGACACAATAAATTGACCCGATTGACAGATTATGCTAGGAGCACAATCAAAATAGAACCACAGTGACTTAACATCCATTGAATTGTGCCAGGGTGAACATTTGGCACAAACCTCAAGAATGTCACAGCCAACTGAATCCCCCACCTTAAGTAAACTACTTCAAGACTATATGATCAAATTATGCCAGGAAAAAATAACACACTGCAAAAGTGTTGAGGTTGATGGAATAATATGTCTGCAGGCACATCCTAAACAAAACCAACAACTTGCCATTGCAAAGTTCCGAAACAATGTTGTCTTTAAGGAGGCTCCGAAACGAAGAAGCAAGAAACCTAAAAAGCAACCATATTTGGGACCAAACCCAACTCAAAATGAGGCAGAAAATGTCCTAGAAACACTCCATAAAATGGTAGTTGAAATATGTAGCAAAAATGTGAAGTTTCTATCAACTTTAGAAATAGATGGCATCATATGTTTGGATCCTGATTCTGACGATCGAAATTACACATTAAAATTACACGAAACAATCAAATATGTAAATGCCAATAATTTAGAAGAGCTTAACTTATCCGTTGATGAATATTCAACGGCAACACCAACACGGATGAAAATTACACCAACACTGTCAAAAACAGTCTCAACACAAACAAAACTTCTTATGTCCACTGACCAAATAACACAAACAAAAAAAGCACCCAAACCAAAGCGGACAAAAACTCTGAAACCAATCAAAAGTCATGATAACCAGAGTGAACAAGCAGAACCAATTACGCATGGTGATGATAATGGTGGAAGCTGTGATGCCGTCATAGATGACCTTGGTGAAAATGAACCAGTCGATGAACATCAGAAGAAAAAAAGGCTCAAAGGCTCTACATTTGTCTCCCAAGCAAAATTACAGTCAAGTACTGCAGGGCTTACAAAAACATCTAATGTTCCTCCAAATGCGAAACAAGTCTTTGTTTATGGTCGCAAACCTCTTCCAGGTATGTAGAGTGTACTTAAAGTGCACCAAGGTATCTTTATTATTTATTATGTCACTACCACAAGTGTTTAAGTCTCCAACTTTTTATGGGATGGTGTTCAGCATGTGTTTGATGTTCTTGATTTGATGTTTGGCATCTGTGACAAATGGCAGGTGATGACATTTTGCTTTTAGGGCACGATAGTTAACTTTTAACGAAATGAATAGGATTTAGTGTTAAAGAAAATCAGAGGTATGGATTCAACATTTGGTATTTTACAGTTGTCCCAATTTTGAAATTTATGATAATAATAATGACAATTATCTTTTCCAGGAGAGGTGATTTCACAAACAGTAAAAGGACCAGTTACAATAACCAAAGTCCAGGGACCCATCCCCCTAAAATCAGTAGCAGTGACCCCAAATAAACCTGGAAACCCTCTTTCAGCCTCTAAAACCCCAATATCAGTCTCTGCCACTCCAGCTAAATCTGGTCAGAGGTTGTTAGCCCCAAAACTATGCCCAGCGACCCCAACTCAAGTCCAACCAGTAATGTTGCTCCAAAAACCAGTTACATCACCCTTTGTACAAGGGAGCCCTATAGATATCTCAAAATCAGCTTCTGTGACCCCATGTCAAGGTCAGACCAAGTCAGGCCTAAAACCAGGCCCAGCAGTTGTACCTAAAGGTCAACCAATCATTTTGCTCCAATCCCCAGCTACAACTTCTTCAATTAAAGGTAATGCAAAATTAGCCCCACAATTTGCCAAATTAGCCCCACAATTAGCCCCTGTGACCTCAACTAAAGGACAGCCCAATTCAACTCCAAAACCAGGCTCTGTTAACTTAAAACAAGGTCAAAATGTCATTTTGGTTCAAAAGCCATTCACAAAACCTTTAGTTCAATGTAATCCCAAGAATGCCTCTAAACCAGCCACTGAAACCCCAGCCATGTCACTCCCTGGGCAACCTTTAACACCAGCTCCATTGACTACAACCCAAAGTCAGTCCTCTGTAGAAAATCAGACTTCAAATGCATCGAAAAAAGCTGTTGTTGTGGAAACAGAAACAGAAAAGACACCAGCACCCTCAATGGGTAGGGCAATTAGTGTATCCCATAGTAGTGTCATACCTTCATCCCCTCAGCCTTCGACAAGCTTTCCGAAACCACTGCAGAGCAAGACTTCTCAACTGGGCCAACTGCAAAGCCTCTTTAGAATAACCCCAACCTCTACACCTACCAATATAAATAAATATCAGAACTACTATGTCGCTGTGAGTCCAAGTAGATCAACCAAGAGACCAGCTATATCAACGCAAGGAGCTGCCATTACTACAACTCATAGACCCATATTACCAAAAGGTAATGGTATGGTTGATAATATTAATGCTCTTTCTAATTATGAATAAGAGATTTTACTCTATGAAGACAAAAACCCTTACCCCTTTTTTCAATGACTGTATCATGTTCCACATAGGTGGATCTGTGGGTATGAGGGAGGAGGTTTTTTATACAAAGCCCCCCTTTTGTAGATAATATATTGGACTGTAGTAAGTGGGGCGAGGACACAACCTTTCTGGGCTTTTATTGTTTTATGAAAAAATGGATATTGGTTATATGGAACTGGATATTGACAGACATCATGTGTATATATTGATGAATCAAAAAGTGGTACATGATTTTAAATTCTTCAGTATTCAAATTTCTTTAAAAAATCTGAAAATTTTTGACTGAGTTTCTCTCAAATTATTAATGAGATGTTGCAATAGGAAAACACAATCAAGGCCCTTTTGGACTTTTTTGCATGCTGAGCCATACCACATATTCTCTGTGTGCTCATTATGCGATTGTGCTGACCAGTCAAATCATTTTCGTCGAAATTAATTATCTGAAACTTGAATTAACTGGGGAAATCCATTTATTTGTCTTTTTGGTTCATGTGGGTTTCTTAGGGAGGAGTTTTTATTGTTACACATTTTTTGTTTATTTTTTCTAATTAGCTAAAAATAGAATAGTACATCTGATCAATACCATTGTGATTACTTTGGTTGCTTACCTTCATGTACCACTAACAATAACTATCTTACCATTTCTTGATCTCACCTTAGTTGGGGGATAATTCATGGGTGGTAAATGGGGGAGGGATGGCGGGTGAGATTCACTCAGATAACAACCTGCTTTCTCCTTGTATCAAGAAATGAATGGAAAATGGCGTTCTTCTGCGCATGTGCGTTGACCTACATTCAACTCTACTTCCTAGTAACAGATTTGTTTACATCAAATTCTGACAATCGTAACAACAATTAACCACTCCCATAAAACACACATAAAACCAATTAATTTTCAATTAATTGACATACGTTATCTGTGATTGGTCGTTACATTTGTTTATTGGTATGGTCAGATGACCAAAAGAACTCCAAAAAAGGCAGTTCTGGAAATTCTAAAAGAAATCTAAACTGGCTTTGAATCTGATTGGCTGCCTGGCTCAAAGACACGTGCCCTGTTTGCCATTCCTTGTGTGCTCGTGTCACTTGTTTGTGAATTGTGTTCAATTCTGACAGTTGGTTGTACTGTTGATTTTCTCAATATATCAGCAAAAAGTATATTCAAGATATATCTAAGGTATGTATATTATTATAAGCAATTACAATGGGACATCACCGATTGTCTTGAAGAGAAACCTATTAACTGTATCTTTAATATCTGGACTCTTGTATGAAACTGTCTCTCTTTTTGCAGAACCAGAAACCTCAAATGATGAACCGAAGGCGAAAAGATTCAGAAGCTATCGGCCCAAGATTGACCGTACCTCAATTCTCCCATCAGAATGTTATATGATTCGTAACTGTGCAGAGTGTAAAAAAGACTTCAAAGAATATGAAGAATATGGCAAGCACATGGAGGAGACACACAATGTAGAGAAACCACACAAGTGCATCTTTTGTAACAAGTCCTGGAAAATGTTTTTTGATTTAAAACTGCATATTATGGAGCACTCAGGTTAGTTTAAGAAGAATATCCCAGATGCGAGTAGAAATAATCTTGATTTACGTCACAATTTTGTCAACCTGATGTCATATTTGGAATCTACATGTAAAATTACATCTAGAAATGTGGTTTTGAAAAGAGTTTATCAACTTTGAAAATTTAATTTTCTTTGAAAATGTGACTTCTAGTTCGGGGAGATTCCCCATAGACCCCATGTTGTAAAACCACAAAAAGTGAAATATCTTTTCTTGTGTTGGGCAGATAATATTTTCTTTTACTGGACATATTTTAATTTGTATAACTATCACATACATATGGGTAATATGAAAAGTGAATCACTAAAACTGATGAATATTCAAGTTCAAGGGAATTTTGTAATACCCTGCCATGTTATTTCCCCCGAATCAACCACCTGGTGGCGAAATTGGTAACTTCCTACTCGCATCTGAGTATTTTGAAAATTGCCATGGAGGGAGAGGGGGTGAAATATTTGTTTTATAAAGATGGGGAGGGTGGTAAATGGAAAAATATTTTTCTAAAATCTACAAGTATCACAGAAACACTCTGACCTAACATATAGGCCTATATGTTGTAATAAATTGCTATAAACATGATTTAGGTACTTAGATTAATTTATCTTAGTCTAACATACATGATTATGTAGAATTACAAGAAATATGCCAATAAATTCTTTGATTTTCAGCCGAAATCTCCAAGATGTCGAAACAGCTTAAGAAAGAAAAAATAGTGAAAATAGTTACTGGAGGAAAGGAAAATAACAAAGACCCCAAAAATGAAGATGTAAATCCAGAGAAAGATATTGATAATGATGCAGAAGGTTTGTTTGTTCATTTGTTTGATTGGTTGTTTGTATGATGCCATGAAGTCAAGGGACATTGTTCAATTATGTTTCTTTTCCTCATCTATTTTAAACTTCATTTAAAAGGGTTTTGTGCAGAACATCCCATTTTGACATCTACATTTTATTATTTTTGAATAACCTGTGTGGCCATCTTGAAAAATGATGGCTGTAACATTCTATTTTACAAATTTTGCTGTAATCGAAAAGTAGTGGAACAATTTTTTGTGATTTCTCAGTGGCATGGTACACTATTTTACATGTCTTATGACAGTTTGGCTAGTAGATGGATGGCCACCATTTTATCATGTTTGCTTGAATTAGTTTCTCTCAAACCCATTAATGTCTTGATTCTTGCATAAAATTGTATCACTTTTTGCAGTACCAGAAACCTCAAATGATGAACCAAAGGCCAAAAAATCTAGAAGTTACCGGCCCAAGATTGACCGTACCTCAATTCTCCCATCAGAATGTTATATGATTCGTAACTGTGCAGAGTGTAAAAAAGACTTCAAAGAATATGAAGAATATGGCAAACACATGGAAGAGACACACAATGTAGAGAAACCACACAAGTGCATCTTTTGTAACAAGTCCTGGAAAATGCCATTTGATTTAAGAGTCCATATTATGGAACACTCCGGTAAGTATCAGGAACAGAATCTGAAAATTGACAACGAAGGGGAAGGGGGGTGATATTTTATATGTCCATTTCAGTGCTTGGGCTTAAAATTATTTTAGGCTCATTCTGAAAAATTGAAGATTTCGGCTCAATATCTTTTGGGGGGCCCCAAGTGGGAGAGCAGAGCATGACATCATTTATGTATTGCTAATTTAAGCTTAGTGCTACGAGAACTAAATTATGAATTGGCAGTGTAGAATTGACCATTTGCGATCAGAATTCAAGTACTTTGTTTATGGGTACTGTTTTCATTTATTTCGTCTTATTAGTATGAAGTCACATAAAAATAATATAAGACATGATGGGGAGACACATGGTGGACACATGGTAGTTTTGAGTTGAAATGTTCATTGTTACAAGGGTTCAAAATTTTTTGCACAAATATGTCTAATTGTGGGAATAATGAACAAATCTTGTTCCTAATTTGTATGTTTGTGCCCATATCTTATTCCCTTACATTGATAAAGTTTCGTGTATATACCCCTAATACTTAACATTTTACGGTTGCTATAGTAACCACGGTTGTGATGCTATGGTCCATATCATTTTGTAAAAGATAACTAGTAACACATAAAGATCAATGTTACTAAGCATGCTAAATTAACTTTCATGACTGTCAATTTAATTATAAACAATTTTTAGTATTGTTCTCATTGAAAATGTGAATCTTATCTCAATATTTCCCATCTTGTTTTCTTTGTTTATGTCAAAGAATGACCGTAAACATACTCTTCAAACATCTTAAATGAACAAATCACCTAATTTTGTGACGTGATCATTGTTCTCATGAATTCAGGAAATATTGGAGAATATGGCTTTGAATAATAAGGTTGGAGCAGAAAACATTGATAGAATACATTGATAGAATACATGATAAAGAATGGGGAAACAGCGTTACACAAGTTATATTCATTCATGATTTGGACATAGTGCATATGACAGGGTGACTCCAATAGGGTTTGCTTAGTATTCCAAGATGGAATAACAGAAGGGAAATGTATTGGGGGTAGCTGTAGTTATGCATTACTGAAAAGGAAGACAACATGTTAGTACTGTATATTTAGATTAAATATAAATTTGTTATAATATGACCTGATTAACAGCTGAAAGAACAAAGATTAACAGAATCATTTCAGTCTATAAAGGCATTCACAAAATCAATTCAATCTAATGACGTCAGATGTACCATGGGGCCATTGGTTCAAATTTTTAAATCAATGTGTCTCAGGAAGTATATTGCTAATGGTCCTGAAATTTCATATAAGCTTGTAAGAAGGGTAATACTATATCTGTATGAAATTTCATATAAAAATAATAAAATGTCTACTCTTGAGAAGCTGTCGTGCAAGACTTTTCGAACGACCCTTGTATTTATCAGGCATGTTTACTTGATGAGAGATCATGAGTATATCTTTATGTGTTTGAAGTTTCAACGAAATTCATACTAAACATCTGTGCCTGAATGACCAGAATCACCCTATAAGAAACTAGATGAATAGTGTAAAAAGTTAAAGATCAATTAATTGACATTAACTTGTCTTCTAAAGGGTTATGCCTATCAAGAAATATGTCAATGAATTCTTTGATTTTCAGCCGAAATCTCCAAGATGTCGAAACAGCTTAAGAAACGGGGTGAGGTGAAAATAGGTCCCAGAGGAAAAGAAAATGACAACGACCCTGAAAATGAAGATGTTAATCCAGAGAAAGATATTGATAATGATGCAGAAGGTTTGTTTGTTTATTTGTTTGGTTGGTTATTTGTTTGATGCCATGTAGTCAGATAACATTATTTTTTCAATTTAGAATAAGATTCAATGTACTGGTCACTCCTTAAGATCTTTACTCCTTAAGTTTCTTTACCTTATCTGTTTTCAATTTCATTTACATGTACATTCCCATTAGCCTTGTGTTCTAGAAAGACATCTACAGTGTGACACAAAAATAGGCCATAGGAGTATTCTCAAATATCTTTTTTATCATCGATACCATTCCATAATGCTCAAACTTCTCTTTGCTTGTTATGGTTGAATGATTGCCATACATTTTATTATTTCTATACAATTTAGAGTGTTAACTACATGCCTGTATACTCCATTCCTTGCTGATTTCACTGATTTTCACTCTATTTTCCATTTTAAAACAATACCAAAACTTGATTTCTCTTATAAGATTGTATGGTGTTTTCCAGAAGAGGCGGAGGAAGACTACAAAGTCTATACTCCAGGAGGCCCTATTAAGAAAAAGACCAAGCTAGAGTCACTCATGACGACAACATGCACCATTTGCAAGCTTCAATTCGTTGACAATCTGGCGTATTCTCATCATATGAGAACTATACATGACGTGAAGAAACCCCAGAAATGTAAGCTTTGTAGCAAGACCTTTAGGGAACCCGCCACCCTAAAGAGGCATATTCGGATGCATCTCGGCCAGGTCAAGTTCAAGTGCCCGACCTGTCCAGCTAAATTTAAGAATAAACCAGATCTGAAGAATCACATCCAGCAACATTTGGTAAAATCAAACCCCGCGGAGGGTATTAACTCGACCAAAGCTATCACATTGAGAAGTAAACTCATAAAACTGGAATGTGCCAATTGCAAACTCGTGTTTCTCAAGGAGAAACAGTTTGCCGCACATATGAAAACTGTACATTCTGAAGAGAAACCATTTAAATGTAATATATGTGGGCGTGGTTGCGCCACACGTACCTCATTGGTCAAACATGAAGTACTCCATACTGGAGAATATCCGTTTAAATGTGAACACTGCCCTAAGAAATATATTAACCGTTCAGATTTACTGGTTCATCTACGTAAAAGACACAACATCGATACATCTTTCGATGAAAGTACTATAAGTAAGAAAAAGGTAAACCCCAAAGTGTGTGATATATGTGGTGCACTTTGTAAAAATGGACTCAAAAGACATAAGAAATCAGCCCATACTGCTTTAACGGATGATGGGACATACCCATGTGATGTGTGCAAAATGGAGTTTCAGACAGCCGATATGTATACAAGTCACATGTCTGTTAATCACAACATCTTTGAGGAAAGCACTAACAATGGAGGTGCTCTTCCAACATGCTATTTGTGTCAGACATTATACCCAGATAGGAAAGCCCTCAAGAACCACTGGAATCTAAAGCATATGACTAAGAAATGCGAGAGGTGTAACATTATATTACCAAATAAACGTGCCTACAGGACTCACTTGCAGGACGTACATGACGAAAAGATCTTATGTGACTTATGCGGGAAACAGTCTGGTTCGTTAAATGATCTTAAAGAACATAGAAAAATTCATTTTCATATAACCCCTGATGTCCAGTGTGAAATATGTCACAAGATGTTTCATCGCCGTAGCAACCTGAACCGACACATCCGTTTGACACACAGCACTAGTAGCAGGATTGTCCCAAGATCTGGTATCGCCTTAAGGAATGTCCTTGCATCTGTGAATTTCATTCATCTGGATGACAATACAATCCAATGCCCAGAATGTTTTACAGTTTGTGGTAGCAGATCTTTAGCGAAAAGCCACTATATAAGCTTCCACACACGTCGTGGTCCCCCGCATCGCGCCAAGTGTCCCATATGTGATAAGGAGTTCCATAGTAAGCCGGCTTTGAATAGACATCTTAGGAATATACATGGCTGGCATAAGACATTTGACAAAACGGACTGGAGTGAGATCACAATTATATCAAAAAATGAACCAATCGAGAGAGAGGAAACTGTAGCAGCTTCAAATATGTTTGAACAAATGTAAACTTTAAAAGGGGATCAGTGCCTATAATCAACCCTTAAGTAGACCTTAATAAGAATTACATTATTTTGTATCATCAAGAGACTTTGTTGTGAGCCTTCTTCTCTGTAAACATGAGAGCTTGAAAAAGTGCACATTAATTGAGAAATTGCTGAATAAGAAATTATAAGAGGTACATTCACCTCTTATAATTATGTCACCTCCACAAGTTGTGATATAACATTTTTGTGGATGGTGTTTGGCAGTTTGTGTTCAGTAGTTGGTGTTCCCGGCAATTGGCATCTGTAATAAATGGCTGGTGGTGACATTTTGCATGTTAATGCCTTGTTTGCACTTGTCAAGACTTTCACTAGAATGCTTGATGAGCATTATTTTTAATGATTGTCAGTAATTAGACTTAATATAATTCAAAGTCTCTTTATAAAAGCAGGAGATCCAAAGGGCAAATTGTGCTTCGGTTAGCAACATTTCTACCTCCGCCTAGGCATGATATAGTCCTGATTTCTCGATAAAATATGACACCTTATTTCAATGTTTAATACAAATTGCAAACTGTTTCAACATAAAAAATGGTGCTGTATTATAAAAACGGAGCCCTTTTAAATGATCTTTTCCTGGTAACAGTACCATAGTATATAGCATTTTGTAATTTGCATATCTGTATATATTTGTTATTAATTGTGGGATTAATTGATGATTTACAATATTATTAGAAAATAAATTGAGAATATTGATTGCAAACACTTATGTTACAAGAGTTTAAAAATTTATTTTTCTTGATGTCAATTTTATTCTGATGTTTGTTTAGGGGAAAACTTTTGACTGAATAGCAATATAATTTGGCACCAATTTTAGAAGGTAAACTGTTCAAAATTTCAAGCTTATTTTAACTTTTTACTGGTTAACTTTCTGATGAATTTTATGTTTTGAAATTTTGGCAACATCAAGTGTATATTACTGTCTGATTAATGGAAAGCACGATTTTGGCATTATATGCATTAATACCCAAGACTTTTTAGTAACAGCTTTTAATGTTACAAGTGGTCACATATTGTTACAGGTTGTGGATGCAGGTTGGCATTCAACATCTGTAACAAATGGCAGATGGTGACATCTTATTTGTTAAATGCCTTGTATATGCTTAATATGGCCAGAATTCATTGCAAATACTTCATGGATAGGAAAGTAACCAGTGAAATAATTTGAAGGTTGTATCAGATCTAGCAAGTAAAAACAAAAATTATTTCAATTTTAGAATATTTTTGTCTCATAGCATTCCTCAGTTCCTTGCATGCCAAAGTGTATACTTATTCAGGAAAACTAATTTATATTTACAATAATCTATCATTGTTCATGTCACCACCAGAGAACACAGAAGTGGAGACATATTGTTAGTCTCCAACTTTTTTCTGGACTGTTCGGTGGTTGGTGTCAGCATCCAGCGGTTGGCATTCGATGTTCTGTAATAAATGGCAGGTGGTCTAGCTTGCAATTTTGTCTCCCCCTATAGATTTTTTCTTAAAGATTATGCACACCTATCCACACAAGAGAGCCACAATTTAGCACTTTTCCAACAACAGCCACAGTGCACTCAGGCTTGAAAAAAATTGAAAAAACAAACAAAATGATTGTTTTATTTCGTATAATTTATATTTTTCAATTATCTATAAATTACTTTACAATACATTACAATAACATTGTATAGAGTATTCATGATCCATAAGCTAACGAATCACATGATCCAATGTAGGTGTACATGAGTTGGACAAACTTATCAATTTGGACAAATCAATCAATCTGGATATTCAAATCAATTTGGACAAACAAATTAATTTGGACAAACAAATAAAATTTTGGACAATCCAATCAATCCGGACAGACAAATCAATCAGTTTCACGGGGTACCATCGAATAATTTTGGCAACGTACCGGAGAACGACATTTTACTAAGAAATGGCAATAATTTAGCACAATATATTTTTTAACTAGAGTTCTATTTTGATTTTGACAAAAGTAAGTATTCCATGCAATGACTATTTCATTCATGAGTTTGTAGGAATTCTGTTGGAACCCAGTTCTGATCAAGTACGAAGTTATTGAAATCGGTGCAGACGGAATTTACTCCGAAAGATGGTTTTTCGATTATAACTTTTCACAACATTTAAGTATAGACTTTTGAAAAAAGTACAGAATAGTCCTCATACTTTTGAATAATTCTGTTATTTCTGATTCACACGACTCTGATTTGTTTAATTAAAAAAACGTTTTAAAAATATTACTTAGGAACGTAACCGGAGCTGGGAACGTAACCGGAGCTGGGAACGTAACCGGAGCAGATCAGTTGAATTATTTAATCAAAAAAATTAAAATATATGATTTAAAGCACATATACTAATTTAAAAACATACGGGATTGTTCGAATGCGTATTTATTACATTTTATTTAAAGAAAAAAATTTATCCATTGTGAAAAATTAAATTTGGTATTTACCATGCATAAGTGCACTTACCTTAGAAAGGCTATCAAACATAGAACAATCATTGTATGGAGAATGAAGTGATTAAATGTAGTAAGCAAATAATTCCATTTGATTTCACCCATTGTATTTGTTCAGCGAACTATTAGAACCCACTCTGTTATACTAATTTCGTAATATTAAGTTAGGATACAACGAACTGTATTTATAGCGTAGGTGTGTTAAGTACTTGTCATGTGCTCGACCAAATCGAATCAACATATGCTTTCTGAAATTCTTCACCTAACCCCCCCCCCTCCATATAAACGTAAGATGTTTGAGTGAGTGCCCGTTTATTGTTTTATGCAAAACCAGTTGTTATCCATCTTTGTTTCGATAAACCTAGGCGTGGGTCATTAAGCAAGTAAGAAAGTGAATGATTTTTTCTAGTTAAACTACAGAACATTGCTTTTCAGTCGTTAATAGACAGTGTTCTATAATTCTATCACACCAAGTAAGCTGACATATGTGTTTGTAAATAATATATATGCTTTAAATCATATATTTTATTTTTTTAAATTATATAATTCAAATGATATGCTCCAGTTATGTTCCCAGCTCCGGTTACGTTCCAAAGTAATATTTTTAAAACTTTTTTTTTAATTAAACAAATCAGAGTCGAGTGAATCAGAAATAACAGAATTATTCAATAGTATAAGGACTATTCTGTACTTTTTTCAAAAGTCTATTCTTAAATGTTGTAAAAAGTTATAATCGAAAAACCATCTTTCGGAGTAAAGTCCGTCTGCGCAGATTTCAATAACTTCGTACTTGATCAGAACTGGGTTCCAACAGAATTCCTACAAACTCTTGAATGAAATAGTTATTGCATGGAATACTTACTTTTGTCAAAATCAAAATAGAACTCTAGTTAAACCAGAACAACGGCAACGCCAAAGCGTAGCGAATCCCATCGAACAGAAATAGCTGGCATTTTTACAACAAAATATATAGCAAATATCATAAAATAACACACATAAGAAAGTTGTCATCAGAAGAAGTAATATGCTTTTTTATAGTATTCACATGCCAAATATGAACAAAATCGCTCTACTACTTTTCGAGTTATAGTAAAATACTTTAAAATGGTGGCCATTTTTCAAAATGGCCGCCTTCTACCAAAAGTGTCATAAGACAGTGTACCATGCTAATAGTATTCGAATACCAAATATGAACAAAATCGCTCCACTACTTTTCAAGTTACAGCAAAAATCGTAAAATAACGAGTAAAGGCCGAGTAAAATACGTTTAAATGGCGGCCATTTTTCAAATTCCATTTTTTGTCATCAGAAGAAGTAATATGCTTTTTTATAGTATTCACATGGCAAATATGAACAAAATCGCTCCACTACTTTTCGAGTTACAGTAAAATATGTTAAAATGGCAACCATTTTTCAAAATGGCGGCAAATTTTCAAAATGGCCTCCTCCTATCAAAAGTGTCATAAGACAGTGAGCCATGCTTATAGTATTCACAATAAACCAAATATGAACAAAATCGCTCCACTACTTTTTGAGTTAAAGTAAAATATGTTAAAATGGCGACCATTTTTCAAAATGGCGGCAAATTTTCAAAATGGCCTCCTCCTACCAAAAGTGTCATTAGACAGTGAGCCATACTTATAGTATTCACATACCAAATATGAACAAAATCGCTCCAATACTTCTTGAGTTACAGCAAAAATCGTAAAATAACGAGTAAAGGCCGCCATTTTTCAAGACGGCTGCCATGTGCTATTTTAATTTCTACATTTCTAGCTTTATCAATGTCCTATATAATTTTTTTACATTTAAAACATAATGCTATCACAGTTTTACATATTGCACCTAAATTACTGTAAAATCGGCACTAAAATGGCCGCCATTTTTAAATGAGCGGCCATTTTGAAAATCGGCTTTTTAGCAGAACTTCTACTTCCATAGGGTATATGTGTACAAAATATGAACAAAATCGGGTCAACGGTATTTGAGTTATTGCCCGGACGGACAGACGGACGTACGGATGTACGTACGGACGGAGGCGTTCCCTATATCCCTCCGAACTTCGTTCGATGGGATAAAAATATATTGTGCTAAATTATTGCCATTTCTTAGTAAAATGTCGTTCTCCGGTACGTTGCCAAAATTATTCGATGGTACCCCGTGAGTTTGGACAATCCAATCAATTTGGACAAAGAGAGATTTGTGTAAACATTGATTTCACAACTCACCTCAAAGTGAACCCTTTTTTCCAAGTATCCATTGTAAGATATTACCCTTGATATCTACTAGTAGTAGTATGAGCATAATATATAAGAAGCCCAATGCAATGAGCAGACTTACCAGACTCACAAACTAGAAATAATAGCTGGGCAATAAAAAATACTCATCAGGAAATACAAGTATAAAATGTGGGACAATTTACATGAGCTTTGTCATGTATTTTTCAATTTGTATGAGCAACTGTGCAATGTTTATTAAAAATGTAATTTGGCTTGATATTTAAGAAATAATGGATGGCAATTAATATTATATGAGATACAACACAGAGCTCAGCGTTTTCAAGATAACTTAACTGTATCATGAAATTATCATGGCAATATGATTTAGAAAGACAGGGGACCAGTCATTTTGGAATCTAAACTTTAACCTGTCCTTTAATTGTTTCATTATCATCAGTTTCCACATCTGGTCCTTCAAGTTTAGCAGACTTTTCTCCCGATTCATTGGATTTAACTGATACATTTTCCGACTCCACCTTATCCTCCGAGTCAGATATTTTGGCCGCTTCATCCTTTGGATTTTCATCCTTATCATTATGTTCACCTTTTGTATCATTGATGGTGGAGTTATCCTCCTTGTTGTTCTTGTTTTCTGGATCACTGTTCACATTTGTTTCAATTTGTTGTTGCAAGTCTCCATTGAGCACCATGCGAATCTCTGCCACCATGCCATCTATATCTGTCATTGTTAATTTGCCTGCAAACAAACAATGAAGTGTCATGACAGTCTTGTTAAAATAAAATATGACATCACTTCCTGTCAACATGGACAAGTATCCATGGGCGTAACCAATGGTTACTAGCCATGCACCTGCCTCATCAACTTCAACAGAGATAAATCTTTAATATATTTTGCAAATAAATCTTTGGAAATGAAGTGCAAAGGTTGTAATATAGTACCTCATTTGCCTTGCCTAATTCTAAATCCAGACTCTACCCCTGGGTACTACCTTTAAAAGATGGCAGCACCCAAGTGAAGATCCTTATCTTGAGATGACCCAACGTCGCTGATTGGTCAATTGACAGGAAGTAATATTATGTTCACTTTTGGCGTGTTTAATACCAAGCTTGTTATTTCACATCAAAATAAAGAAAGATGTAAGGAATATGTTTACATCAATTAATACAAACTATATGTTGAAAATTTTGACAAACAAAGGTGGTAAGCTAGCCTTGCCCAAGTCGGTCTCTTTTACTTATCTTGATTTCTATTTAAGCAAGAGAGGTAATTATGAGTGACCTCAAAGCTCTGGGGTTCTCCCTCCTCTTATGACCATATTTGACTCAATCAGAACCTTTCCATGTGTTTTGCTTACTATTATTGATACTAATAGCAACAACGCTTCATTGCCATGACAACACAGCATGAACACAACAGTGTTATTTTGCAATTTGATGCTATGTTGTCTATAAATACATCTTGCACACCAGACTTTCGAGGATGAAACATGGGCGTATGTCAGTCAGTAAGTCATATGAGATAATTGTTTATAGCAACTATATATAAAGTCAGAAATGTGCTAATAAGGAATGTCATTGACATTAAGGTCATTTGGTTAAAGTTTAAGACTCCTTTCTCATTTTTATGGTAGAATTGAGAAGTAATCACTTGAATGCAAAAGTCCTAAAAAGAAATCTGAAATCTTTATTAGCTCTGAGATTTGCATGGGTTCAATGTGAGAAAAGTTACCCTATCTGAGCATATGCTTAAGTAAAGGATTACCATTTGAAAACAAAGACTGGTTTGCAAATGGCAGTATATCTTTGAAACCATCCATGAGAAAAATAACAGATTCGTGTTCGAATCGTAATATAGACCTCAGAGCAGATGTAATATCGACAAATACACTCCTTAGGGCTAGGCACAAAAGCTTTTGAACCCCTTTGGTCGTTTAGGGTACAGAAAACATTTGTGCCTAACCCTGCGGGATGTATTCGTCGATATAACACCTGCTCTTCGGTCTATATCTCTTAAATACAGTAGACATTTACAAACCTAAATTCACTGTTTGTTATCCAAATAGTTTCTTCTTAATTTTGCCTAAAAAGCCAAGATTTTCCTCACTGTCTGTGTGAGCTGTTGCATTGAGAGGCGTTTCTTCATTACTTGTCTGTGTATTTGTCTTTGCTTCCCCACCTGGAAGGAAGGAAGGACAAATACGTCACAAAATGTAATCGAGCTCATGATTTAATCTGCAAAATTCTATGGAACAAAAAAATTTCAGGCAAATAGTTCCATTTTTAAAATATTGTCTGTATCTACAGGGCGTTTCATAATGACCATCCCATCAACCACCAATCCTAAATAGCATACCACCATATTTTGTATATCATATGAAAGCTTTTTAAATTCTGGACTTATCAAAGCAGTCTTGACAACTTGCTACAAAGTACATACCTCTACAAAAGGTACCCATTTTACCTTAAGCATAGAATCTGAAAGCTACATTTTTTCCAAAATATACCATGTGCCCGGCAAACAGCTATGATAACCATGCCTCAATACACTACTATCTGTAGTAATGTACAACTGATAACATTAGATGGATGCTGAGAGTATATCCCAATGATATTTGAAAGACAAAAGTATTACATATTTCAAAGAAATACCAGAGAGCTCAATGTGATTCAATGGATTATATAGCATTATGCTCCTCTTTTTAAATCCATGGGGGGGAGCTTTTTCACAATTTTGGCTAAAAATCATGTGAAAAATTCTCAGAATGGTGAAAAACTGCATGATTTTGAAAGAATTTCTGGCCAGGGAGGGAGGGAAGCTTCCGCTCCCCCAGCTCCTCCTCTGGCTACGGGCCTGTATAATGACTATCAAACATAATTTTACAAATCATGTTCCAATTGACCAATCATGCTTAAATTTGGCACATAAGTCCAGAATTGAATAACCTTTATAATGGTATATAGATTATGGGGCCATGTGATCTAGGATCGGTTGTGCATGGGAGAACGGAACATGAAACACCCTGTACATTAATTTCTTTTATTTTCATGACTTTGAGGTTTACCTCACCCTTTGTCCTTTGCATGAAACTTCCATTCAACATATTGATGTTTTAAAATACAATGTCAAGATCAAGATGAACACATCGTAAGTGATTCATATTCTCTCAATGCAACTTGCTCAAACATGAAAATTACTCTATCCTATTACATATACAGTACTTTACGTACCATCTTTTGTTTGTGCTATTCCATTCACTGTTCCCTCAACTCCTTTCTCAATTTCAGCATAGGCCAACAACAAGGCCTTCTGCTTGTCCGAAAGTTTTCTGAAAACAGATTTGATTAGAAAATAACTCCCTGTTAAGCCAATACTATATTTAAGTTGTTTTTTTATCTGGTATTTAGCTAATTTAAGAGGAATGCCCAGAAGCATTGCACTTATCCTTTGAATTTGATCCAAAATAGCTGATAATAATGATGTATTTACACTGGTACATTTATTTTAATAAGTACAAAATGATGTACTTACACTGGTACATTTATTTTAATATGTACATAATGATGTACTTACAATGGTACATTTATTTTAATGAATGGATGTACTTACACTGGTACATTTATTCTAACATGTACATAATGATGTACTTACACTGGTACATTTATCTTAATATGTACGTAATGATGTACTTACACTGGTACATTTATTCTAACATGTACATAATGATCTCCATAACCATAGCTATTCACTCGACTTATTCCCTTTCCTTTCAACTGTAGCCGAGTATGGGAATCTGTTCCTGCTGGTATCTAAAAGTAAAAATATATATTGATGAATTAATGACATATTCAACTATACATACAAGAAAGGGTAATCTCTACAGTAAGTTTTCACTACAGAGGGGCATTCACTACGGATAGGGATATTCACTAAACATGGGTCTTCAATACCAAGAATCTTTCACTTCAGAGGGGTGATCAGTGTTCACTTAAGTGGGTGTTCCACTTAAGTGGGTGTTCCACTTAAGTGGGTGTTCCCTACAGAGAGCTATTCAACACAAAAAATCATTAGCGGGATTTGTGACAGATGCTCACATTAGAAAAATGTACAAATGTACTCACATTTAGCAGGATATCTCCATATATACCAGGTATTCTTGTAGTACCCCCCAATACTGCCTGTGTCAGGGATATTACGGCATCAGAATGTACATCAGCGCCATCCCTTCTAAATGTCCTGCTTCTTGCCACCTAGCAAATAACACATTTCTCATCATTTCTTCAATAAATAAAAAAAATAAACTTTAAGAGGCACTGGTGGAAGAGAATGTATTATAGGTTTTACTATAATATGTCATTATCTTACGAATAAAATCATTCCAGTCTGAGACTGAAATAAACTTCTCTGTTAATAGTGAATTTGGGATTTTGGGCACCAATTTCAGATATATTTTGCCAGGTCGTGAGCATATTGCAAAATAAAACTCTGATTTTTACACAAATATGAAAAAATGCCTAACAACTAATGATTTGTACTTTATGTAACAACAACAACACTTTTTTGTACTTCATGTGCTTCCTGTTGATAGATGTTATGGACAATTTTGATATCATAACAATATAAAACCAGAACAACGGCAACGCCAAAGCGTAGCGAATCCCATCGAACAGAAATGGCTGGCATTTTTACAAACGAATAGCAAATATCATAAAACAACACACCAGAAAGGCCACCATTTTCAAAATGGTTGCTCACTAGCCAAGTTGTCATCAGAAGAAATAATATGCTTTTAAGTAGCCACCTCTAAAATTTTTGAAAAATCATACATGTACTTGTAAAATAACACACATAAAAATGGTGGCCATTTTTCGAAATGGCCGACTACTCCCCAAAGTTTTATTAGACAATGTGCCATGCTTAAAGCATTCACATATCAAATATGAACAAAATCGCTCCACTACTTTTCGAGTTATAGTAAAATACGTTAAAATGGCGGCCACTTTTCAAAATGGCCACCTTCTACCAAAAGTGTCATTAGAAATAGACAGTGTGCCATGCTTATAGTATTCACATACCAAATATAAACAAAATCGCTCTACTACTTTTCGAGTTATAGTAAAAAAAGTTAGAATGGCGGCCATTTTTCCAAATTTTTTTCAAAATGGCCACCTTCTACCAAAAGTGTCATAGGACAGTGTGCCATGCTTATAGTATTCACATACCAAATATGAACAAAATCGCTCCACTACTTTTCTAGTTATAGTAAAATATGTTAAAATGGCGGCCATTTTTCAATTTTTTTTTCAAAATGGCCACCTTCTACCCAAAGTGTCATAGGACAGTGTGTCATGCTTCTAGTATTCACATACCAAATATGAACAAAATCGCTCCACTACTTTTCGAGTAATAGCAAAATACGTTAAAATGGCGGCCATTTTTCAAAATGTTTTTCAAAATGGCCGCCTTCTACCAAAAGTGTCATAGGACAATGTGCCATGCTTATAGTATTCACATACCAAATATGAACAAAATCGCTCCACTACTTTTCGAGTTATAGTAAAATACGTTAAAATGGCGGCCATTTTTCAATTTTTCTTCAAAATGGCCGCCTTTTACCAAAAGTGTCTTTAGACAGTGTGCAATGCTTATAATATTCACATACCAAATATGAACAAAATCGCTCCACTATTTTTTGAGTTACAGCAAAAATCGTAAAATGACAAGTAAAGGCCGCCATTTTTCAAGATGGCTGCCATGTGCTTCTTTAATATCTACATTTGTAGCATTATTAATGTCCTTTATAATTTTTCTACATTTAAAACATATTGCTATTACAGTTTTACATATTGCACCTAAATTACTGTAAAATCGGCACTAAAATGGCCGCCATTTTGAAATGAGCGGCCATTTTGAAAATCGGCTTTCGAGCAGAACTTCTACCCCCATAGGGTATATGTATACAAAATATGAACAAAATCGGGCCAACGGTATTTGAGTTATTGCCCGGACGGACGGACAGACGGACGGACGGACGGACGTACGTACGGACGGACGGAGGCGTTCCCTATATCCCTCCGAACTTCGTTCGATGGGATAATAAAATTAAAATTTACTTAACACTTTACAGTGTTGCCCCTTCATTGAATACACACAAAAAAATATTTGTTCATATCTGGCTAATTCACAAGACTGTAAACAATAAAATCGCATAACTACTTTTTTTCTTCTTTTCACAACCTTTATTTTACTAAACAGGACGTTTCGGATCCTGTCTGGATCCTTTTTCAACTGTATATAAACTGAACTGAAGCGCTACAATGAATACAATACTGTTAAACATTGATGTACATTTAATCAATCCATAATCACACATCTTTTTGCGTGGTAAAAATTGTTGAGATCTCGTTTACTAAGATCTGATCAGTTATTTTTTTCCATTACAAATATTTACTGAAAATATAGATATTCACTCCTTCAATGATTGTATTAGGCTCTTTGCATTCTACATTTTTATGATCAATTTCTCATTGGTTCACTGGTATTTTAAACATAACTTAAATACTTATATTTGTATCCAGAATAAAATCAAGATAATCAAGTGAAAATTTCACTAGAAAAATATAAGTATGGAGAAAACTACTCCACTGTTCACAGGGTTCATAATAGACCACAGAGGAAGACGATGAACAAAACTAAATGCTTGTTTTGCTATTGGATGGTAACATGTTAATTATGTCACAGGTTAATATAGAATCAACATGTAGATGATTTATGTAGTTTAGATTATTTGTTTGTTAATTTTTTTTTTTTGTTAAGTTGCCGATGGAGCAATATGTGACTGATGTCATAGTTGATGTGAATGTCATATCTTCGAATTAATAGTACAAAGAAGTCCGCCCATTTCGAGGAGGGCCTTTATAAAAAATAATACAAGTAAGCTAATGTGTAGGTGTCAGGTGGTTATGAAATTCTCCAACTTCCTCACTTTATCATAAATATTTTTTTCATGAAATTTGATTACCATCTTCCCACTTACCCCACAAATGTGAGCCTGATTTGCGTTTTTTCTTATTTTTGACATTTTCTAAGCAAATCCAATATTTTGAAAATAAATTCAAAAATAATCAACAAAATAAGACAAAATATCCTCACATTTATATGGGGAATTTCTCCAACATACAGCAGAATAAGATGTTCTCAAAATGCATTTCATGATATGAAGGTAATGAATTGGTAATTACATGTAATTGCTCACTACTTGTCTACGAGGGTTGTCCTAAAAGTCTTGAAATTTCGCTCTCATTTCATCAATTCTTCGTATATAATTGACTTGAAACAGATGAGATGGGTTGTTGATCATGAGGAACTTTTTTAGAGAGGTTAGTTATCTTTATATGACTCCTTCTAATTTGATGTAACCTATACCCAAGAATGTTGTAAATCTGCTTATGTATAGTCAACATTCATTCAATCTTTTCGCATTCCACAAAAGGATATGAAATCTATATTTACGAATAATTGAATAATTGTAACAAATTTGTATTGCATATAAGTGTATGGTATATTTACTTCGAAGTTCAACACAAATGTTAAATTGATTAACCTTGTTGAATTTTCATTGTATGAAATTAAATGTTATAATATATGAACTTGAAATAAAAATGATTACTAAAAAAAAATATTTGTAATTGGTCAAATGGGTAGCTTGACAAGCTGATGGGAAGCCACTGTACTCACCTTAAATGTGATGAAAATTTCTCCACTGCCGACGTTCATGCGTACAGTTTGTCCATCTTCGACACCAGATGGCACTGGGACAGTAACTGTTTTGCGCAATATAAGCTTTCCTTTGCCACCACACTCAGTACAAGGGTGCTTGATCAATACTCTTGTGCCGTGACAGTGTCGACATGTTGATCTCATAACAAATGGTCCATTACTGATGGTTTCCTGAATCAGAGAAAGACAAAATCATTTTCTCTTTAGCACTGTTGTATGAGGTAAGATAAGAATGCTTTGGGTATAATTCCTGTCATCACTTTGGGATATGTTTCTGTCACGTATACCTGTATACATCTGTTCAAGAATAAGTCAAATAAATTTTGAAAGTTTGGGATAAAAGGAAAAGTTTCTAAGATTTGGTCAAGTAGAACCACATTATTAAAGATATAACTTTACTTACTCTAAATAGAAAATTGAACATCATTAGATATACAAAGCAAACAGAATGTCTCATATACAAACCTTCAAACTCTCAATTTGTTTTTAATATTCTATTTTTGCAAAATGCCCAAACTGCACATACATATACTTCCAAATACTCACCATGCCTGTACCATTACAGTGGTGACATCTACTGGTGCCCGTGCCAGGTTCAGCTTTCTTGCCCAAGCATTTGGGACATGTGTCTTTTACATTTATGGAAATGTCCTTATTAACCCCTCTAGCTGCTTGCTCAAATGTTAGGTTCATCTGGTACTAAGGAAAAGTATTAATTATATTAATTAGTTTGTAAACTGTTGTAGCTATAAGCCTTATTATTTCATAATACTACAAAGGGGTCATATTTTTTTATAGAACTAACTGAGGGGGTGGGGGTAAACCAAGTTTTGAAATACGAGTGATGGCTTGGTTTGTTAACTTGGTTTGAGCAGTTAAAGTAAGATCCATAAATAATAGGAATCTTGAGTAGTAATTTTCATTTACATTTTGATCTGGAAATGGCAATAAAATGGTAGAAAAAATTTCAAAATCAAAATATTTCAATTTTGTATTACAACTTTTGAAAACTTAAAACTACCACACAAGGATTGTTGGCCATCGCAATCATGAAAATTTTGAGATAATTCTTATCATGTTCTTTTTTAATGTTCTTTTTTAATGCCTACCTCTGAAGCGGCTGCAAAGCCATATTTGGATTCTTCAAAATCATCCATATTTCCAAAGCCAGACATTCTGAACCCAGCATCTCCAAATATTTTCCTAAATAATTCCTCTGGGTCTATACTGCTCTGAAACCCTCCGAATCCTGAAAATTTAAGAAATTTTTGATATTCCATCCTGTAAAATAGGTGGGGAGGGGGGGTGAAAGGACCAAGACATAAACAAGTTACCACTATTCAATATTCCAAATAGTCTAGCTACTAGCCCCTGTGACAACCCTCCCCCGACACCTCACCACCCCACAAATGGTGCGTTGGTGGAGTAAATAAGAGGGGGGACACACTAGCGGATCTGGGCCCTTTTTTCTCAGACCAGAAGTTTGGACCCCCTCTTGTTGCCAGATCCGCCCCTGGGGCAAAGTCTTGAAGTAAGGCTATATTCCAAAATGTAAAAAACTAAAAGGCATTGAAATAAAAATTGTCTCATTTGGTAAATTACACAAAGTCATGATTTGAAATCTGTAACAACATATTACAGATGCTGACATCGATCACAAGTTACCAGCGATTTGGTATGCATAATGGTATATCTTGAAAACTTTCTGCAACTTTCATTTGTCGCAAAATTATTGACTGTCAGACATGATGGATGGACTGACAGCGGGACAAGTGGAGCAATTCCATAAGCTCACATGAGTGAGCCAAAACAGATATAAGGGGACATCAAAATCTTTTGAAAAAATTATACCTGAAATTGAAGGATACTTGTTAAAAAAATTCCTAACTAACCTTGACCTCCAAAGCCACCTGGAAAGCCTTGGGCCCCAAATCCCCCGGCACCTTGGCCCATATTTTGACCTGCCTGGCCAAATGTATCATACTGCTTCCGCTTACCACTATCACTGAGAATCTATGAGTATATACACCAAAATTAATAATCATATACAGTAGCTTTTTATTGAATGATATGAAGAAAAAACATAATTTTACCAAAATGTATTAGGAAACATTAAAAATGTTGAACAAGCATGTAAGAAACTGGTGTTGCTCATTCCAAATGTGTTCCTCATTCCCAATAATTAACAGGGGTTTCATTAGCAGCAGGCAACAGACAATTTTCATAAGTTGTTTTCACAAAATCGCTTATTGTTTTTAGGGACTTTTCAACTTTTCCATGTTAAATTTATGACTTCCATAAATTTTGCCCTCTGTTTTATTTATTTAGCCTGTTGTTAGAAATTCTAGTGATATCCCTGATTAGAAATTAATGTACATGTATGATTCCATACTTGATGTCTAGTTCATAATCTCCATTTGTGCGTGCCATCAGTTTATCCATGGGGCATAAAAAATATGGAGCTTTGAAATAATTGTATTAAAATAGCATAAAAGACGTGTTAGATGACCATGAGTAGGAACGAGTGCTTTCAATTAATCTGTAAATGCCATCCTTAACCAATTTGCGATAAGATTATATAACTATATTGATGTATTACCTTGTGTATATCAATAACCAGTGATAGGCTCTAGTATTTTGAAGATACAAAAATATGAATCAGCATTATTATGTAATGAAGGCCAAGTGACCAGGTTATGCTTGCCATCTTTACAATGAATTCAGTGATCTTCCCAGGATTTTATCTCAAGTGGGTGCAAAATTCTGAAGCTCACAATTTAAATCAAATTTGGTCAAAATATGGCAAATTCTCATGAATTTTCTCATTTTCAAGTGGGTGCCATGCCCACTTTCTTTAATGATGGGGAGATCACTATGTTAACAGAGCAAATGAGTTCAACGGCCGGGCCACTTTGAATAGTACAAGATAATTAAGAAACGGATAAGAATTCTAAAGCTCACCTCATATGCTTCAGAGACCTCCTTGAATTTTTCAGCTGCTGTTGGGTCTTTATTCTGATCAGGGTGATATTTCTTAGCTAACTGTAAAGGTGGAATTACAAGTAAAACTGAAATAGTAATTCAAACTTAAAAGGATCAATTCTGTTTATAATGAAGGTATTTGGACATCTAATCAGCAATATGGCAATAGTTTCATTCTACTGAATGTGGTACTGGTTTAATAAGCAATATTTAAATGATATGCAACATATTCTGGCCCCAACGTGACCTCACTGGACTCCATATAGTCCCTTTTGGTCCACTGAATCATGATCTCATTATTAAAAAGATATTTTGTTATTTGTCTTACACAACATTCTTGCGGTTGCTATGGTGTTGTGATAACCAAAAAACCAATAAACTAGAACTAATATTATGTATGATGTTACTGATCACGTTGGGGCCAATCTAACTGATATGTTAATTTTATAATGGCTTTCACAAGAAGTCTATTTTAGGCTTAAAATGCAGAAAAACAAATTTCTAGCCTACAAGTTGAGAAAACCAATTTTATCTGTCCTTTAGAAGAATCTAATGTAGACAATGCTTATCCTTAAGTTTTAAAAAGAGTTCAAAATTATCGAGAATATTTTTGATTTTTAACCATTTAACGTGCTAGCCACTCTCCCAAATAGACAATAGTATCAAAAATTAGGGTTTCTCAAACTGACTTACTGTATAATATGCTTTCTTTATCTCTTTATCACTTGCACTTCGTGATACCCCTAGAACTTCATAGAAATCTCTTTTCTTTTGACAAGCTGTTGATGACACATGGAAATGTCTCTGTGGGATAACTAGATTTGGTAGCGATAAATATGAAGCTGAAATAATGCAGAAATTTAAATTCATTCAATGCAATGAGAAATATCTAGAAACAGATTGAGGTTTATGATAATGTCAATCAATATTTTAGCATTCTTTTCGTGTAGTTAGATCCACAATTGTCTGGGTTTATCGGCAGAACGAAGAAATTTTCGTTTTTGATCGCAATATTTGCGTGTAATATTTAACTTATTTCAACCGTCAAAATCATCCATTAATTGGTACTTCTGGGCCGGTCAAACGGGGAATCCCATTTTAATCCAACGGCCATCTCGAAAAGTGATGGAATCTCTCTCGATGAAAATGAAAAATGTTCCCATTCTGCCGATATACCCAGAAAATTGTGGATTCAACAACACGAAAAGAATGCTAAAATACCCAGGAATCTACTGAAGTAGGTATCTAAGTGTAAGAGGCGTAGAAAATTCTCCCATGTTGTAATTGTACAGGCAAAAGATTGAGACGTTCTCAGGACTATAGTAGATCTACTGGCATGGGATAACCTATGACTTGATAAAGGATCACTCATCTTTGATGAGCTTAGACTTGTATCTGGATATACGTAGAATTCGAATGTCTATTGAAAAGTGGACACGAAGAAACTATAGAAAGGCTTTTAAACAGTGAAATGAATGAATGACGAAAGTGACGAATCGAAAAATATTTTTTTTAATTTTACTTACGATTTTTGAGGTCAGGTCGAGATTTACTGCATATACTGTTATTTCCCGGTAGGCCCTGGTGTAAGAGGTATGATAACCTTACATAAGAATATTGTCTGTCGACATTTAAAGGGAGCTTTTGTGATTTTTGTCGACAGAAAAGTCGAGAAGTTCGCATTGCCATTTTTCTCGCATGGGAGTCGACCTTGACCTAATTAAATTTTAACTCCACTGCGAAAGTAACAATTTGGTATTTTAAAATTCACTTTAGAAGTTGTCTAATTCTTAGAAAGCTACTCTTATAAGCTTAAATTTTACAAATGTTACTTCAAATTAAGTAAAAGAGGAATGGAGTTACAAACTCTCTGGAGACATGCACCCTTCAAGTTCAATGTACAAAATGGTATAAGGCCAAGAAAATTTATTCCACCGAAAAAAACTATAATAGGCCAAGACAAATAGATTTAAGGCGAAAATTAATTATATATAATATAGGGAATACTTTATTGTCATTAGACACAGGGGTGTATTCATATTTGTTCTTTATGAAAAATTCACTTAATCCATACAGAACAGAAACATAACCAGGGGGTCACAGAAACTTAGTAAAGTTACGAATTCGTAAATCAATTGTTGTAACCATGGATATAATAACGTCACAGTTAGAGAACAATGGATTTTACGAAATAATAACTTTATGAAGCTTCTGTTAATGGCCCCCAGGATCATATGTCATATGTCAAATGTCTAAAATTTGGCGAGGCAAAGGATTGGTATCGATATGGTGAACTTTTTGAACACACATTTCTCTGAAAGCAGTTGTCAAAAAATTCTGAAAATTTTACACATTATCAATTTTATGATCATCTTTTGAATGGTAACAATTTGTTCTTGGTATGTTCAGAGTGAAATGAAACATCGATCTGAACCTTGGAACAAAACGACATAAACACAATGTGTTTAGGTCTCTCAATATTGTAATTATACAAAGGATAGTTTGGTTGACTTAAAAAAGTATCTTTATAATGAAATAAAAGGTATCATAATTTTTATCTATTTTGGGGGTTTTTCTTTTAATTTTTGCAATACTTTTTGTTAAATCAACCAACATTTCTTTGTATAACTATAATATTGAGAGGTCTAAGAAAATGTTGTATATGTTATTTAAACAATAAGGTTCGGAAAGATATTTTATTTCATTCTCAAGAATTGGTTGAAAGGAACAAAAAACAATTGCACTAAAAAACAAAAAATGTTAACAAAAGCAGTAAATAAAATATATATGAATAATTTTCGCATTAAATTGTTGTCAATCAGTCAACATTACATGAAAGACCTTGTTTTTTACAGAATGTTTTCAATAATTGGTTTAAGAGAAAAACATTGTTGAATTCAGTTCACCATATTGATACCAATCCTTTGAGTCAAAGGTCAATAATTATCAAAAGAATTCATTTTCACAATATTTCAATATTTTCTACTTTTTGGAGAGGCAGTGTTGCCTTGCCTGTCCCATGCCTTCGTTCATGCAGAATTCTTGTGTAAGTAGTTCCATGAAGTTCACATTAGGTTTACTTGAGGTGAAACCAACCAAATTAACCTTTATTTTGGTTCAGGTTAGGTAGCAGTTAATATGCACCTAGATCTCCAATCAGTAGGTTCACTTTAGGTGTAGTTTAGGCTTTTTTATGGAGTTCACTGATTCTATGTTAATACGTATGAATAAAATATGGTGACTTGAATTTTCATAAATTATTTACATTGCATTATAAATTATTTCAGCTTTAATAAGCGGTAGTATATGCAATCATGTTTTTGACAGAAGCAACACTAAGATAATTTTGCAACAATATAACATAAAAATATGCCACCAGTCCACCACTTCTGGCAGTGACATAAGAACTAAACAACCCCTTAGCAAAAGCTGGTAACGGCTTGACAATATAGAATCTACCAATGATGGAGAGTGAGCTATAAGCATTATTTCCAGATGGCATCCATAATAATCATGCACAGACTAACGGAGAGTAAATGTACATGTGTTTTATTTAATTGTTGCTAAGTGCCCATTTAATACTAATTATGCTACCATAGCATAGTCAACAGAGTTGAGCAATTTCAGTAAACACGAACATGTGAGTGTTAATTGAGTCCCTGGGCACCATTTGGAACCCCAGCTAGGTCTAATACATCATTGTAATTTCCTGCTACTAATAGGGCCATGTAGATGTCAAAATAAAGTCTACAAAAAATGTGAATAACATGTGGTATTTTTCTTATTTAAGAGCTTGATAATAATCAATACTTTTGCATTGTGTCAGCCATTCCTTAACATTAATGCCATTATTGCGATTGGCAGCTTATTCTATAATTGTACAACTAAAATTGCTAAAAATAAAAACAACTGCTTTCCCGAAAATTTACTCCACACATTTTCACATGGTTTTGGCATGGTACATTTAGGCCTATGTTTTATAACAATGATTATGTGATGTTATGTTATGGCCTATGTTTTATAACAATGATTATGTGATGTTATGTAACTATTTTCTATTTTTACAACTCATTTATTCGAAATATGTATATATGATATTATATATAATATAATATTACATTATATAATATTATTTTTGTAAAACTTCTGAAGAAGGAACAAAGAAACATGTTTTGTTTTTCATAAAATATATTTTATTTGTTATTTTTTACATATATAATATGTTGATGTAAACACTAAAAACATCACTATGGATACTGTCTGGATAGATTTATGTAAGTACTATTGTTATTCGATATTTGTTTAATTACTATAGTAACTGTCATGCCAGGATGATTGAATAAAAGGAATCATTATTCTGCAGTCTTATTTTGAATTTCATTTTTATTAAATATAATCATGTTGATCAATGGAATGAAGCAGGTTGTTTTTACGTGAATTTTAAGATTTCACACAATTTATTTTTTTCACTAAAAAGTTGCTCATTCGCAGACAAAATGAACCAGTACATGTAATGAGAATGTTAATCGATATTGTCACCGTGCAAAAGTACTTTGTTTGAAACATACTTGTACTACCTCACACGTACACAAGTTGAATGTTGAATACTTTGATGTGTTTGTAGAAAAATAGCCGAGGGTTTGACTTGTTTGTGATGTATACTACAAGATATTTCACAACTTATGAAATACTGTAAAGTGCCACATTAATTTTTCTACTCAGCATTTTTCATATTCAATAACACAAACTGTAATCTAGTTGGTCAAGAAATCAATTTTTCTACTGGCATCTTGTCCACAGTCTAATTATCTAAAAATGATATTTTGAGACATATGTACACTGATGATTTACAGGCATTATTTTTGAATTTGGAGTATTACAATTAGCACTTTTAACCACACACATCATAATAAACTTTACTTCTTGTTTTGTATCTGATTATTTTGGTAACAGTAACTATGTTATTCTTCAAAGTAATTGTTATTGAATAACCAAAAATGGAACAGGATGTATGTTGTCAAAAATAACTTCACAATAACACCATGTCAAAAATAACATCACATTTAGAGGGAGTAGTACTCAACATAGTTTATCAAATGACTTGTCATTTCTAACATTTCTTGATAGGCAGGGGATATTATAGTACTAAACAAAAATTTCAAAAGGCCTTAGTTAAGCTTTAATGTCGAACCAGGGGGGCATTAACAGAAACATCTTAAAGTTAAGAATTCATAAAGTCCATTGCTCTCCAACTGTGACGTCATTATATCCATGGTTACAACAATTGATTTACTAATTTGTAACTTAAGGAAGTTTCTGTTAATGACCCCCCCCCCCCTGTTTAAGAACCCCTACTCTAACTTTCGAAAATGGATTCTAGCAATACTTTCCAACAGGAATCTACATGTTGAGATTCAATCAACTTGAGTTCATCTGAGAAAATGAGGATTTCAGCAAGGGTGCATTGACTTTATATAGTGACATACCCAATGATATCCCCCTGCTAAGTCAATGGTCAATGGTGTAAGCCTTACTTTCCTTAGACTGGTGTACTATTTGATATTTTCTTTTTCTTGCAGAGTTTTGTAATCAATTTTGGTATTTTCCGTACTTGCACATACACATTTATCTTTAATTCATTTTCTGAGTATTAACTAACTCAAGGTGATCGCTAAAGGACCTAACAACTGCCCAACTTCCACCTAGCATCATTCATATCTCAGAAAGTAGAATTAGACAAAAGAGTGAGTGAAATGTAAATTGAAAAAGAAGGCATTAACATGCAAATTTCACCACCTGCCATTTGTTACAGATGCACACTGCCGAACACTGTCCATTTTGAGATTTGAATCATGAATTTTGGTCTTATTACATAACAAAAAATTCCAAAACTCACAAGAAATGATCGAGATATTAGTTCGAATCTTTTGAACTGTTCAATTAAATTTATAGTCGGTTATAATTTCAGAAAATAATGACATGTCAACGTTTTCATTGTCGGAAAATATCGAGTTTCGATCATGGGAGCCAATCATCCTTGCCCAGCACCTATTTGTCATATTCAATAAATTTCACTATCAGGTTAGCAACTTTGGTTTTCAATGTAGTGGAATTTTTAAATCAAAATAATGAAATACAAATAGAAAATTGACATATTTTTCATATATTTTAGGTAACAATTTTTAGCTGTATAATTTTTACATAATCATTAAGTTTGATACATAATTTTTTAATCAACTAGAAAAATTTCATTAAAATTTCTGATCAATACATGATCATTCAAGCAATGCTTTTTGAATAACATCTTAATTCACTAATCAAGTAGATTGAAGATGCAAAAATGTCCAAATTCAATAAAATTAGTCCACTTTTCCAACTTTTTGCCAGTTTATCCTGAACTATATTCAGAAAGAACTGTTGGACTTATGACATGTCATCATGAGAGCAATAATATTGTTTAAATTGTGGCTTTCTCTCAATTTATCACTTGACTTAGTTGTCCCTTTTAATTTCAATGTTCTCTATTTCTCAAATACATTCCTCCACTTTTCCATGCTGATTTACTAAAACTTATTCAAACATGATCGTGCTCTTATTGAATTTCTCAACCAATCAGAATACAGCATAGCCAATAATTAACGTTCTCTATTTCTCCATACATGCATGACAATGCTCTATTCAATCTGCTTTCAGGAATCTATGTACATGTAATTGTGTTGTATCATGATGTCACACCTGGGAATGGCGAAAATAACAGCAAGTTTGGTAATTTCATTGACCTCAATCCCCAATTCTCTGAACAAGGTTTTCATTTATATGTTTGAATCGGAATAAATAGTGACAGGCCATTCAATATGGTGAAAAACTACACTCGTTGGACAGAATGTCAGTACAAATGCACCCAGCTTTGGTTCGTGCTTTGTACGACATTCTACAATTCTTGTATCTAACTCATGCTGAATTTTACCATATCATTGAATGGCCTATCATTATTTACTAATTTACTTATCATTATTTACTAATTTACTGATAAATTTTAAACATTTAGTATCAGTTATATTCTTCTTTATACTGATGCAGTATATTCAATATAATATAATTTAATATAATATACTTTATATATTTTTTTGAAAAATCTATATACATTGAGTTGATTTTTACATTTTGCTTACATAGTGGACCAAAGAAACAACCATAATATTTCATTTTCCTTTTACTGTTTTTTATAATGCATGGATTTCAATAATATTCTAGCAGGAGATGCAGCAACCAGTTATCCAGCTGATCCTAAAGTGGCATCATTTTATTTTATCTGTAGCAATATTTGAATGAGTAGGTTAAACATTCAACAGGGGTGTGAATACCCCTGCATGGTTTCAAGGCAAAATATCACTTTAGAATTATAGAGTGATGTTTAGCTATGCCTGATATTGCAGTATGGGAAGCAAATGGACAACTTAAACAGTCCTATTTTAGGATCAACTTCAAAAGTAATTCCTGCACCTCCATAAAAATATTTGAAATATATAAATATCAAATAAGGAAAATACACACATGTTTTGGCCTACCCTACATATAAATCGATGTTCCATAAATCACATCTTATTAAATATAAGTCTCATTGAGACGCTGCCTCTTTTTAAACTATTCTTGAGCAAAAGTCCACAATTAAAGATTTTATCGATTTTTGAATCAGAATGATGTGTAGCTTACAAAATCAGTATACTAGCACATAATGTTTTTTTAAAAAACTTGAAAAATTGCCCATTTAATTATCAAACACAAAATACTTTTGGTATGCTGGGGCCACTTATGTATGTTATAATCCATCCACTTTTCTCTGAGGTATTTTGATCTTGGATCAATTATACAGAAAGTCTATATATTTACAAATAACCTTAGAGGTGCATACATTTTATATACATGTATTAATATTTCTAATGTTCTCATTATGAGAGAAAAAATTATTTCTCATGTCCCCATCTATATTGACAGTGAACATTTTATTCCTGTGTTCTAATCTAGTCCAAATTAACAGTGAACCTTTTTTCTTCTATGTTTTCATCTAGTCCATATTAACACAGAGAACACTTTATCTCTTGTGATTTCCTCTTGTCCATATTAACAGAGAATACTTTAAATCTCATGTGTTCTCAATCTTCTCATCTTGTCCATTTTAACAGAAAACACTTTATCTTTTTTTTTCATCTAGTTTATATTACAGAGAACACTTTAATTCTGTGTTTTCATTTAGTCCATATTAACAGAGAATACTGTGTCTCTTGTGTTTTCATCTGAGCTATCTTGGTGCCCAGGACTCGTGCTTAAATCTAGCGGTGTTTCCTGACATTTCCCATCTTCAAGAATACCAGCTTCTGTTGTGAGATCCTTAGGAGAGCCAGGCCGGCTGGCTGGTCCCAAGGGGTTCTCTGTTTGGGTTCCTGTGCTAACCCCAGGGGTAACAACCGCAGAAGATAGCAGGGGATTAGAAGCAAGGGTTGATATATGTAACATATTGCCTTGTATTGAAATCACTTGTGTGGGCATACTGTGATTGATGGATGATGTGTTCAGTCCCAGTGATTCACCTTGGGCCATTAACAATGTAGAATTCACTACTGGAGTGTTCATTACTGATGGATTCACCTGTGAGTAGATTGCACTGGGGTCAGGGTTGGCTATGCTATAGTGCCTTGTAGAGTTTGGGGAGAGAGGCATCCCCTCAGGGCTTGAAGGCATATGATGTGATAGAGGGCTAGATGGCATATGAGCGAGAGGGCTAGAAGGCATTTGTGATAAAGGGCTTGGTGGCATATGAGAAAGAGGGCTAGAGGGCATATGTGGCATTGGACTTGTGGACAGATGAGCCACAGGGCTTGTAGAAGTTTGTAGACCAATGCTAGATGGCATTTGCTCTAAAGGTGGACTACATGTTTGCCCAAGATGACGCTCTGATAGCAGTGCATTCTGAGGCAATAAATGCTTTGAAGATTCTGCTTTAGGATACTCAGTGTGTAACTGCCCTGATGAAATGCTAGACTGTGCTGTCACACCAGTTGGATATGATGTCACACCAGTTGGATATGATGTCACACCCACTGGATATGATGTCACACCCATTGGATATGTCACACCTGTTGGATATGATGTCACCATCGGAGAGTATGATGTCACCATTGGAGAGTATGATGTCACCATTGAGGAATGTGATGACACAGTGTTGTTTTCTGGCTGAGTTGGCTCCAGAGGTGAATTAGATTTTGAATGCACCATCATTCCCACATTTTCTGATGCCCTCGCAGTATTTAGAGGGAGGCTTATTTGAGGGCCGCTTTCATGTGGATAGGGCTGTTGTACGATATTATAACTCACAACATCTTGTCCCTGGTAATTGTGACCTTGAGTTTTTACGTGTTTACGTAGCGAGCTGGGGTCTGTGTAGCGTTTATTACATCCTGGCAACTTACAGAAATATGGCTTCTGAACCTGGTGAGTGCGGACATGTTTGAATCTGTCACTAGAGTTACTGTAGGCCTTGTTACACCCATCTACAGGGCAAAGGTAAGGTTTCTCACCTGGAAACAAAGTTACATTGCTGTTAGTAGTGAAAAGTGTTTCAAAGTAAGGTTGTATTCATACAAGAAAACACAGATCTTCCTCCAAGAGGGGTTTCTGGCTCTGTCTTCAAGTGTAAAATACAGAATATACTAATGAGGTATTGCTCGCCAAAATATGGCAGTAACCAGAAATACAATGCAAGAAAAAAGGAGATGGAGTCTCAGAAATGCCTTTTTAATTTTACAGACTGGTCTTTAATTGAGCCCATGTGTCGCCATATTCTCTCTTACATTTGGTTCTGATTGGTCTGTATCAAGAGGAATGGTAGTTAAATAAATGCAATGAAACTGATATAATTTGAACCAAATCTGATAATTGCAATTTGAGTTACAGAAAAATACATTTTTGTATGAAATAAGGTGGACATTTTGAAAATTTCTTCTTAAGCTGATTCCTGTGTCCATATGGCATCAGCATATAAAATTTTAACTTAATCTGTCAACTGTGTGGTATCATATTTTTTCTAATAAAAATTGTGGTAATTTTGAATTTAAAATTTGAACCATATCTGTAAAGTGATTATTGCCCTGACATATGAATGGACAAATGGATGGACGGATGGGTTCTCTATACCCCTACAAACTTCGCTCTACATTCATTAAGTCTGAAATTTTCGCTCTGCATTCTTGACATTTCTACACACACGTAGTAGATAAGAGGGGGTCTGGCAAACCAGAATTGCATTTAATAGCACCTACTCTTTCTCTGCTCGTTATCATATAATGGCACTGACGCACAAGGCAAATTATAATATAATTGTATTGTTATTGTCTTTGTACCAGGTATATTTAAGGGTAAACTTTAAAGTGACTATAGGGCAACAACTGTAGATTAAAAAATGACTCAGCTACGATAAAGTTTATAGTTGCAGCCACAGGTTGTCAAATATTCAGAGATTAATCTCAAGTGGCTAACTGGGGTACATGAGTGTTATTTATAGGGAGGTTTTGGATACAGGGTATATCCTGAGGGAAATACAACGTATCTCATACTCTCATACACCCAGGAATATATATCATATCTGACAAGCAGGCAGGATATATTGTTTATGTCCCGCACCAGGCCAAATGTAGGCAGATCTGATATATCCATGCCACTCCAAGGGATTTTTACAAAAGTTTAAAAAAATTTAAATTTCAAAAGTTTAAAAAATTGTTTTGAACTAAAGCAATATTACGAAAATGTTAAATATAAATTGTGCTTTTACAGAACAGGCCTATCTTTCATTTGAAATTTCATTTGTCATTTGAAAAAGGTGGAAAAGGTTATATCTACCCCAAACCCATTCAAGTATGAGATGCACCAGTTATGTACGGTCAGTTTTGGATATACATGTAGGGTATATCCTGAAGGAGAGATATAAATATACCCCTCAGGATATACCCCATATCCAAAACCTCCCAGTACATTACCCTTATATATCCCAAGTGGCTCGGGCTACTATTATTTATTCTTTTGAAAAATTTATTTTCCCCCTAGTTTGTTTTGATTAAAATTTCGATAAAATGGCTCACTTACCTGTATGAGATCGAGTATGAATTTTCAAGTTCTCCAATCGCGAAAAACTCTTTCCGCATAAGTTACATTTATGTGGCTTCTCATTGGTGTGCGTTCTCACGTGTATCAACATTTTATACCTTAAAATAGAGTAATTTTCAAAATTAAACAAAGAATAATAAATATTTTCAGTGTTTTGCTAAATATGGAGAGTATATATATGGTTTACGGTTATAGCTACAATATGGTCTACGAAGGATTATCCCTTCAACCAGAAAATCACATTTTCAAAGATTAATGTAATTTCATTTAATATCAAATATGATATCACTTTTATCAAATCTTACTTATCTTCTATAAAACTTAAAGATGCATTATGCCATAGGTGACTCCCCCAGACAATCAATGATGTCCTATTATTATTGCTCATATAATATCTCACATACCATGGATATATCTTGAGAATAACTTTTGGGTATATTATTGCCGAAATATCGGAAATAATCAACAGAACAACCAAACTCCAGAATTAAACACAATAGATTCCTCGACTAGCGAGGGGAATCCCCATTGAGTCACAGAAGTGCCTTGAAACAGACAGCCAATCAGGTTTATGATAAACAAATTCAACGCCAATCAGATAACAGGAGGACTTTCCCGGTATATTCAAACCTCAGATTGAATTAATTTCTTCGAAAATAATTAGATCGGCCAGCACAATCGCAAAATTATCACTGAATGAGGGGGATTTGGGACTTCTTCTTTGGTAAGAAGACAGGTATATATGTGGTGAAACTCAACATGCAAAAAAGTCCAGAGGGGTATTAATTATGCTTTCCTATGGCATAGTGCCTCTTTAAGATTATTTCTACTATGCCCACTAATGGTCATTCAGAAGACAGGATTTATTAAAACAGTCATCTAAGTGAAATAATTGTACCAACCATCGATTCTCACACAACTATTACCAATGCCCACTCTTGTTATCCACTTATAGTTAAGATGACTTGGTGTTAAATGGTGCAATTGTTCAGTTGAAGAGGGGACACTAAAAATTGGTAATTCATTATTCAAGCATTGATGGCTAAATTATCTTTATCAATAAGATTGCGTATTTACTTTCAATTATTAAACAATAATGATGACATTTTCGTGAATAAATGCATTGTTCAAATCTATGAGATATCTTAATGCCTGGATGAAAGTATCGACATTCTGACGTCATTCCAGGATCAAGTCAGAGCAAAGAGCATCTGAGTGTGCGGTGAGAAACTTTGAGATGCTTTATCGGAATATCAAAGATCACAGAGATAAATGACAGAATAGTATCTCAACTGCTATTATACAATTCTTGTTCTACAATGTCTCAAAATTTTAGATAAAAAACGCTCATTTTTTGCTTCGCTCAACTCTTGTTCACGTGGTGGCGTACTATTTAGAAATACAGCGCTATGCCCATGACAGGGAATAAGGTTCTATTTCAATAATGAATTCAAAAACTGATGTCATTTAATAATAATGAATATATGGGATTCATCACTATCTATAATGAATCGCACATTTTTCATTAAATCGCTACCCACAATCTTTATATCCTACCCTGAAACCATAAGCATAAGCAGCGGGATACTACTCTCTGAGTGCCCCATATTAAAGTTTTGATGCTATCTGAGTGAGATATTTAAGAAACACAAATGATATTAAAGTTACAATCCTATGTATCTGAACATCTCTCTAATCTGAATACATGTACTGTACAGGGTGTAGAGGGGGTGCCATTGTTTTTTGACACCCTGTACTTCTAAATGGGAACACATTCATTTGGTTCCATTGACTATTTCCTCACTTAGGGGAGGCATCAAAAGTTCAATGTCTGATAGAAAACTAAATAAATCTAGTTTTGAGTTGGACCCCCCCCCCTCCCCCTCAAAACTAAATACAATGAAAGTTGATCGCGGACTTTTCACATGTTTTAGCGACTCAATTTGGACTTTCATGGGGCCAGTACTATAACTTATTTATGATTCTTAAAACATGTGCCAACAACAATAGGCATAATATTCCATGTTGCATGCATCTTGGTGAAGAAGGCATCTGGTAAAGTCTTTATTTCCAAGGCATTTGGAGTCGAAATTGCGAAAAATTTAAATGTTGAAATTTGTCGGATAGCAAACTGAAATTGCTTTGACCCCCTCCCCCCCAAACTAGATTTATTTAGTTTTCTATCAGACATTGATCTTTTGATGCCTCCCCTTATTCTACCCTTTTCCACTTTTTAAAAAAGTAAAGGCAGAATCAGATCTTCAGGGGGTGACAAAATTGCAAGCAACATGTACAATTGGCCTACCAATCTATTAAGTTTTCCTGGAATAAAGTATGCACTTTAGGGATTTTTAGAAAATAGGCATGACAAGGAATGATTTGAGCCCAAAATATTCTAAAATTGAATTTTTTGTTAAACTGGGTAGCCTTCTCTGATTCTCTCTTTAAAACGTGATCATTCATTAGACCAATCAACATGCAGGATGGTACCCGCAGGATTACCTTGCATTAAAACCTTTTCCACGTCTTGGGCACCCAGTCCATTTACACTTGTAGTCAACATCGGCCCGTTCTAAACGAACATGTACATCATTGACATGGTTGACAAGGCCATCTAGTGAGTGAAATGTGCCTGTGCAACTTTCCCACTCACAGTGCATTACTTCATTCGGACAGAGAAGTTTGTAGAAAGAGGTAGGTGGCTGCAAATATAAAATAAATAAAATATAATAACGATCCATGTGTGAAATGTAGATTGATATTGCTTTAGTGTTGATTGATTTCTCTTAGTGTTGATTGATTCCTCTCAAGTGTTGATTAATTTCTCTTTAGTGTTGATTGATTTCTCTTAAGTGTTGATTGATTTCTTATTTTCATTTCCTCATTTCCTTCATTTGTGAAATTCAAGATACATTACTTCAGTATAAAATAAATAAAATATAATAATGGTTCATGTGTGAAATGTAGATTGATATTGCTTAAGTGTTGCTGGGTTATACAGCGGTTTCACTAGAATTTCTCACAACAGGCTAAATAAATAAAAATAAAAACAGGCAAAATTAATGGAAATCATAAATTTAACATGGAAAATTGAAAAGTCCCTAAAAACAACAGGCGATTTTGTGAAAGCAACCGGTGAAAATCGCCTGTAGCCTGCTGCTAATGAAACCCCTGCTATATGAAAAAATGTATTGAGAATTGACTAGAAAATTGCAATAGGCAAGTCCCAACAACAAAATATGATTCCTTGTTTTCATGAATCTGAAAGATGACATGATAATATTTGCAACGACTGAAGTTATAGATGACTCAAGAAATCCACAAATCCCTACATTTTGCAGGCCCGTAGCCAGGGGGGGTTCGCAGGGTTCGGGTACAAATTATTTTTATCTGAAATTTTTGCCATTTCTATTTTTTAAAATTGTGGCCATTTAAAAAAATTGTGTGAAACCAATTGCCATGAATTATTTTTCTACTTAGCTAGGTCTACTTATCAAACTTTCTTTTCTGATAATATCGAAGACTGATAAATTACACTTGACTGTATATCCAGATTGAAATAATGTTCACCCTTTTTAATTCTAAAAAGCAATACATTTCATCTATTACGCAAGCAGTTATTTCAAGAGTAGATACTGACCTTGTATTCGCGAATGCAACTAACGCCTGACTTACTAACATCGGCTACCGGATCAACTGGTATTTCATCACAAACTCATTTAAATATGAATGGAATTGTGGCAGGTACTGTTCATATTTAAATGAGTTTCCAATAAAATGGTAGGTTAATCCAGTAGCCGGCAGGCGTAGTTGCATTCGCGAATACAAGCTTAGATACACAGAAAGTTTTGATGGTTCTGAAAGTAACGCATCATTATGATTCAAAATCATTTGAGCCGACTGATGATAAGAATTAAAAAAATTGTCCGTTTTTGATTTTAATATGGGTACATCTTCAATGACATAAAATACATTCATATTTATAATTCTTATTTCATATTTAAAAACGCTTTTCTTGTCAAAATCTGATGTTTCGGAATTTCAATATGCATTTTGCAACATCAAATTGTTTCCTTCTAAAACCATTTAAGGTAAATAAGTATGATCAGAATTTTTCATAACCTTGATTATTATCTTTTAAAAATGTTATAATTTTTTACAACAATTAATCAAATGAGTAATATTTTTCACATTTTTGTGCAGATATTTAAATGTTATGTCAGAAAACATGGTTCAAAATGAGTATATCTTGATTAAAATCTGGAAATGATATTTTTGTAAAAGTGTTATTTTACCCATACCTGTATATCACTCAATGTCCGATTCTTATATGATAAATGTTTCAGTTCCTCCCTTTGAATCAAATTACGCAGAAAAATCTTTTTCGACATTCTCAATCAGCCGTTGATAAGTAAATGAAGAAACCATGTGGAATTTCTAATAAAAATGAAAAGTCGCGTTCAGAAAAACATTGTTAATACGTCACGGTAACAGTAGCTACAACAAAGTAATGGGACCATGGTGATACCCCTTCATATAATAATAAATATACAGAAACAAAATATTTATTAGAATCTTAATAAAAGACATCCTGATTTTTTCAATTGCAAGCTTGGTGGTCACAATGTTCCTTACACATTTCAAAGGAAATCATTTATAAATTTTTTTATTAAAATATACTCATTATATTATTACATATTATCCGTGAGTTACTAAACTGGCAGATAGGGCAAACTGCAAATGATTGCAAATAAGTCGCTTACTAATTGGATCGTTCAACATTTATCTGTTTGTCACCGGTCAGTATAAGGAGGTGAACCAGTGAGGGCTGCACATAACCAGTGCTCATGTAAAATGTCATGTCTATGATAACATGTCCATGATAATATATCTATAATAACATGTTCATGATAACATATCTATGATATATGTCCATGATAATATGTCTATGATAACATGTCCATGATAACATGTCCATGATAATATATCTATAATAACATGTTCATGATAACATGTCTATGATATATGTCCATGATAATATGTCTATGATAACATGTCCATGATAATATGTCTATGATAACATGTCCATGATAATATGTCTATGATAACATGTCCATGATAACATGTCCATGATAATATGTCTATAATAACATGTCCATGATAATATATCTATAATAATAACATGTTCATGATAGCATGTCTATGATAACATGTCCATGATAATATGTCTATAATAACATGTCAATAATAATATGACTATTATAACATGCCCATGATATAGAGGTTCTTATATGAGTACCTGTGCAAGATCTTCATTCTTGATGAGCTTTGATAATTCTTCTTTATCGAGTCGAAGACGAGATAAAGAAACATTATCAAAGCGAGTCAAGAATGGACGATATTGCACAGGTACGAGTATAAGAAAGTTTTTCTCATATGACTCTAAATTATGCCATATTTTCACCTTTTTATGATAAAAATTAGTGAAAATCGCTTCAAATTAATGGAACTTCATCTTTCAATTGTTATTACGTCATAACAATGTTGTAGAATATACATGGCTACGCGTGGCAACAAAGTCCGATTGTTATGACGTCACAACTTATTTTGTAGAATGAGCATGGATACTCATGGTAACGGTGTATTCGTTGTCATGTTGATGATGTTTTTAAACCTGTGATGTCATAAGTAAATCTCATCTTGCACGTGTGACTTTTTAGGATGAAAGATGGCAATATCTTGCATGGGGTAAAGATGGCTGTATTTTTGTTAGTCATATGAGAAAATATGCTCATGATATCATGTCTATGATGTTATGTCTATAATAAGACATCCATGATAACAAGTCTATGATATTATGTCTATAATAACATGTCTGTGATAATATGTCTATAATAACATGTTCATGATAACATGTCAATGATAACATGTCTATGATATTATGTCCATACTAACATGTCTATAGTAACATATCCATGATAATATGCTCATGATAACATATCCATGATAATATACTCGTGATAACATATCTATAATAACACGTACATGATAACATGTCTATGATAACTCATCCATGATAACATGTCTAGTTGATAAAACAATCATAACATATCCATGATAACATTTCCATGTTTCATTCACATATACAAGCAAGAATTTGTTCCGAGATAAGCATGGGACAAGAACCATCTGAACTAAGTTTGATGGGATAACAACCATCAATGACAAACAATGTAAAGATAGAATGGAGACATTACGTTACAGTATTCATAATCAGGCACAAAACAGATGATAAGATATTGCTTTCAGAGATGGTCATGGATATCAAAAGATGGCAAGGCAAAGGTTTTAAGACCCAAAGAAAGAAAATGGGCCACAATTTTGAAATTTGAGGCCCAATTTTTTTAGAATAAGCCCAAAATAAATCAAAAATAAACCTCAGTTATGTCAGTTTGTTAACTATGTGTATGTGTAAATAAACATTTAATGTTTGATTTGTTTACAGTAGTTGATCCAAAATTATATATATTTCTTCTCTTGCCCAGTTTATGAAAAAACATTAATCCCAAAATTATTCTGAGCCACAGGCATCTTAGGAAGGCCTTGGGCTTCAAGTTTGAAACCAGACATACAATCTTTATTCTTACCTCTGATGATTTTGACACTCTGGTTTCTTGGGTAACCATTGGTGTCTCCATGACAGCAGATGCACAGAGGTTTAACCCAGATGTTGTGGGAACATTCACTAAATTCAACCCAGTTGCCACAGTGACAGGTTCTAGATTCAACCCAGTTGCCATGGAGACAGCTTGCATGGTATTTGAATCAAACGTAGACTTAACAGGCGTATTTTTGGGGTTTGAGTCAACAATAGAGCTAGATGTAACAGTAATTGTTTTCTCTTGGATGTTAGTTCCTTCTTCAATGATGAGCCTACTCTCAAGAAATGTCTGATCGGAAGATAAGATGTGTTCAGTAGTTAAATCTCCTTCAGCAGATTCAGATCTATTAATTGCACCAATACAAAGTTTACCATCTTCCAATTTCATTGTATAAGCGACAGAATCAATGTTTACGTCTGCTACCTCGGTAACCATCATTGCATCAAGAGTTTGTCCATCGAGTGAAGAAGCCTGGACAACTCTGTGGTCTTCCATTTTTAAGTTGATTGGCTCGTCGACAGACAGAACAACAGTGCTGCCCCCAAGAGATACTGAAATAACAATATACCATTTACAGGAGTGCATGGCAATTTCAATAAATTATGTTTTCGCTTATTTTCTCCAATTTAATGGGAAGCTTAAGTATTATTTAAGATGAAAAATTGCTAAGATTTACGTAATGATAACAATTAAATGATAGCAATTAAAATCCAAATATAAGAAGAAATAGTTCTGATTCATACACATTAAATAAATATACTCTCTACAAAATGAATGTAATATTAAATCAAAATTATGGCAAATCACCTCATGAAGAATAACGTGACAGATATTTTCATGTGTTCACTAACATCTAATTGTACTAGGTCATAATTATCAACTGCTCTATTTTAACATTAATACACTACAGTTATCTCCCCAGCAATTAAGCAAGTTGAAGCTGTAGAGATGAATCATGAAAATAGCCATATTTTGACCAAATTTGGTCTAAATTGTGAAAATAAAAATTTTGCACCCACTTAAGAAAATATCCTGGGAAGAACACATGAGTAGTAACTATAATACATGTAATATGCTTACAGTCCCTTTCCATTAGGGAATTATTAACAAGCTCAATGGGTAGGTCTGCCATCTCACCAGTGGTCAGGTTCAAGGGTAACTTGATAGAGTCATCCTCCACAGAACAGGCACCATCCATAATGACAGGTGGCTGATCAGGCTTTAGCACACAATGATCGATCCCTCAGATGATTATGATCATTTTGTAATTAGAGCTCCATGATTAATCATTAGCTAGGATTAAAATGATCAAGTGCTCAATTCATAATGATCATTCCCTCCATGATTTGCATATTCTGAGTTGCATCACTAACCAAAATGTTCATTCTCCTGTTTCAAAAGTATTATTCTCTAGTTCACTAGGATCATTCATTCATCAAAAATTTTAAAAATAATTTATAATTTTCTTAAAATCACCATTCATTCAGTTCACCTTTCATGCCTTTAGATTAATCGTTGCTTTTGATTTATTTATAATTACAACTCCCCATATTAATTGATGGCAGTCTCTTCTTGAATTATGCATTGGTTGTTTAGTATGCTTCTCTTAACAAAATGATCCATCCATCTAAGACTTTCTTTTCTTGATTCTTCCATGACTTCAGTTCAAATGCATTGAGTTTTTCTTCATACATGAAACTGACTGACTTTTAGTTCATATTCCAAGGCTGACTGACGTTTAGTTCATATTTTTGGCTGACTCACTTTAAGTTCATACATCGAGGGTGAGGTTGATTGACTTTTAGTTCATATTCATGGATGAGTGAATTTCATTATACTCAAGGTTGATCAACCTAAAATGTACATGTATATTCAAGGCTGGTTGACGTTTAGCTCATATTTGAGACTAATTGACTACTAAACCATATTCTGAACTGCTTTCTTTAAGCTCATGACTGAGGTTGAAACCAATTGAGAGAAATCTATAGTAGTGTCATCGACTCATCATATGTGTATTGTCCAGCTAATGGGAGACTTGAACAGCACTTGGTATGATATAGGTGGCACTACAGGTTATTGCTCAGTCTGGTTCCTGAAACAGAAATAAAACAAGTTGAAGTTGACAATTCTGAGACACTTTTATGAAGTAAAGATCTATACGAAAACTGTATTATCATTTTTTCATACTCAACATACAGTAAAACCCAAGCATTACTGAGTGAGGTCACATATCCAGTATCGTCGTATTGAATAATCCAATTTTCAATTTCAATTTGTTTGTAACATACCCAGCTACATGAGCTATGGGATATACCACATATTTTTTAACTCACTCGGAAGTACTCGTAAAATACTCAGGAATAATTCCTGAAGTTGAGGGCTGACATTTTGAAAAACTGTCTGATTTAAAATGTCCAATTTGAGACAGCTGCTACTTTTTTGCCATTGGGAGGACATTTCAGGTGGTGTACAGAGTCGATTGAGGTAAGAAACATACACCCCCAATCCGCACTCTGAAATCACGGTACCGTACGGTACTGTATATGGTACCGTACAGTACTGTTTGCACGGTACCGTACGGTACATTAAGAGTATGGTACCGTTGGAGATTGGCTGTGTATGCATTGCTAGCGAAATTATTTTTTTACTTTTGAAATATAATGTAGGCTGCAATTCAATGCTCGTAAAACTATTGGTCTTGGTAAGATAATCAATCGTTAAGAGACATTACAAAAGCAGACAGACAATAACAAATAAATATAATACTACAGTCAAAATCATACTGCTGCTAGGAAGTAAGAACAAACAAGACAGACTGGTTTAAAGTTCATTATTCCATCGGTGATACAAGTTTTAATATGTTCCATTCTGACTTATCAGAGCCGTTTTATTTGTTCTCAGAGTCTTACTATGTCTACTACTTGGTCTCCAAGGGAAAGTTCAGGTTGTGGATTCTACAATGGATATACACTCCAGTGGCGTAGCACAGGTATTTTTGAGTGTATGCCATGAGGGAGCAAACCAGGTAAGCTTTGAGGGGGTTCGGGGAGGGGTTCTCTAAAGAAAATTTGAAAATGAAATTGCATTTGAAGCACTTTAGAGAGTTTTAAAATACGCAATTCCGACCAATATGGACTAATTAAGTGTAAATTATTGGCCATTTTTCAGAATATCAAGTAAAATTTTAAGTGTGGGGCATAGTTTCTCTAAATTTTGAGAGTACGCCATGGTGTTTTATGTGTATATGACGCTACACCATTGCACTCTTATGGGCATCTATTCAAATATAAAAAACAATTTGTTTTCTTTGAACTATACTTTTAATGAATGTTTTAATAAACATCCTTCTTCATTTATCAGTTCTTTACAAAATAATGTATTACATCATAAAATACAAAAAAAGTTAGCGACAAGAAAAACAGATTCAATTAGCAACTAGAATACATGAACAAAAACAAACTCCAAGGTAAACAAAGTAACTATAGCAACTGGTAGCATTACAAGGGGTAAAATAGAAAATACAAAAAACTAAAACTACAGGTAAACAAGGCATTACATGCAAATTGTCACAACCTGTCATTTGCAACCTCCGATCACAGGGCTTCAAAATCCAGAATATATTCTTTCTTTTTACCCCCTGCGATAAGCAGTTAGCATTTCCCCGATTAAGAACTCGCAATCTGATTGGCTGTCGTAACACTGCGACAGAAATCATGTATAAGTCATTGCGCATAATAAGATCACGTGATTCAGTTTAATCGGGCGCTTCCAAATTGGTTATAGCAGGGGGGAAGAAGGAGGTACGGATTCTGGACACCTGCTTAGGAGGATGGCCATTTGTTACAGACAATGAACATTAACTGCCAAATACCATCCATAAAAAGTAACATAAGAATTCGAAAATGTTCATCACCACTCAAACACAGGGTCATGACAATTTTTTGAGAAAATGACTGACCTGTACTTCAATATATATATCGATTTTGGAGTATTTCTGTCAGTACAGTAGTGAGGAAAAATAATTGATAAGTCATATATTTGGCATATTTTCTTGAATTTTAACATCAAATGCTCCAAACGCTCCCAAACTGCAGAAAAGTTTACCCAGAAGCAAGTTATACCAGAAGCAAATAACTCATGTGCCCATATTCAAATAATCTTATTGGCACATGTGCACGATGTGTGCCATGTATTTTTTGTGATTTCATTTCTTTCAATGGAGTTTGTGTTTCAATGTAACTTCCACAAAAAATGGTGTACCCATGAATTAACAGGTAAAATCCAGAAAAAGTGAGTAGCTCCTATAATTCTTTCATATTCTATCGTATTCGGGGATTCCCAACTATATGATGTCTAAATCTAATCCAATTGCAGGATCTGATCACGTGAACAATCATGAGCACGTGCTCTCTCAGTGCTGCGCATGCGCAAAGTAAAATTTGAAATCGTGGAAATGGCGTCTATTTCAGTTTAACATCATCATTTCAAAACTATGGAAATACTACTGACATTTCTCGATCCAAACTTGTAGAATACGCATAAAACAACAGCGAACATTGTGAGATCCATTTCAATGGCAAATGAGGCCTGTTTATAAAATTGATATCAAACGTGCCAATACCAAAGGTCATCTCTGGGAAATCTCAAATCTCCCCCCCCCCCTGGGTAGAATCACTTCAAAATTTGAGAGAACTTTTTGCCTATATAGCAAAACTTTTGCTTTACTTTGTGCATTCTATCTATCAGGTATGAGTCTCAGGGGTATATAGGCAAAACCCTTTTGGTAGGAGCACTCTCTTTAGTTTGGAAACCCACCGCATATTATTTACTGTTCACACTGTAGCGGAATGGATAAATACAAGCTTCCATAAAACTCTGTGATACGTCAGATCTAAGTAGGCTGAATCATTTAGAAGGAATATTTGAACATTCTGAAAAATCAATTTTTGGACTGACGAGGAGCACGACCTGAATGCACAAATAATAGGAAGTTCTCCATTTAACTATAGGATAAGTCAGGTTAGGCATCTTGAATCAGAAAAAACTGGCCTCCACCCTGAGATGTCACTATTCACTGGCATTACAACTGGCTATAAATTCATAATCAGCACTATCAATAGGTTTGTACTAATATCGCAATCACCTCTTATGTGTTTTGAATTTTTTTATTATGGAATAAGACCAAATCTGGTGATTCAAAATCTGAAGTGGAAAAAATATTCAAAATTGCAGCATTTTAATTTGTAATTAAGACATCCTTAGATCAGCCTATTCACTAACAGGCAGAGCGAGGAACAATTCTAAATTCTCCGATTTGGTTCATTATCTGACCGATAATACTGTAATAAGCCAGTTTGAGGTGAGAAAAAATTACATTTTTCCCTGAAGTGTTATATTCATGTTTTAGGCATACCACAAGAATCGTGTAAACATAACAAGGCAAAAAATGATTTACCTATTTCTTCTTTTTTCAAACTTCTTAACGCACTTGGTGTAACCCATAGATCACAGCTTTCAGTCAGTGCGATCGCCAGTCAGGGAGGGTGTGATTGTGCCATAAACTAGCCAAAAAAGATGCTTCAAGTAAAAAGCATTTTAAAGCTCTTTACTTCTTCTGTCTCATGGTTCTATTTTATCGATTATCGCACCCCCTGCACTGGCTACGCCTATGCTATCAGGGGCGGATCCAGGATTTTGTGTTAGGGGGGGGGGGGGGGGGGGGGGCGTGTGATAATAACTGTGAGCGAATTAAAAAAGAGTCAAATTTTGTAAAAAGCGATGAGGCAAAACATGAATTTTCTGACTTTTTAGGGGGTGCGCCTCCCGCTCCCGTCTAGATCTGGTGGTGGAGTGCATGCAACAACAATTTTGGGACAATGTTGTCAAAAGTTACCCCCCTCCACAAATTGTAGAAATTTTTGACCCCCCGCCCTGGTAAAAATCTGATAACGGCCTAAGGTGCATGTGGACCAAATCACTGATCAAAAGAATTTCGAAACAAAATACAATTGAAAATCAATTCATAAAAATTTATCAAATTTTTAGCACAGGATTTCTGTATTTTTAGATCTATCGGATGAGTTTTCGTGATGAAAACAATATTGTTTCGTTTACACAGAGAATGATATGCTAGACTTTATCAATCTTCTTAACCCATTTATGTTATACTTACTCTAGAATATGTTTTTATGATGGATTTCTTACCTTTTCCACTTTCAGCATGTAACTTTTGCTATTGCGCATGCGCAGACCCCCTGCTTGCCAAATAAACCAATTCTCCAGCGCAGAGTCTCGGCTGGCTGAAGGCTTGTCTATGGAGGAATTGAGTATGAGTATTTGGAGAATGTTCTACGCGGGGGACATACCAGGGACTGATCATTTTCGCTACACACATTTGACAGGATCAGAACTCTGCTTATGAACTTGTAACTTGTAAACCCAGGGGCGGAGCTGGGAGTGGGAACCAACAAGGGGGCCCAAATATCAGGTCAGAGAAAAAGAAATTTGGGCCCCTAAAATCCAAAAGTGGGCCCAACTAAGGCCTTATTTTTAATTTTAGGCCAAATTTTGAAGAAAATGGGCCTCAAAATTTCAAAATTAAGGCTTAGAAGGCCCAGTAAATGACCAAAACGGTCCACTTTTTGGGGCCCTGCGGCCTTTTTGGCCCGTTTAGAGGGTATATGGTGCTCCCATGAATATGAGGTTATAATTGTGTAAATGTTTACCAAACCAGTCCCCCCCCGGTTCTGGACCCGGTGTAAAAGGGTAGGAGGTCCTATCAAATTATGGTCCTACTCTCCATTGATTTATATGGTGACCTAAATACAACTCTTTCCCTTATTATCATATCCACAATCAGGGCCAGTAAGGACCTTTAAGAAAGGGGACCATAATTTCTTTGACACCAGGTTACTCTAGTCATTCACTTGAAGTGCGCCATCATGGTCGTAACCGGGGGTGGTAAGCCCCGGGTGTCTCGGTCCACTCCCTGAATCCAAAATGTCATTGATCAATTCAAACACGGTCTCGAAACATTGAACATATAATATTTTCATTAGATTCATAAAAGATTTTATAGCTCAGAATTCAATTATCAAATACGTTTTTATTTTCCCTGGAATAGAAAACCTGGGAAAAATTAAATACTATCCGGGAATACTATAGAGTCCCGGGTATAGAGTACACTCATTGATGAAGCAATAAGAGAAATGAAAGATGAGAGAATAAATGTTCATTATGGATAAGTCTTGGAAACTTGTTCGGTGCCGGGACAATATACATAGTCCTGGCACTGGATAACTGGAACAAAGTTCTATCATGTGTTATAAAGAAAACAAGTCTTGAAATAGAAACTTTGATCAGATTTTACAAGTGGCCAATACATTTTATTACCACGCGCAAGTTTTTGAAATTAAAAATATACAAACTACAATGCAATAAGAAATATGAATTTTAGTGTTCACCCCAGCCTCCATATTAAAAGACTGTCGCCAGAATCTTAAAATAGACGAGGGAAAATATAAAAATATATATTGGCGATGCAATTTTGAGTGTAAATAAAAAAAGAAGTCAGGCCCACATTTGATGAATTCTGGGCACTTTTAAAGCGTTTAAATTAACAAATAAAACTCCTCAAAAATTCCTCGTATATTTTTCAAAATCTTTTTTTGGTGTGCGTTGTAATCCCCTCCATAATTTTACCAATTAATGTATCAAGATGCTATGTTTCTTTGCACTTTAAATGTGTTTGAGGCAATACATGGAATTTGAATAAACTCTCTTCCAATTGTACTATTTTCTAGGGGGATGCAAATTAACTAATTCAAGATGCTTTTTCTGGACAAAAAAGTAAAATAAACAGAAAAATGCTTTCTCTAGGGGGAGGGAGAAGTAGTGGCCCACTTTCGGCTCTGGGAAATTTTAGCAATCTAAGATACTATATGTTAGTGATCTTTAGACACTTTTAAACTGAGGCCCGGGTATACAGTAAAATAAAGTTTCTTGTGTTTTACATCTATCTTGTTTTGTTACATCTTGTTCACTCATTTGCATAAGTAAGTAGCTAAGATAGTAAAACAATAATTATTTACATATATATTAGGCATTACCAACATAAGTACACTTGGGGATTTTTAAACATTTTATAACGTATGCCAAGGCATCAGATTTTAAAGGGTTAGACAATAAATAAATAAAACTTTTTTTTGGGGGGGGAAGGAGTGCCAGAGGGGGAAAGGTGACCCCCTCCCTTCAAAATATTTTACCATTTCAAGATGCTATTTGATGTCTTGGCACTTTTAAAGTGAAGTGAAGTCAAACGAATGCAAAGGGTACTTTTAAAGTGTCTCAGACAATAAATAAAATAGCTTCAGAATATTTTGGGGATACAAGGGGTAGGCCTAGTCACTCCATCTATAGGTATTAGCCTGCTATTTGTTTAATATCCCGGGTGTTATTCTAAATTAAAACTTCACTTTTTACAATACTTCACTATTTTTTCAATTAAGAGATTCGAGAAATTGATTTCATAAATTTATCCAGAAATCATATTCCATCCTCAAATTTGACAGTTTGCCATATTTTTAGGAGCGGCTGCATTCCATGCATTCTCCGATGTTAGGAGATTACTATGTACACTAATCTGTTTATGACAAGAAAGGGGCAATTTCAAAAATCGTAAACAACAATACTTAGATAAGACGCTAGATTATATATTTGAATATTTGTTTCTGGAAGATAATTAATCTGCTTTACAGTAGAGCAATGATATTGTAAAAATTTCCTAAAGTATGTTTCATTTTCTCCCAAGTTAAACTCATAGTAAAATCCACCAGCTGTTTGGATTGTTTATTTTCATGAGTTCCCGCGTCTTGCCAACACGACACCAGCTGACTGGATATATTACCACTTTAAAAGTGGGCGACGAGAAAATAGTTCCATTGATAAAAAAAATTAAAACTGCTTTATTTCAAAATTTAACAAATGTTATACGTTCAAATGCTTGCTAGTATTTTCCATTACATTTATGTATGGTATCATGTTATATTCTATCACAATTAATGCGTTAATCAATCGTTTGTCTTGTGATGATTAGTGTGTAGCGGAGCGATATATTTTCTACTACGGTAAAGGAGTCATTTCCCGCCAGAATCCTACGCATCGTATACATTGTAATACCTTCAGTTGTAAAACGTCAAAATTTGTCAACAAAAAGAGGATAGTAGAGGCCAAAATTTACAAGGTCTTTGCAAAACACCTAAAACTTCAATATGAAGATGGCTATATACCAGCGAGGCCTTGAGAAAAGGCGTCTAAGTGGAGTATACGACAGCGAAAATAACTCGTTCCAAACAGAAATCGGAAGGTGCGTATCTCAATATTTACATTTTTACTCACACATTTAGACATAAATTTCTCCATCAATAATGCATTATTTTAGTAATACCAACCACCAAAATGTGCAACATGATATAAGCTTCAGTATGCGTCAAATCATTTGAATGAAGTTGATAAATTTCATTGTTAAAAATATAAAAATTAGATGCTGTCTGGGGTGGTCATGTGACCTCGTGGTGCAGAATGCATATAAACAATGGCGGTTTGACAAAGAGGGCTTATGAAAACATCCGATATGTCGTGTATCCGTCTCAGGTTTGCAAGTTAAAAGACGGTATTTAAAGCAAACAGAACCTTTAAAAATAATAATGTTTTAAATTGTGGTGTACGTCTTTTTACATTGAATATCTATATGATGATGACAGATGTGTCTGAATCACACACAATCAGCTGTGAATCAATGGATTCAAATCACGCTATTGACATTGCAATGTATAAGTCATGCCTACATATTTCACCTGATCCTCTACAACTAAGTTTTTAATGGAACATATTTGGATTCGGTCTACTCTGCTTTGCTTCGACATGGTTGGTTGCTTCGACATCGATACTGAGTGTTTAATTTTCTAACTTTGTCGCTCTTGTCACAACAGACAAATTATGAAGTTCATGCAATGCTCTTATTGATGATAAAATAGATGCACCAAGATGAGATGGTTGGAAGAATCAATGATGCATAATACAAATTCACTTATTAGTTCTAAATATGGATAGGTTTATATGATGAGTTAAAACGAAACTAGGAAGCGAATTTCTCTTCTCTTTTTCAGATGTTACAGTCGCATTCATTAAATTATTGTTTACTTCCTGGTATAAAGTCTACGAAATGTAGAAATATTGTTCATGACTAATGCATATAAATAAAACCAACACAATTGTATAGAGAAAGTTAACTATGTGGTTCAAATCATCCTAGGAATGCATCCTAAAAAATATCTGTGTGAAAAAATAGCCAGACTGACATGTGATATATCTAGCTCAGTCTAGTATTATAATGAGCCGTTTGGCTCTATGCCAAATCATTGGGAACTGAGCCAAGTCACTAAGCCCGGACTATTTACATGTTATAAAACTAATAAGTCTGTAAAACCTCGCAAATTCATCTTTGTTATTTCATATTATTGATTCCATTGTTAAAATATATATTGGAGGCTCTCCAAAATATGTTAACTACTCAAAAAGGTTTTAAATTGGTTCAATCTGGTTAAAAATTGAGAAGGCATATATATAAAATGTGTAGGATGTTAATCTGGCAGTGAGCCAATCCAAAGTAGACCACCATAGAAAATCAATACATCCAAGTAGAACTTTAGTCACTACATCTGCTCTGGGAAATTCCCCAGATATGTGGAGCAACTTACTCATTATTCATTATCTATATCTTGTAGAGTTATATATTCTTAAAGTCCTTTGTATGATTTTACATCATATAACATCCTTTATCAATGTTGTCGTTAATGATTTGATAATTAGCCGTATGTAAATACAAACAATATTGTACCAAATTTTTCATTATGAGTACATGTATTACATAACACAATTGCATTTTTAATGACATATTAAGTAATTAAATTTTTCAAATAACTTCAGCTCCCCTCCCTCATCCCCTGGATCACAATCTGAGAATGCACCCCCAGAAACTGATAAACGTCTTCGTCGGGAGATTGCTAACAGCAACGAACGTCGTAGAATGCAGAGCATCAACAGCGGTTTCCAGACTCTCAAGGGTGTGATACCCCATCAAGATGGCGAAAAATTGAGCAAGGTACGTCACATGAATCTCAATAACTTGATTTCCCTTGGTGTCATGCTTATGAGCATATTTTTCCAAGATTATTAACTGGATGACTGAATTATGTGATTTTGGTGCATCTTGGGAAATTCCCTCCTGTTTTCGACAATCAGCTGTTTCCTGTACTTGGAATGTCCAGGAAATCCCAAGCTTATATTTCATGTTGTTAAGATTATAACACACCTCCCGTATCATTCATACTTTAAACATCACATGTCAAATCATGATATCTTATCATTTTATTGAATAATTTGTCAGTTCGGAAGCTTTATTTTAAATTGTGATAATCATATAATAAAAATTTAGTTTGTTAATTTTGACAAGAACTAAAAATAAATTGACCTGAAGTGACTGTATTGTATTGTACCCTAAATGACCACAAACTATCCTTATAAGGAAAGGGTGGGTGGTCGCTATGTAACTTCATTATGGTACCTATCCCGAAGTGTGGCAATGTTTTGTAGCCACAATTTTATTTTGGGGACAGAGGTTATTTTTTCAAGTAATGCAAGTTAAAAACTTGTAAAAGTGAGATTTGAAGAAAATCCTTAACATTAATGATGACCCCAAACTGACATACACATAGTTTTCTTCAACAATTTTTAAGTGCATAATAAGGTCAAAGTTCAGGAAACAGTCACCAAGTGCAGATAAGGTCAATCTATCACAGTGCCACCTTTAAGAAATTATTTGAACCAACAACCTTTGGAAGATGATAATTCTCAGAACCAAAAGTTCCCTAAATAGAAAGTACTCAAGTTCATTGTGTGAGGAAAAAAGTTTGAACCCCATGTTCGTGACCGATTTATTTTGTTTACATTCTTATCTCATAACTAAACAATGGACTGATGGAGTAATATACATTGACAAGTGCCTCATTGTGTGACATTTAGTACGTGTGTATGTGTCATTCTATCCAGACACTTCACTGATAAAATGTCGAATTCTCTATGCACTTTTCGCCAAAATTCTCTCTTAATATATATTTGAAAGATTTACAATCTTCTAACCCATTTCTTTTGTTGTTCTTTTTGTTGTGAAGTCTACACATTTTTATTGTTTAGCATTTTTTAAAATGGCTTTCATGACATTTTACATGAGACAGGGTTTGACCTTCAGTTCAACTGCAAAATGGCTCCTATTGGTTTACGTTTACATAGCGTTAACATGCAGGAAGTCTGACCTCATTCTCATAATAATATGAATAGCGAATTAGTTTTTTACACAGGTCTATTTCAGCTATTTCTATGTCAGTCACCAAGTGCTGATATCAATATGTCGCACAATGTATGTAAATACAATTTAATAGAATAGAAAAGAGAAGACAGTACAGTACTTGCTATCAAGGAATTTTACTTCAGTAATGTCATGGACAATTTTTGAATAAAAATCCTTTAGAAATATTTAAAATAAGTTATATGGATTTTTTATGCATTCAGATTGATAAAATCTGTGAAATAGACTAGAACATTCCCTTTGCATGAAGGAGTGTTGAAAGTATTTATAAATTGTGGGAATTTTGGTTTGTGGTTAGGCCACCCTTGATTTTTGGCAAAAAGTTGAAAACAACAAATGAAATGATGTATCGATGAAAATATTTTGATTCTTGGAGCATCTTTATGTTAGTGTCCTCAAAATATGGTTTTGATATTCGTTATTGTAAATTATCATAATTTGGCATATATTTGATCAACAGGCGATCTATTGAAATAACAGATCGGGAAAGTAGATTACGTTGCCTGTACATTTAATTAAAACAAAACTTACTTGAGGCCAGTTAAAAACAATTACTCAATTTTCCTGTTTTATTTTTAAACAGCAGCATAATTAATATTTATCCATTTATAGAAGACTGGGTTAACCATATTTCATTTATTTAACAGTTTCTTACTCCACTTTAATTACATTTATAACGATGATATAAAATAGGTATATTTATATTCAGTAAGGATCACCATTACATTCAGCTGAGGTCACCCTGTTCTTGCGAAGGGCATTGTACTTTAATGTAAAAATGATGGCGCCAATCATACAACTCGCGGTAAAATGTCAATATCTAATCAGACATTCCTATTTGCACTTTAAGACCATGAAGTAGATTGTGCACGAGGATCGGGATGGAAGACTCTGAGGTGATCAAAAGCCTTTGTTCCTTGTTTCCTTCACTATATTTTTGTAGTTTTACAAAAAATAAGTTGCGTTTTCTGAAACAAGTAGTGATAAATATTGTCTTCAAATTAGATGGATTAACATCTATTTATATATTCCATTGGGATTCAGATATCCTCATAAGAACCTGCTATGATACACGGTTTCAATTGCAAACATAGAGCAAAAGCTAAAAAAAGTCTTTAAGCCAGAAAATACCAGAAATTAACAGAAAATAATAATTCAAATTTCGATAAAAATGATAGAATTGGGATGAAAATACAGACTTTATGAACATGCACATCAAAGATAGGGTAATGTTGGTATATAATCTCAGCTGTGGTTGTTCATTTGACATATAAGGAAATACATTCATGGTTACTACGGTTACTACAGACCTGCACTACTTTCCTGGATCTATTTCCAGTGATTCGCCCTACTAGTCAAAATATCACTAGCTATAGCTTACAGCATCTGTTCAAATAAAACCTTGAACCCACAAATAAAATATTTTCTCAAAATACTGAAAATGTTTTCAAGAAAAAAGGGACAAGAGGATGAGTTTTACAGAACTTGATTTATATGGAGATACAGTCAACTTTGCCTCTCACTAGTAGTTTTTAGGGAGATGATTGAATAGTATTTTTGCAGATCATAGTTAATTTTATAGATAAGCTGTCTGACCTCTTAGACTAAAAGGCATCCTCCCATCTTAAGAATTTTTGCAAAGAATATAGAAATAAATCACCAAGACTGTGATTTGGAAAGGCAGAATTAATTTTCACAGAAAACTGTCCTAATTAGTTTTCTTATAATAAGGTGAAAAGAAATCAATATATTAATTACTAGAAGTGAAGGACTATGACCCGGCAATGTAATTAAACATGGTTGAACTAAGTACTGTTTTGTAATTAATCATTCAAATTGATGTTACTTTAGTTTTTTGTGCAAAACTATATTTTTTAATTTTGTTCAAAGTATGCATTTTGTTCAAAGTACGCATCTTATACTCAAACAAATTCATTATGTTATCTTTGCAATGTTTTGATCACATGGTGCTTTTAAGATATGATGTCAACTACCTTTGCTCCATTCACTGTAAACTATGAGATAATAACGAAGATCTATAGCACGTGGCGATAGGTCATGGTAGGAATGTCTATATTTACTAACAATCTCTGAACTCAACGGGCAAAGACCAAACTGAAAGAGTAAAGAGTAAAGTTTTCATTTTTACAGGACATTTAGGAAGGTTATGTCTGAAGGTTACTGTAATTCCAATCCATGCTTTTTTGCCTTTAGTAATGACGATATATGTACATTTATTTTATTCATGCTTATTCCGCTCTTCAGTTTGAAGTTATGACCATTTGTGATATTTTTCCCTATTAAATCAGCTGTTTTTTTATAGATCATTAAATTGTGTGTTATTGGGTTTTATTCCTATGTTGTTTACATGCGGATGCCCCTGGATAAGGTCATTTTCCTCTAACTCTATTCTCTGTTCACGCACTCTTATTTCACGCCTTTTCTCTCTAAAATTTGATTGAATTGTTGCATTTTTTAGCATTTCTATACAATTTAGAGTGTTTACTACATGACTGTTAATTTTATTCCTTGCAGGTCCCATTCTTTTGCACTCTATTTTCAATTTTAAAACATGACTACAGTGACATATTTTTTATAGGCTTGTGCTAGTTCATGCACTGGCTGGCTGTCATTCCATGTGTTAACGAGTAAAAACATTTACTTATTGAAAATTTATGTGTAAATTGACCCCCTGAATGTCATTGGTGAATGATCGAACTGCTTGTTCAAACTTCAAAAATCAGTGACTTTTTACCACTTTCTGTAAAAATTACATTTAAGTTTTAACGAAAAATTCATGCAAAATCCAAATATATGTTAACTTTTATTTTATTACTGGATAGAATTCAGAGTACTATCTTGTTTTATGATGGGTTTTAAAAAATATGAAAAAAGATATCTTGTAATTGTTTTGAGTCAGTTTTGTAAAATGGAGGAGTTCCATTTACACAAATTTTTGCATTTTGGCTTTGAAATGGATGATGTTGTGACATTTGGTTAACCCTACAGAGCCTTCAATGCCCTTCTTTTAAAGTACAGTGAAACCTGTATATACAAACACCTCTCTATTCTAAGCACCTTACTTATCCAAACACCTGTCAATTTGAATAACTTTTCTCAGTTCTAAATTGTTATTTATCATAAATAACATTTTTTACCTACTAATCTGATCAATTTTACCTGCTCCCAAAGGTGTTCAGATGAGACAGGTTTTATATTGCATGATGTTCGTCATTAGTGAAGATGGACCTAGATTTATTGTGAGTTGAATAAATCAGGCAAAAGTATTTTTGCATGATAAAAAAAGTCTTTTAAACACATTTTGTATTTTTATCATTATTTTACAATTATTTATGGAATTAATACACATAGTATGAACCAACTCTTTGTACCATATTATAAATATTGTACTTGGCACAAACTCTATCTTAAGCTACGTAGATAAATATGATATTATAACACCCTTTTTTTTGAAATGAGAATTGATCAAATAATGAGAATATATAGTTCCACTATTTTATGAATTTGATTTGACCAAAATTTATGCCCGGCATAAAATTTGTTCCAAAATTTATGCCGGGCATAAAATTTGTTCCAAAATTTATGCCGGGCATAAAATTTGTTCCAAAATTTATGCCGGGCATAAAATTTGCTCCAAAATTTATGCCGGGCATAAAATTTGTTCCAAAATTTATGCCGGGCATAAAATTTGTTCCAAAATTTATGCCGGGCATAAA